CGCGTGCGCGCGTCTACGCCCTGGAGCTGGGCGGGCCGGGGGGCTCGGAGCGGGGCTGCGCGCAAACACCCGGGAAGGCCAGAGGGGCTCACCGAGCGGCCAGACGTCTTCTTAAATTCCTAGCCGAGCTCCCCAGAGCGGAAGGGGGTTCCCCGGGGACCCGAGGGGAAGCGCCTGGTAGGCCCAGAGGCGAGCACAGCCCTGGGGGTGGTGAGCCGTGGTGGGGGGCGGCCCCGGAGGGCGGGGCTTGAGTCCCGCGCCCAGACGTGGACGGGAGAGAAGCCGTGTGGGTGCGGCGATGCCGCGTTGGAGAGGATTTGAAGACACTGAGAGGGACTCCAGGTCCTGCTTTCCATCAGCGCCCGCGCTGATTCTAAACTAGGTCAGGGACAAAACGCTCCCCCTGAAAGAGGGAGTTGGTTGGCCCGAGTTCTGCACAACTGCTGTGGTTCCCGCTGGCAGCCAGCGGGCAGGTGTTCACCGTCCTGGCGGGGACAGAAGAATCCTCTCCTGGGAGGACGACCAGCCGGAGAGAAAACATACAGAAATGCCAGGGTGGGGGCGCCTGGGGTGCTCAGTCCCGAAGCGTCTGCCTTCGCCTCAGGTCATGATCCCAGCGTCCTGGGATCGAGCCCCGCGTCCGGCCGCCTGCTCAGCGGGAAGCCGGCTTGTCCCTCTCCCACTCCCGCTGCTTGTGGTCCCCTCTCTTGCTGTGTGTGTCTCCCTCTCTGTCAAACAAATAAATAAAATCTTGAAAGAAATACCAGGGCTTCCTGCATGAAAATACTCAGTCTAGGAAACGTCCCCCACACGCTCAGAATTTCCAACCATCTGGGGCGTCGCCCCTGCTCTTAGACGTCATCAGAGAGGTGAGGGCCCCCCCCCCCCGGGGGGGGAGGATCTGAAGACAGCCGGTCGGGTCACAGAAGCTCGACTTCAACACAGGAAGAAACTGGGGTACACAGATGGCGCAGAGAGAAGAAAACTTAGAACCTCTCCAGGATCCTCAAAGATTCAGGGAGACCTCCACGAAACAAGAACAGGACCCTCTAAAAAAGGAATTATTCACTAAACAAAACAGAAACACCCCTGAGAACTAGAAAGGAAGAAACTGACATCAGAAGTAAACTAAGGGAACTGATTCAGGGAGAAGAACTAAGACATCGGACTGAAACACGGCTCTACACAAAGAAGTGTGGCGATGAAAAATTCAGTACCGTAAAAAATGACTTTAGTTTTAATTGTGCAGAGGTAACTAAGGCAAAAAAAAAAAAAAAAAGCTATGTATCAAAGTTTCTAGTACATTTTTAAAGTGAGCTCTATCCCCAGGGTGGGTCTTGAACTCAAGGTCCTGAGATCAAGAGTCACATGTGTTACTGAGTCAGCCAGGTGCCCCTGCTTTTAGCACATTTAAAAGTCAATTGTAGGGGCGCCTGGGTGGCTCAGTGCGTTAAACCCTCTGCCTTCGGTTCAGGGCATGATTTCGGGGTCCTGGGATCGAGCCCCACGGAAGCAGGGAGCCTGCTTCCCTCTCTCTCTGCCTGCCTCTCTGTCTACCTGTGATCTCTGTCTGTGAAATAAATAAATAAAATCTTTAAAAATATATTTTTGTGTCTTCACACAATGAGCATTTCCATTTGGTTCTTTTTTTTTTTTTTTGGAAAATTTTATCTTTCAGTCATCTCTACACCCCATGTGGGGCTCGAACTCACAACCCTCAGATCAAGCGTCACATGCCCTACCGACCTAGCCAGACAAGTGCTCCCCTTTCCCATCGGGTTCTTTCAAACTCTACAGTTCTTTCCTGTATCTTTTCTGCTGTCACACACATTATTCCATGCACTTTCTTTTCAAATGGTTCTTAACCTTTTCATTTGAAAGGAGTTTCAGGACCAGAGAAAGGCTGCCAGGGTGGCACGATGCCGGTTTCTGGCGTACGTTCCCGGCGGGGAGTCCCGTTCGGGACCGCCTGCTGCATTTGGTCATGCTGTCCTTCGCCTTTGCACAGCTCTTCTTAAACTCTTTCCAAATCGGGGTATTGTCACGAGTTCCTCGGACGTGATTGGGCGCCTGTGCCACATCGGTTGCCGTTTCCACACGCGGCGAACTTCCTCGGGGCTTCGTCATCTCATGAGTTCACCTTCAGCACGATCCACCTTCTCCAGGCGCCCTGCACCTGCCCCCGCCTGTGCCCTGAGAGGCAAGACAGTTCCGCATCTGTCTCTACGGACCCTTCCGGAGGTCGCCAGCTGGGGGCCGTGCCGTGTTAGCTTCTCCCGCTGGGGCAGGGGCTTCTGCGCCGTGTCGGTGGCTCCCGTGCGATGCGCGCCCAGGGTTCCTCTTGGGCTGGCTCCACCCGGAGCCACTGGTATCCTCGTGGGCTCGGGCTCACCAGAGGGCAGCCCGTTTCAGGTTCCCGCCGTCTGCAAAGGCACTGGCTTTGGTTCCCGCCCCCAAGGCTGCTCCTGGCCCCCTTCATGGGCAGCTTGGCTTCTGGGCTCAAGGACCTAAGTACTGTATTTCCCTTTCTTGTCTTGGAACAGAGAGATTATGCACTTCTCGGTGTTGTGGGGGTGCGTGAGTGTGAACGTGGGTGTGTTGACTTCCTATTAGCTTAGCTATCTTGACTGGAAGCCTTGGGCCAGCCACGTGATCTCTCTGCTCCTGGACTTCCCCACCAGGAAAATGGGATAATAAGGGGACCCATAGCCTAGGGCTGTTGTGTGGCTTCGCTGTTAAGATACGGAACCAAACCTTGTTTATCGTCCCACTGTCTGGCCGTAGGCCTATCGGACCAGAGGGCCAACACTGGAATACGAAACCGCTGCTTTCCCTGGGTGAGGGGTGATGGGCGATTTTAGTTTTCCTTGTGTGGGTATGCACACTCTGCAATGAGCATGGCTTGACTCTGTGATTAGGAAAAATGGCATTAAACACTACTGAGCACACCGACACCGGGAGCACCTGGGTAGCTCAGCCGGTTAAGCAGCCTGCTCTTGATTTTGGCTCAGGTCATGATCTCAGGGTCCTGGGACAGAGTTCTACGCTCAACGGGGAGTCTGCTTCAGGATTCTCTCTCTCCCTCTCCCCCACCTCGTGTGCGCGCTCTTTCTCTCTCTCTCTCAGGCGTGCCTGGGTGGCTCAGTGGGTTAAAGCCTCTGCCTTCGGCTCCAGTCATGATCCCAGGGTCCTAGGATCAAGCCCCGCATCGGGCTCTCTGCTCAGCAGGGAGCTTGCTTCCCCCACCCCAACCCCACCTGCCTCTCTGCCTATTTGTGATCTCTCTCTGTCAAATAAATAAAATCTTAAAAAAAAAAAAAAGAATGTCATTTAAAACAAAACAAAGAACAAAACAAAACATTAACACTTGGTCAGCTCTTCAAGTGGCCAGCCTGTATGCCAGAAAAGCTTAAAGACGTACTTGGAATGAACAGACATTTTTGCAGGTGATTGGGGCTGGCGAAGGGGGTGGGGAAGGAGAGCAGCCTTGGAGAGCCGGGCTGGGGGATGGTGAGGACGGGAGCAGAGGATCCTAGAGGGTTATCGCTGTTCACTTTTACCAGTCCTGCCTCATTGCTTCTGAGAAACCCAACGGCTGGGCAGCTCTGTGCCCCATTCAGCAACAACAGATGTTTACCATGGGTAGGGGAGGCTCAGACCAGCAAGCCAGCCAGGGCCTGCCCTCACCAGGCTTCTCCTCTCCAGACAAGCATCAGTCAGGAGATTGCAGAATCCATGGCTTACCTGCCAGAGGCCTCCCAGGAGAAATGCCCAGGCCACTGAGGACCTAGACTGGCCTCGCCCAGTCCAGCTGGGGAGGGATGCTGGGAAGAGTCAGCCCTCCAAAGGGAAGGATGGGACGGTGGGGAGGAAGGGCCCAGGCCTGGGGCACTCTGCCTTGACTTCCCTGGGTGGCCCCTGAAGGCGGGACCCGTGCCTAATAAATGTCTCTATTGCAACTTCTCTGTGGTCTAACTGAAACTCTACCTTTCAGCACCCCAAGCTCCACTTACATGCTCATTTTAAAAAGTCATGGCATGGCCCCATTTGGGAAGAAAGGAAATACAGAGTGATCACATAGCTGCCAGAGGTCACGCAGCAGAAGCAAGGGCTGAGCGCTCTCTCAGTCGAGGTCCTGGCTCCTAACCCCGCCCTCCATCAGGAGAAGCCGCCTGTGACCCAGCCACGTGGCCCCTGTCTGAATGTTACTGTCCTCTCACCGGCTTCATACCTCATCAAATATTCATGCGGGGCTCACAGTGCATTAGGAGCGCCGTCCACAGAGTCTTGATGCTTTGGGGGAAATAGACAGTTGGAATCCATCTGCATTTGCCTTCTCTGTGCCAGGCCCCGGGGGTTCAGGGGTACCCAGCAGACTCGGGCTCAGCTTTCTTGGCTCACAGCCTGCCTAATGCAGAGGTCGAAAGTCACCGTCACCACCACGTGCTGGGGGGTTCAAGGAGGCGACGCTGGCTGCAGAGGCAGTGGTTAGGCGGGAGTGGGGGGACCAGCGGCACGACCCGGGCCATGGTAGGAAACTCGGATGGCTCCTGTGTAGGACGGGTTGCAGGGGTCGGGGAGGCAGGGCTAAGTGGCTGTGCGCTGGCGAGGAGGGCCGGACCGGTCGGCAGGACGAGAAACAGATGCTGAAGGCAGACCGCGCTCGGGGGTGACGGCCACGAGGCTGTAAAGTCGGTTAAGTTTCCGACTCTGGGCTCAGAATGCTGACTTGCGGGCTCCGCAGTCTCTGGGGTGGGATCGTCGCCGACGCTGCTACGTAGGGGGCGCGGATGGAGGCTGCCACCCATCTAGAGACTCCTGCAGCCAGAGGCGCTACGCAGGTGCAGCAAACCCGCAGCACCAGAGGGCTGTGCGCAACCTGGCCGCAGGGGAGCCGGCCCGCCTCGCGCAGGCGCAGTGTCCTCGGTCCCCTCGGACTACAACTCCCGCCGTGCCCCGCGCGCTCCCCACGCCGCGCCGCGCGCCTCCCGGAAGTGGAGCTCCGGGGGGCGTCTCCGACCTTCGCGCGGGGGCGGGCGGGCTGGCTGGTTCGGGGAGGCGGCGGGAGCCAAGAACCCGATGCGAGCCAGCGGAGCCGGGGATGGCTTCGGCTGGAGGCGGCGACTGCGAGGGCGCCGCGCCGGAGGCGGACCGCCCTCATCACCGGCCCTTCCTGATCGGGGTGAGCGGCGGCACCGCGAGCGGGAAGGTAAGGGGCTGGGTGGCCCGGCGGGGCCTGCGTGTGCCACCTCGACCCCCGGCCCTCGGAGACTCCGGGCGGGCCGATCCGGCCTCCAGCCGGCGAAGAGACCCCCGGCTCCTGGTTGCCGAGGCGCCCCCTCCGGGGCCTGGGGTGGAGGGGCGAGGGGGCTGCGGCTGTGGTGGGCCAGGCCGGGGTGCAGGCAGGGCCTGGGGCGCTTGCCCTCCGGCTCCTCGCACCCTCCCTGCGGCCTTCCCCCAAGGCCAGCCCCACCTGTCGCTGGCCTGGTGGGCAAGCCTCCGCGGGCGGGTGGGTCAGGGTCTCCTGAGGCCGCCCCGTGGCGGGAGCAGGTCCAGGCGGGAATCCTGTCTGTATTCCCAGTCCACTGTGTGTGAGAAGATCATGGAGCTGCTGGGCCAGAACGAAGTGGACCACCGGCAGCGGAAGCTGGTCATCCTGAGTCAAGACAGGTTCTACAAGGTCCTGACCCCAGAACAGAAGGCCAAGGCGTTGAAGGGACAATACAATTTCGACCACCCAGGTGCAGCTGAAGACCCTAAGGGGAGGGCGGGAGGGAGGACAGACCAAGGGGACTGGCTCCCGGGTCGGCCGGGTCGGCCGGCGATGCAGAGAGACCCCAGTGGTTCCATGACATTTCTGAGTAGTCTGAGCCGGAGCAGGCTGTGTGTTTAAGTCAGAAGGACTTTGTCTCATTCTCTGCGCCCCAGACGGCCCAGCAGGAGCTGCTGGCTCCCTCATTTGGAGCCAGTCAGAAGTCTTTGCTTCCGTGGAGCCTTGGGGACCATTGCTATGCCAAGATTTTGGTCATGGAGAAATCCCCCACCTTCCTGCTGTGTGGGGTCCTGCCCTGGGGCAAAGGCCTTGAGAGGGTAGCAGGGCAAGCAGCGGCTAAATGAGAGGGCTGTGTCTGTATTGCTCAGGTGCAAATGGGGTCAACAGATGAGAGGAGAGAGCCAGCCTGCCCTTGCCTGCCACCGCTAGATCCCACCCTATGGCTGGCTCCCAGCGGGAGGAAGGCATAAGCAGCCTTGGTCGGTGGTTATTTCCCAGAAATAGAAGCAGATACCTAACCCACCTGCCTCCCAGTGCTGGCCGATCAGGAAATCCCCGGGTCTAACTTCTGTGTGGGACAGCAGCCTGCAAATGTAAACTGTCGGGGTGGGGCCTAGTCCAGATGTTCCCGAGGCCGCAGGTACCGTGAGCACCCAGCTGTGGCTGCCCGCCCCCCAGGCAGAGGAAGTTGGCTCCCATCCCCAGCACAAGGATGCCTGGAGAGTCCTGCCTTTTGTTCCGTCCCTGCAGATGCTTTTGATAACGATTTGATGCACAGGACTCTGAAAAACATCGTGGAGGGCAAAACTGTCGAGGTCCCAACTTATGATTTTGTGACCCATTCAAGGTGAGCAAGGTGGTTCCTGGGAGAGGAACCGTGTGCAGGGGGGCCAGCTAGCACGCCCCCCGTGGGGTCCGCAGGTGGCCCTGCATCAGCCTGGCCCTGTTGGTTTCTGGGCATACTCCTGTCTCCCGCTGTCATCTGTCCCCCTCCAGGTGGTCCACACCTGGGGACCAGAGCCATCTGTGCCCGGGCTCCCAGATCCCGTAGCTCCAGCAGGGCCCGTATCCTGGTCTCGCCTCCCAGGTTAGCAGAGACCACGGTGGTCTACCCCGCAGACGTGGTCCTGTTCGAGGGCATCCTGGTGTTCTACAGTCAGGAGGTCCGGGACATGTTCCACCTGCGCCTTTTTGTGGACACGGACTCTGACGTCAGGCTGTCAAGAAGAGGTAAGGCGGACGCAGGCCTCTCTCTGCCGTTGGCTGAGGCCAGCCGCGAGTCCTGACTGCCGTACTCCTCCTGCCTCAGTTCTCCGGGACGTGCAGCGCGGGAGGGACCTGGAGCAGATCCTGACCCAGTACACCACCTTCGTCAAACCAGCCTTCGAGGAGTTCTGCCTGCCGGTACCCCTCCTGCTTGTTTGGGAACCTCCTTTTCTCCCTTTTCAAGAGGACCCCTGGCGCCCTGTACCGTGAGAGCTGAATTGTGGGGGAGCAGGGTCTTACGAAGGGAGAAGTTAGCTCGTTAGACCTCCTCGCAGGGACTCTTCTCCGCTCTAAAAGCATTGTCTGTGCGGATCCCTTCCTCTGCCTGCAAGAGCCCCTCGGCCCCACAGCTCCATGCAGCTCCTCTCCTCCTGCTTCAGGCCTTCCCCTTTCTCTCCACTTTCCAGCTCCTACTGGATGGGACTTATCAGTAGTTTGAAAGGGAAACTTAACATGTTGCTTCTTAAAAGTAAAATATGGCGCAAAGGAAACGGAGCCGGGATCCCCTCTTGTGCTGAGTAGACAGATGAGTTCTGTCTGCTGCTGGTGGAAGAGAACCTTATTTTACGTTTGTGTTCTCCAAAGCACCTGGAAATTGGTGAGAAAAGTAAATTGATAATCACACTCTCTGTTACTCAAAGAAGGAAAGGCATTTGGCAGAGCAGGTAGTTAATGGGAAAAGTGTGGACACCCACTGCCACCAGGTGACCCTATGTGGAGGCTGCGCCCCAGCACCGTCCTTGAACTTCCCGCTCCCCTTATGTGCAGCCATACCCTGAGTCTGGCCAGGGTGACCGTGTCCCTCCCTCGCCCCTATAGTATGACCTTCCTCAGCTCTTCTGCACCCCACAGTGAGCGCCTCCCGTGAAGCCAGCCTAGCCCTCTTTGTGCTTACGGCTTCCGTGGGTCCCCACAGCCTGCAGACACCGCTGCCCCAGGACTTGGCCCATGTCTACATGCCCACCACACAGAACGGTCCGCGGGGCTGTCCCGCAGCTCAGACGGCTTCCTTTTCCTCTCCCTCTGCTCGGCCTGCTTGGGGTGTGTCCCTCTTAGCAACACCTGGCTGGGGTCCCTCCTCGGTGGCCGGGTTCCTCCTGGTGTCTCTGTCCCTGCCCTGACCTGGCAGAGCACCCGGCAGGGAGCAGGTGTTAGCACGGGGACAGGTAGCGTGGAGGGCTTTGCACGTGCCAGCCAGGGAGTGTGCCACGACCTTCCTTGCTCCCTATCTGGGCTTCTCGCAGAAGGGTTCCTGGTTCCAGAGGAAGCGGGTCACGTGTGGCAGAAGGATGCCGCGGGTCACGTGGCTCAGGGACCTCTTCCCACAGTGGCGTTCCCCGGAAAATGCACGAGCATTTCAGAGACGCCCGGAGAGGAACGTGTGTCTTCTCAATGCCTCAGCCACTCCTCCTGCCTCTGGCACCTGCCTAACACCCAAGTCCCAGCCCCCATCTGCCACACCCCGGTCCCCGCCACGCCCCCCACGGCCGCTCTCCTGCCGTTGAGTCTGGTGTCGAACAACCAGAAGTCCTCGGAGGGACAGAGCTTCTGAGATCTGCTTTTTGCCTTGCAGACCAAGAAGTACGCAGACGTGATAATCCCTCGAGGGGTCGACAACATGGGTAAGAACCAGGCCTGACGGCTGCCCCGACTCCCCAGTCCACCGCCCTGGGCCCTGGGGCAGGCCCTGCCCGGTCCTGGTGGTCACAGTGAAGTGATGAGGGTTCCCGTCCACGTACATGTATTGCACAGATCCAGAGAATACTTTAAAAATCTGTTTAACACGTTGGACAGCGAAAATGGCCCCGCCTTGCTTGTCAGTTACAGCTCAGTGAGGCTGGAAACAGACCGTTATGTTGACGGGGACTCGTGCCATAGCAGGAAGTATCTTTTCTCTGGGCTCTTGGTGAACCAAGACCCCCCACAGACGGGCCAGGCCATGTTACCGTGCTCCTTCCCGCCAAGCGCTTCTCTGTCTGCCGAGACTCCGGGCACCGCCACAAAGCCTCGGCGGGAAGGCCTGTGCTCTTGGCGCCCGGGCCGCTGCGGGGCTGGGTGGCCCAGGGAAACCGGTGGCAGCCCGAGCCTGGCCTCAAGGCGTCGAGGGGGCGGACGGGCTGAGCGCGCTGTCTCTGCCACAGTGGCCATCAACCTGATCGTGCAGCATATCCAGGACATCCTGAGCGGCGACCTCTGCAAATGGCAGCGAGGGTCCAATGGGCGGAGCTACAAGAGGACATTTCCTGAGCCGGGAGACCGTCCTGGGGTGCTGACCGCTGGCAAGCGATCGCACTTGGAGTCCAGCAGCAGACCCCACTGAGGAGTGGGGTGCTCAGCCTCCTGGGCAGGACCCCTGACAGACTGTGTTCAGGGTTGGGCCCAGAGATACCCGCCCACCCGCCCCTCTAAACGCCACCACAGCTTCCTCTGGGCGCCACAGGGTACGGACAGGATGGGCGGGGATCGCGGTGGTCCTCGCTGCACCTGTCACACTCGACAGGATGTTGGCATGCCCTCTTGACATCTTCACCTGCTTCCGCACATTAAAGGGTTAAAAGTCCAAGTTACTGAGAAATGCTCCGGAACGTGTGGTGAGCCGGTCACGTCCCTTGGGAACACGGAGCACATGGCATGGCTGCTGTGGCCGTCCAAGCGTGTGTCTGACAGGAACCCACGGCGAGAGGGACTCTCTAGGATGGTCCGGTTCCCACGCACGCGCGACGGAAACAGGTCGAGGAAAGAGTACTTCCTTCTCTAGGTGTTACATGTGTGACTGTTTCGTTATTTATTCTCCCATGTGAGTTGTGACCCAGTAACTGAGTTTCGTGCTCCCCACCCCCCCGCCATGGGGTGCGATCCAGCAGGGCACACCCCCTGCTAAGGAGCCAGAGAGCTTTCCTTCCTCCTGGGCTGTGCGCCAAGGAAGGAGCCCTGGGAACAAGCCTTTCCTTAACCAGCAGCCAACACAGGAGACGACACGTGCTCACCCAGGCCGAGCCCGGCTCCACAGGTGGGGCGGGGGGCAGGCTGGTGCGCCCCGTGTCTCCACGCCGTCCTGCTCAGGAGCCACCTGGGGCCCCATCCAGGATCCAGCATCCAATGCCAGCCAGTCTCCTCGCACACACCCCACATCCTATGCCTATGGCCGGAGTCGTCCTGGCTTGTCTTCCCTTCTGTTTGTGTAGAAGTGACGCCTTCCCCTGGCCACGGGCTAAGCTGCACGGACGCTCCCGGTTTCCTTCCATCAAGCACTGAGTGTAGCTACACAGACAGGACCCCAGCTGAGCTTGGCCGTGGCTGCTCTGATGACCGTGTGATAGTCTCGTCCAGCTTACTGTGCCCTTTTGGAGAATCAATAAATAATACCAAATGCCAGTGCCAGTGTGTCCCTTTTTAATTGTACACAGAAGGCAAATTCAGGGTGGGGGTACCTGTGGGGGACACGAGGCTCAGCGTGCCGGTGGCGCTGCTGGCCCGTGTGCCCCCGCTATGTCAGCAGCAGTGAGGGGTCCCAGGGTCTCTGCTGCAGTGGCCGGAGTCCGGGGCCCGTCCTTCAATACCTCGTTTGGCATGGACAGGATGCGGGCCGGTACCTCGAGGCCTCGCTGGGGACGAGGCGGAGGCGGCTGCAGCTTCACAGGCCTGGGGCCTTGGCTGCTTTGACCCTAACTCTCCCCATCGTGGCCCGCTCCCCTCCTGCTGCTGCTCCCTCACGAGGCCCACGCCAGCCAGCCACTCACTGCGCCCTAGCTCAGGGGGCCCGGAGGCGCCAGTACACGCCTCGGGCATGTTCTTTGTTGCCTGGAAAGCAGAAACTCGGCTCAAAACAAACCATCATCAACCGTCTGGAGAACGGGACACCATAGCCCGGCCTGGGCTCTTCTGTCAAAGACGCACACGGTTCTCGATGACAGCCCTTCCTGCCCAACCCCAGTCCAGATGTTCACTGCCCACGCATCCTGCTAGTATTTTCGGATCAGAATGTCCCAGCTGTCTTTCCAGCGAAGGGCCTTGAGTTCGCCGGGCGAGAGGGACCTGTCCCCGTAGGTGAGTGGGCGCAGCGTGTTGAACACGTGACAGGCGCAGGAGTACCACGCCACCACCAGGCTGCCGAAGACGCTCCTCAGGAGAGGGGACCTGGACGCGGGCACAGGGCTCTTCCTCACCATGAGGCGCACCGGGCCCCCTGGACAGCCTGTCCTTCCTTCTCACTCCCTGCCCCAGGCACTGGACATGACCCCCTCCTCGTGCATGTTCCGGAGTCTCCCATCTACGCTCCGGCGCTGGAGCAGCGTCCCCATTCCCAGCATGACTGAACCACAGCCCTCCTGAGAGGCTGTGCAGCTCCCGACCCCCCAAAACACCGAGTCCACGCCCTCTGGCCCCGCTTCCAGAACTCGCTGTGGTTCTGCTCCATCGCACACCGTGAGACCCCGCCCGTGTCCCCATTGTTCGCCCCTCGCAGCCGGCCACACCTGCCTCCCGTGGTGCCCCCAACCCTTCCCACACCACCCGAAGTCCTCCCTTGGGACACCCCTGGACCTGGAGCCCTGGGGGGCACAGCCGCTGAGGCCCTGTACCTGCACAGGTGGTCGGCAACGTGCTGCAGGACCACAGGGAGCAGGAGGATCTGGAAGGTGAGCGCGGGGAGGTAGTGGTAGAGGAAGAGCGTCTTCTCCATCAGGAAGAAGGGGAGGTAGTTCACCGCCCAGCCGCCCGCACACAGAGCCCCGGCCAGCACCCAGCGCAGCCAGCAATCTGCGGGGGGGAGAGGCTGCCCTGAGCCAGCGCTGCTGACCTGGGCCCCGCGTGCAAAGGCTCTCCGCTACTCCCACGAGCTGCCTTCCTCATCTTTAAGGTATACACGCTCTCCGTTCCCCACCCCCCAACCCTTCCCGTGATCTCTGGAGAAAGAACGATGTCCCAAGAACCTCCTGTACTTCCTGTGGGGCCCTCACCATCCCGACCCCCAGAGCCATACCCGCCCCCCGGGGCCCCGGCTCCTCCAGGATCACAGGCAGGCAGGTTGGACTCTCAGGAGCCGGAGCTGGGAGGTGCTGTATTTGGGGACCCGCCCTCCCCCTGGGGCAGTGGTCAGCGGGAAGACTGGGGACGCTGCCACACTGCTGAGGCCTTCGGGGCTCCCCCTGCCCTTGTCTGTTTCAAGACAGTCCGCAGCAGTTTCTGTTACGCAAACCACCCGCACCCGAGTCACTCAGGGCCTGCTGACCACTCCGTGCCATCCGCCATCCCCGAGCAAGCAAACACTGAGGCGGGGCTCACATCCTGGGGAGAGGGCCATTCCTGCCTGGCCCCTGCATTTCCCTGCACGAGCCTCTAACACAACGTGGGATCCTCAACTGCAACATTTTATCTCTAGGGAGACAGAACACAGGGCGCCTGGGGGGCTCAGCATCTGCCTTTGGCTCGGGTCATGATCCCGGGGTCCTGGGATCGAGCCCCATATGGGGCTCCCTGCTCGACGGGAGCCTGCTTCCCCTTCTCCCTCTGCCCCTGCTGGTGTTCCCTCTCTTGTGTCTTTCTCTGTGTGAAATAAATAAAATCTTCTTAAAAAGATAGATTTAAGCCCCTTCCACGAAGAAACAAGGAGATCGCCTTAAGGCCCAGGTTGCTGGTGAGGCCGGCTGTCACCAGGAGTGAGACGCACTGACCCTCGGACAGGTCCCAGATGCACCTTCGGCGTCTAAGCAGGTACCAGAGGAAGAGCAGCACGTAGACCGCTGTGGCAAGGCCGGCCGAGGCCCAGATCACGACGTTCCCAAGCAGGTGGATCTGGGCCTGAGGGCACAGGGGACCACGTCAGCCACCGGCCGCTCAGAGGGACCCGGCCCCGACAACGCCCTCATGCCCGCCGGCCTGCAGCCAAAACCCGGGCACAGGCTGGAACCGCAGCCTCTGCTGCAGGAAGGGCGGGAAGCAGCAATGCGACCCGGAGAGGCCACCACCCCTGCTCTGACAACAGCGCCCCGCAGAGGGTGACCCGGGACCACGCGGAGCTAAGGACCCCGCTTCACAGCACGTGGCCGCTCGTCTCCACGCTGAGGAGGACGAAGGGGAGCGTTTTCAGCGTGAACTCATTTGGGAGGTGTTTGGAGCTCGGGGTGCCGGCTCCCGGCTGCTCCTCCTACAGCGTGAGAAGGGACAGCACAGATGTGCACAGAGCACGGGTGGGCTCGGCCGCGCGTGCTCTGTGCGGGACCGCGCGGGAGTACTTTAAAAGCCGCTCTTCTCAGAAAACGGGGAGCAACACGCTCCCACAAAGGCAGTGGAGCCTGGTTTCCTCCAACGTGCAGCGTGCCAGGACCTCACCCCCGCGGCTGACGCGAGCGCTGGCCCCGCAGGAGGCCCCGCACCGAGCCAGGCCCGCACAGGAGGCAGCGGCTGCTCTCCACGCCCGAGGAGCCCTGAGCGACCGCCCCGCCCGCCGCCTGCCCACGCGCCTGCGTACACTGGTCCTGGGGTGCAGCCAGTACGCGATGCTGGTGTCCAGGGTGACCCAGTCCAGCGGCGAGGAGCTGTACTTGTGCTCTGAGTCGTCGTTCTTCACCATCAGCATCCTCCACTGCAAGGAGCCAGAGGCCGGAGTCGCGCTCATAGCCAGAGCCGCCCTCGCTCGGGGGCCTGGCTGAGGGCCTGGGGTGTCCCTTTCACGTTCACCTGGACCACCCAGCACACGCGGCGCTAAGGTCCTACCCCGAGGCCCCCGTCACCCTGTCTGTGGGGGGAAGGGACTGAACTTGGTGCTAAGGACACTTTTAGATTCAGGACCCCTAGTTTCTGATTCTGATGTCGCTAGGGCTCCGTCATGTTGACCTCGGGCCACTCTGACCTGACCGTGGGGGGCTCCGAGCATACTCTGGCCGTGGGTACAAGGATACACTGCCTGGTCCCTGGCTGTTCCTGCCCGCAAGGCCACAGGCCCGGGGCCGACCGTGTGGCCTCGACCACTTACGGCCGAGACACAGGAACCCTTCCTGCTCAGCCAGGCCCCAGCTGAAGGAAGACGACGGGAAGGGCGCAGCGCTCCCAAGCACAGCGCGCCCTCTGGCGAGGAGCCAGCACCCCAGGTAGAGCCGGGCCACCCCTGCTGGTCACCTGCAGCTCCAGGAACCTGGCCATGAAGCTCAGGTTCCTGCTGACGTCCATCTGGGCGGGCGAGTGCAGCTCCAGCTCCCTCTCCTTCTGCTCCTGGCCTGGCACGACACACAGCAGAAGGTCAGGGGCTCACCGCTTGGAGAAAAGCCCACGTCCCTCTTCTCTGACAGCCCACGGCATCGCTCCGCTTGGCCTTCCCGGCCATCTGCGGGAGCCCCGTCAAATCCGGATCTTTCCACTCGAAAGGCTCAGCTTGCACCGCCCCCGGGCGCTACCTCAGAGCGACAGCTGGCTTGTTCAGGGCTTGGCTCAGCAGGGAGCGCGCATGGCGTCCGGTCCCCGAGTGAACCCGAGCCCATGGTGGGGGGCAGGGAGGGTGTCTCGTTAAAGCAGCAGGAAGCCTGCGGGCCAGACTCACTTTTGCCGTATCGGTGCTCCTCCACGTTCCACACCATGCTCTCGTGGTAGCCGCGGGACAGCTTCTCCCCGACGACCTCCAGCTGCCGGAACCCCCAGTCTGGGAGGTGGGCCCCGCTCAGCTAGCGAAACATTGGGTTGCGGGGGAGACGGGGTGACGCGCAGGCCCGGGGCCCCTGCTCATCCCCACCACCCTGCCACCAGGTCACTCTGTCCACAGCCGCCAAGGGCGGCAGCCTCTCCTGTGCACTCGCCACGTCAGGATTCAGTCTGAGAAGTCAGAGTCCTGCCCCTGCCGTGTGCGTGTAACACGGCAAAGGCTTTAGCCGGGCGTCCTGCCCGTGAAGAGTCCGTCCAGCCCGGAGGGTCCGGTAAACTGTGTCATGAGCCGCCCCCAGCCGAGACAGGTGAGCCAAACCCAACTCCCCTTTACCTTCAGGACCGCAGAGGTGTTCACGTGCACCAGGCGGACCTCGGACAAGATGGTCTTCCAAACCTCCGTGTCGGATTCTCGGTTCACGATGTCCTGTAAAAGCAGGTCCTGTCAATGATCTCGTTCTTTCCCCGATTTCCTGACCTGTCAAGTGAGCACCGATTACCAAACAACGATGCTGAGACAAGGGACCAAGCTCCAGGGAGCTAACAGGATGGTGCCCCGACCTTGCTCCCAACACCCACGCAGCAAGCCCCTGGCCGGGCCGGGGGGCACACTGCTCTGCTGCAGTCGAGAGGCCCCCAGGCTCGGCCTTCTCGCTCGTGCAAATGCACAGACGGCTCAGGCGAGGGCTGAGATGGTCCCTGAGGTGTCCTCAGCGGGGCGCGGGGGCTGCTGGCAGGTAATGGAACCACTAACATCGTGAGAGCACTTGGCCTTATATCTTATCGCAGCCCCGTGGTGACCCGTGCAGGCGTGTGGCTGTCAGGGAGGACGGGAGGACCCAAGGGCTCTGCGGGAGCAGGGAGAGGCCGGGCTGACGGTACACCCCGTGTCGGCCGCCCTCCCTCCTTGCTGCATGAGCCACAGTCCCTGGACATGTGGGCATGTGGGGGTGAAGGTGCTGCCGGCGGGAACGGGGGAGGAGGGGGCTTGGCCATTAGCTGTCTAAGGCCTGGTAGAAGGGCAATAGGTGGGCCCCTAGGAGAAGGTCCACCAGGAGGCCTCCCAGTGACGGGGCCTGGGTGCAGAGCGCTCCCATCCCATGGGAACAGACGAAGGGAGGAGGGAGAAGCAGAAGGTAGGCAGACACGTGCAGCACCAAGAAGGCGAGCGGGGGACGGAGGGACGCTGCTCACACACACACACACACACACACGGCAGCCCTGAAGCCCCTGGCTCCACAGGGAGGGCCTGTCAGTGGCACGGCACCCAGCACGCCCTGCCAGTCACACCTGCGAGCCCAGAACAGAGGGCGGGAGACCGGTGCTCGGCGGGCGGCTGCTGCAGTCGGAGCTGGAAGGAGAGCCTGCCTCTCGTTAGGGAGAGACCCCCGCCCCCGGGGATTAGCGTGCACACGGGACTAAAACCGTTTTTGAGCACGTCTTTGAACTCACAGTGGCGCAAGGACCCGGGGACACAACTGTCTCTTCCTGCCGCCGTTTCCAGCAGGCTGCGTGCAGCCCTGGAGAGGGACTCTGGAAGGGGGCAGCCCGTGTCCCTGGATGCTCAGAGGCCCGGTCAGAGCCCCAGCTGTCCCCAGAGAAACCCTACGGCCAGGGTGTTCCTTCATACCAGACGAGGCTCAACGAGAGAGGCTCCTGTGGTCAACGGAGGGTGGCTGGGGAGGCCCGACCCTGTGCATCCATGACCTGTCTTGAGTCTGGAGAGGCCGCCAAGGCCAAGGGCACCTTCACCTGGCAGGGCCCCGAGAGCCACATGGCCAGCACGGAGCACAGACCACCTGCTCAGCCAGCTCGTCCCTCCCATGGAGACGTCTCCCTTTCCACCAAAACACCTGGGGCATTTTATAGGGCTAAAAATCACTAATTTTACATCTGAATCAGTGACTCTAAAGGGCGCTTTTGAACAGACACATTCCTGATGGCCACGGAGGGGTTTCTGGCTGGGACTCACCAGTCGCCAGAGGTTCTGGGAGGGCATGGAGATGTTGTAGTCCACGTAGCAGGAGACCTCCTGCGAGTGGGGGCTCAGGGGCGCTGCCACGTCGTGCCTGGAAAACACAACGTGCTGTGGAGGGGGCTCCTCACCCAGCCCATCACTACGCCTCGAAGGGCACCGTCTGAGGCTTGCGGATCACGAGACTGACGGCAGCCCTTCCCCTGGGGAGAAGTACCCAGATGCGGGGTCTGACGGACAGCAGCCCAGGCCGCACGGGTGTCGCCACTCCACCATGGGCGACAAAGCCAGTCTGGGAAATGGTTGCGGGACTAGGAACACCGCGGGGGGATGAGACGCCCTCAGGTGCGGCGACCTCCAACGTCCAGAAAGAAACCACCTCCCTCATCTGTGTGGTTCTCACGCTTTATCCTCCTTTGCGCCAGGCACTCCGGAGGACACGGCCCTCCCTCGCACCCGGAGAAGGCAGACCTTCGTGCGCACGGCCAAGAGTGCCAGGCTGTGGGGCGCCACCAACAAAACCAAGAGAGCAGGAGCGCCTGGGAAAGGCTTTGAGGAGGCGACATTTCAGCTGACGCGTGACCACAGCGAGCGGACCACGGGGGATGGGAGTCCAAGAACATCCCAGGCAGAGAGCAGGTGTAAAGGTCTCAAGGGTGCCGCGGTCAGTCATCTGGGGACAGCAGGGAGGCCAGGGGGACTGCAGTGAAGTGATCCCGGGAGTCACCAGGGGCTGGATCCCGAGGGGCCCACGGCCAGGGAGAAGTGGCGACGTTATTCTGAACGTGACGGCCGCGCGGTGGGAGTCATTGGAAGGCTTCTGGCCGAGAAGTGAGGCCAGGCCAGTGGACGGTGTGGGCTCACGGGGCACCACCTGTGGTGGGGGGTAGGGGTGGGGAGGCAGGAGATCAGGGCACCGGCCCTGACAGCACAAGATCAGGCCTCGACTGGGCCAAGGTGGGAGCAGAAGGAAGAGAAGCAGCCGGGGCCGCGGCTGAAGCGGTGGCTTCTTCCAGGGAGAAGCGGGCCAGAGGCCAGGAGCCTGCAGGGGGAGACAGGGTCTCGAGGCACCATCTGGGAGGCGTGAGAAGCCGGGAGATGACCGGAGAAGCTGGGTGGAGGTAGGAAGAGAGGAGACCGGGCACGCTGGTTTGCAGAGACTGCTCGGGTCAAGTCAGGAAAGGGCTGAGCACCGAAACGCAGGGACCATCTGGACCTTACGTGGCCGGATCCCAACGCTTCTTGAACTCACACATACTTTAAGCCATTCAACTTCAGGGAAGTGGAGCGCTTGGTTCTACGTGGGAAGCCTTCCCGTGCTCTCCCTCACCTGTCTTTCGAAGCACCCCCCGCCCCCGGCCACCTCCCACTGCAGGGTCCAGGGCGGCCCCGGGGTCTGCGGGCTCCCCTGCTAAGCCCCGTGCCCCCCACCCCTCCGTGCGCTGTCATCACCATCACCGGGGGGCACCATCACACTGAGTGCAGGCTACAGCGCGGGGCCATCCTGAGGGAGCCAGACACTGGCGTGGGGGCAGTGGGGCAGTGGGCAGCCGACCCGAGAGGCACGGAGAGGGCGGACGGTGGGCACTCACGTGTTGAGGAAGCGGGTGGTCATGCCATGGACCAGCTGTACTACGTCCCCGTGCCGCACGGGCCGCGGCGGGCTGCTCACCACCAGCGGATGCCTGCGGACACGGAGAGCCGGCCCGTCAGTCGGGGGGCCTCCCTTGTCTCCGCGCCCCATGCACGCACCCCGAAGGCCAGCAGGGGGGTGGTGGGCGCGGTGGAGCAGCCAGGCACGGCCAACCGCCTCACAGGGCTGCAGCAAGCGGCCAACCCAGCAGCTGCCCCGGCTGCGCCACAACGGGTACCGGGATGCCAACGTGCCCGTGACCAGAGGCTGGCGGTCAAGGCAGCCTCCCAGAGGAGCAACAGTCAGGTTTTAAGAAAAAGCTGGCTAGGGCTGCCTGGGTGGCTGAGTCGTTAAGCATCGGCCTTGGGCTCAGGTCATGATCCCAGGGTCCTGGGATTGAGCCCCACATCGGGCTCCCTGCTCCTCAAGCCTGCTTCTCCTTCTCCCTCTGCTTGTGTTACCTCTCTCTCTCTCTCTGTCAAATATACAAATAAAATCTTAAAAAAAAAAAAAAAGGAGCCCCCGGCACAAGGCAGGACAGAGGCCAGGCACTGCAGGCCACCGTCAGGGGTCTGGATGGCCCTGGGTGGCCCCGGAGGGACGACAGAAGCTAGGAAGGGTTTCGGCACGACCGTGATCTGCCATGAGTGACATTTTAAAAGCCCACGTGCGGCAGCGAGAACTGGAGCAGGAGACCGCTGGGGGAGACGCAGCGGGTAGAGACAGAGGCCAGGATGGTTCGGGACCTCGTCTGCAGGACGTCCACGGACGGGCTGCCGGACTGGACGGGGCAGGGGGACAAGGGAGGCCTCCATCCGTGAGGCCTGGGCAAGGGAATGCCGTGGGGAGCACAGGAGGTGCTGGCAGAGAGCTTGGGAAGCCCCCGGGGAGACACTGGGCGGGGCGCGGAGCAGTTCCCTGAGGAAGCGTTCAACCCCCGGCCGCGGGCTCAGCAGCACGCAGCTGCTCTCGAAGCTTCCACGGAGGAAGCGGCCACGGAGAGGGGGCCACGAGGGGAGCCCCGCCCTGGAGTCCCAGCGCCCGCACGCACCTCCCGGGATCCTTCACGATCCACCAGTTGTTGACGTCTTTGAACGGGTAACAGGTCACCTGCTGCTGGTGTGAGCTGCCTCGGCCGTTCTCGTATCTGTGAGAAGGACCCGACACAACCCCGTGTCCGCTGGGCGCCGCCATCAGCCTTGCTCGCCAGGTTCCCGCCGACGCCGCCCCGCAAGGCGCCCGGGGGGAAACGAGGAGGAGACGTGTAAGCGTGGCCGAGAGGGACAGGAGGACGCGCCCAGCGTGCACGTCAAGCAGCCGGTGTGGGACAGCCCCCGAGGCAGAAGAGCCTTCTGCCCCCGAGTCCCTCTGTTCCACACACAGAAATGACAAGGTTCGTCGATAGTCAGAATCCGAGAGCTCAACGTCCTTCTCGGAAATTTCATTTCGAGTCAAAGCTGGTAACAGCAGAAGCGTGAAAAAGCCAAACATGTTACGACCTTCGGTTTACAATGGTCGCCCTCCTTACATCATGGGGTAGGTGCTCTGGTGGGAGTGGAGCCAGCAGGGCACGGGTTTGCCGAAGACGTTCTTCAGAGTGACCTGGGAGCCGTAGGCCACCTCCAGGGGCTGGCCCTGCGTGATCCGAGCTAGGCCGCCCTGAGACAAAAGCAAGAGGGGCCGTGAGCAAGAGCGCGTCTGGACAGACACACCTCCGGGCGGGGGGCGTATTCGGGTGGTGGCAGTCGTCGTTGTGTCACAGAACGAGCATGAGGACACGGGACCTACTCCTATCCCTCCACGCAGCCCTTCGCTTAGTGCCACAGGCATCCTCCGGGAAGTGCAACCCTGTCCGTTTGAAAGGTGAGACTCTCTCAAGTAAATAAATCTTTAAAGAAGAAAAAAAAAAAGGGCTCCCTGGGTGGCTCAGTGGGTCAGGTGTCCAACTCTTGTGTTTCGGCTCAAGTTGTGATCTCAGGGTCCTGGGATCGAGCCCCACGATGGGCTCTGCACTCAGTGGGAAGCCTGCTAGACATTCTCCCTCTCCCTCTGTCCCTGCTTGTGTCCTCTGTCAAATAAATAAATCTTTTTTTTTTTTTTAAGATTTTATTATTTATTTGACACAGAGAGAGAGCAGGAGAAGGAACACAAGCAGGGGCGGAGGGAGAGGGAGAAGCAGGCTTCCCGCCGAGCAGGAAGGCCGACACCAAAAACTGAACTGCCCAGGCTCCCCTCAAATAAATAAATCTTTAAAAAAAAAAAAAAAAAGGTGAGAAGACGAGCACTTGGATGAGCTAAGAAATTTGCCCAAACACACACGCCTGGGTGTCAGGAGTGGGTCCCATTGGACTCTCCCGTCCTCACCACCCCCAGCTGGTATGTTTCACGGTCTCTGCAGAGCCAGCAGGAAGGCACGCCAGAGCCGAGCTTGTCCTGTGACGTGTGGGCACCTGCCCTGCGTCTGTGGGACTTTGCCATGTCCTCAGGCAGGACACACTGAAGAGCTGACCCATCGCCTGTTTCCACGCTGTCCACACACGCACAGCTTGTTTAGAAAAACTAAAGCGGCTTCTTCATGTCTTGATTTGGTTTTCCCCCCTAACACCTGACAGTGTTTACATAAGAAACTCAGAGTCCAGGGGCGCCTGGGTGGCTCAGTCGGTTAAGTGTCTGCCTTCGGCTCAGGTCATGATTCCAGGATCCTGGGATTGAGTCCCGCATCGGGATCCCTGCTCCGTGGGGAGTCTGCTTCTCCCTCTCCCTCTGCTCATGCTCTTGCTCTCTCTCAAAAAAAAAAAAAAGAAAAGAAAAAAGAAAACCCCGAGTCTAGTCTTATCCCCTCTCCGAGGCGGCCGTGGTGCCCCTCCTTACCTCCAGGCTGGCCTGGAAAGCACTGGACATGATCTGGTCGTGGGGCCCGGAACGGTAGACCAGAGTCAAGTGGACGTAGAAGAACAACAAGTACATGAGGGCCGGGATGACCAGCAGCGCTGCCACTCGGGCAAGCAGGTGACAGAGCACACGGACCTGCCGCCAAACAGAGGACAGGTCACGTCTGGCCGCTCGGGAAGGTGCGCTCTCCGGACAGGCAGGCCCGGAGGAGCAGGCAGCAGAGCTCCAGGCTTCCCACAGCCTCTGGCCAGAGGCTCACAAAGCCTGTCTTCTGGAGAAGACTTTCTCCCCAGACGCTCACATCACACCGACCTCTGCCCACCCCGGGACGGCCACTCGCCCCATTCCACGGGGCACCTACATGTGACAGAGTCCGGTCTCCGATCAGGTGCCAGGCATGGACGCCGGCCACTGCGAGCACTAGCAGGTACGTGAAGACACCCACATATTTGACGCTGAAAAAACCCAAGGAGAAATCATTCCAACAAGGCACAGAGCCAGGAGACGGCCAAGGCTGCCTGAGGCCCGCAGCCCAGACTCACCCCACTGCACAGGAACAGGCCATTCCGGTGAGCGTCAGCCAAAACCACCAGCGCAGGGAGAAGGGCCTGGGGTCAAAGCAGAAGAGCACAGCTGGGAACGGATCACGAGACACTGCCCGAGGGGGAGCTCCCCTCAGAGCTCTTGGGATCAGTGGGCCGTCCTGAGCTCCACGACGAGAAAAACGCACCGTCGTCTCTCAAATCTCAGTCCCAGCAGAATTTTTTTCTTTTTGGCCAGAACATTTTCCCAGTTAGTTTAAATTAAACAGAAGTGAGAGGCGCCTGGGTGACTGCATCGGCTAAGTGGCTGACTTTGGCTCAGGTCATGATCTCAGGGTCCTGGGTTTGAGCCGCACGTCAGGTTCCCTGCTCAGTGGGGAGCCTGTTTCTCCCTCCCCCTCTGCGGCTCCCCCTGCTCATGCTCTCTCTTGCTCACTCTGCTCTCTCTCTCAAATAAATAATCTTAAAAAAAAATTACACAAAAATGAGAATGTATTTGTGAAGTCAGGAGCCAGGGGCCAGTCTTGAAGACGAAAGACATAAAGTCCACAAACGGCTCCCCCAAACGAAAAGGCATCAGACCCTTTCAGGTCAACAAACCACCCAGACTCTTCCCTCTCGTTAACTAGGAAGGGCGTGCCCCCTGCTGCATACCTCTGTTTTTGGGAGTTGGCAAACTTCAGGTAGGACAGCACAGCCAACAGGTTGAAAAATATCAACACTGACTCCAAAAGCATGAGCCTTGCCTGAGTGATGAGAGCGTTCTCTGTTAGAAAGAGGACACGTATGTCAGCTGTCAGGGAGCAAGGGCAGACACAGGGAGATGGGAGCACCCACAGAAAGGACACCCTCTACAGGCCACAGAACGTGGCCATGGGAAGTTCAGGATTGGGTGGCTGGAGGAGATGGGCTCCAGAACCACAGAAGCGAGTTCTGAGGTGTGAACCACACCTAGCAAGACCTGTGTGACCTTGGGCAAGTCACAGAACCTTTCTGAGTCTTTATCCTTGTCATGTACAAAAGGAATGCCAACTTTGTGGTACGTGGATGTATGCAGCTTCACAAGTCCGACCACACAGTTCCGCCAGCCCACACCCTGGGAGGAGGGCCACGGAGTCCTCCCAGAGTCAAATCTGGGCAGACTGGGCACACTTCCTTCCATCCTGTGGAGGAGACCCTGCGGGGGCACATCTACTAAACCCACGAGCTCTCCTGGGCTGCACGCTGTGACATAACTGGGGCCAATGTTGGGGGGCTTCCCTGAGCGGCACCAGAGCAGGCAGAGGCCTGGGTCTCACCGATAAGTATCAGCAGAGCGGCCCCCGTGGCGGCGCAATGAGAAAAGCCAAGCTCCAGCAGGATCTGGTAGGCCATGGGCACCAACAGAGCCCCGGTGAGGGCCGGCAGCAGGCGCAAAGACCACACGGGCACGTTGCTGCTGTATTCTGGAAAAGCAACCACAGCGGAGCTGACCACACGGGGCACGCACCACCTTCCTGCGCAGCAGGTGTGTTTTCAAACATGGAGTCACGTTCACAGATCCCAAAATGCAAGTTTGCCAAACTAGGCACCATGTCAGAAGGGCGTGTGTAAGTTGCGGATAAAAGCCTTGACCTTGGCCGTGTGCAGTCAGAGCCTCGCACTCATCGGGCATGCAAATAATGCCTCATGACTCTGAAAGTAGTTAGTGCTTTACTCGTTTATAAATCTGCCCTGCCTTTTCCCCAAAACACTGAGGCAAGAGACAAAACTTCCATGGAGAAAAGATAACTGCGACAGATGCCACACACAGACACTGCCCCATGGCCCGAAAACCGAGGACAAAGTAGGTGCCGTGATTATACACTAAGATGTTCGCCAGGCCTTTCAAAAGCCTTCCACGTGTACCGAATTCATCATACGCTGGACGGATTAATAAACCACGGTTGTTAATCCCTAGGAAAGCCCTTCCTCTCCATCCTAATATTCCAAAGTCACAAGGGACGTGAAAATGACCTATTACCTGCTCCGATCCTGTTCCACAGAAAGTTACCATCAAATCCTCCTAAATAACCTGAAACAAAAGACAAGTCAGAAACTACCCCAAGCAGCAAGAGTTGGGGAGTACCAAACCCTGACAGCCACAGGGAAACACTGATGACTAATTAGACACAGTTTCTGCCCTCAAGAAATTCCACTTACGAGTTTAATGATTTCTTAAACAAATTACCACAATTTTACTTATTTATTTAGATGTTGTAAATAGGCTTTATTTATTAATTTATTTTAAAATAATCTTTACACCCAACGTGAGGCCTGAACTCACAACCTTGAGATCAAGAGTCACGCGCTCCACCAACTGAGCCAGCCGGGAGCCCCTCACTTATGAGTTTTAAAGGGCTACTTCTAGGGGCGCCTGGGTGGCTCAGTCGGTTAAAGCCTCTGCCTTCCCAGGGTCCTGGGATCGAGCCCTGCATCGGGCTCTCTGCTCAGTGGGGAGCCTGCTTCTCCCTCTCTCTCTGCCTACTTGTGATCTGTCAAATAAATAAAATCTTTAAAGAATAAAAATTAAAAAAAAATAAATGGCTACTTCTCTTGCTAACGAATCCTACCTCCTAAGGCCAGCAGCATGTGGCCAAATGGTGGTCCACTGCCGTCGAGAAAGAAGATCCGCTTCATGTAGAAGGAGATGTACTGCCCGTAATACACTTCATCAAAGCTACAAAGCAAACAGGCGTGATAGACACTAGAAGCGGATGCCCCAGCACAGGTGGAGGGTAAATGTATTCCTGTTTCCAAACAACGTGAGTGCTCATTTGACTGCACCTGCACCTTGTCCCCAAATATTCAGACAGCGGCACAGCGCCATGCATCCACAAGGACAGGAGGGAAAACTCGCCGACAACAGCCATATACTCAGGTGTCTGCCCTACACAGACTCAAATCACCCTCCCCAGGTCCACTGAGGGACGTGCGAGCAGGTTGTCTACTGAGAGGCCTCCCAGACCCGGGGCTGCGTCTGTGACTAAGGGTCAGAATCACACCTGGTAACCAGGGGCAGGGGTCATGGGGGGACATGCAGAAACCAACTGCAACTGTTTTCAGACAGTTGGGGATATCCAAGGATATCGTCAATATTGCTGTCAATTTCTTAGGCGTGACAACGTTAATACAGTTTATTTTTAAGTTCTCATTTTTTAGAAAGATACCAAATTACTGAAACATGCTGCTTATGACTTGCCTCAAAAAAGTCCACTGAAGCTGAGTGATGAACACGTGGGGGGGGTATACTATTCTCCCTACTTTTGTGTATGTTTAATGGGTTCCACAATGTGTGTTCTTCTCTGAACACACGTTAGCCAGACAGCAAGTGGCCCCGTCATACCACCGGCCGTCATTGCTCCTTAGAGCAACACGCTCGAAGGTCAATGGAGACTCAGTTCCAAACCCATCGATCCTCTACCCCTGATTTTAAATGGGTACCTACGGCTGCTGCACCTGTTTCAGGGGCCACATTCCACCTGCTAGAGAACTACAGGGCAAATGTGACAGGTGGACTCAGCATGTGCCGCCCTGAGGACCCACTGTCCTCTCCTCTGCCCAAAAGACCCATCACTGAGAAGCCCGGAATTCCACTCTCTTGCTTCTGCTGTTCAGAAGGGCACTTTCGGTCCCCAGCGCATGAACACATCACAGTTTCCAGTCCGTCCTGAATGGGGTTGTCTGACTTACACCACAGCCCTTGGATAGGCGAGCTGCCACAGGCGGCTCAGTAACCCCACTGCAGTCAGAGCCACAACGTTCAAATTGATGTCAGCCGTCACCACCACAGGGCGCTCCAAAAATCCCAACATTGTGTAGAGAAGCAGGTCCTGGAGGATGCCCTGGAGAAGGACAGAGACGGCATCGGTAAAGCAGCAGCAACCAGAAGCTCACAGATTCGCGGAAGAGCTCGGCAGCCACCGCAGCTCTCAGGTGCACCGCGAAGAACCAGGCGTTGGGGTGGGGGGGGCGGGTGGTCCTTGGGAGAAAGTCCGGAGGACACCAGCAGTCACCTAAGGTGAGAACTCGGGCGCCTCAGGACTGAACAGTCACTCACTCAACAAGCCACTCCGCGACCACCCCCTGAGCGCTTCCCGGAGAGGAGCTGCTTATTAGGGAAGCCCCCGGGCCTCGCCAACCTGGGCCCCAGAAGGCTCCTCATCTGCCGCTAGTGCTCCCCCACCCCGCTCCCTGCTGCAGCCCATCACCTGGGCGCCCCACTTCTCACCCCGAGGGTGCGTCTGTACCCAGAAGCCCCCGTTTCCTCCCTGAGGCGTCATCTTCCCTTGAGCGCCACTTGTCTTCGCTGGGCGCCCCTTCTCGCACCAAACAAAGCTGCATCTGGCCTGTGGCGGTCCCCGCCTCTGCAGAGACCTCAAGGGCCCTGGGAGGCCCCCACTCCTCTTCCAGGCATTCCCTTTCTCTCTCGGGCTGCACCTTCCCGCAGGTTTCATTCGCCCCGGAGCACTCCCTCCTCTCCCAAGCCTGCACCTGCCGGGCGCCCCCCTCTCTCCCGGGGCGCACCTGCCCTCGGCCCCGCCCCCTGTCCGGCCGGACGCCGACGCCCCCGCCCCAGGTCGTCCGCAAGCCGCGCACGCGCGGCCCGCGCCGACTCTCGGGTCTCAACTGGGCGCTCGTCCCCGGCGCCTCAAACGTACTCTCTTTTCGTCGAGTTCCCGCAGAGCTGCTCCCCGCGTCCGACCCCGCCTCGGATCCGCCGACCGGGGGGCGGGGGGCGCCCACCGTTAGGGCTTCTGGTCGCGCGCCGGGGCGAGACTGCTCGGCACTCTGCGCCGCCCACGTACCGCCTGCTCGACGCTCGACTCGCCGGGCCTGCGGAGCCCTCTGCGGGAGCGGCGCGCGTGCGCCCTGGGCCAGAGCGCCGCGCGTGCGCCGCCGGGGCCCTCCGGGTCCGAAACCGCGCAGAGACCGCCTCTGTAGTGCGCCGTTGACAGCTTTAGTGCTTCAGGAGCCCCGTGGCCGCTGGACGCTCCAGTGTTTTTAAAAAAACGAGACGGTTGGGTCTTAGCCGTGTGCATCGCAGTGCAGTCCGGCGAGCAGCTCGCGTGCGGGGGTCTGCCCGGGGCCCGCGGGAGCGCTCGTGCGCAGGGAGGGCGGGCGGGGTCGGTGCTGCCGCCGCTTCCCCGCCCCCTGCCCAGGCTCCCTCGGGCTCTGTCGCACTGCGCAAGGCTCCCCCGGACCCCGGCCCACCGCTCCTCGTGCTCCCTCGCCCCCCTGCCTCCCCCCGCCGCCGCTCTTCGGTCCCCCGCTGGCGGGGCAGGACGGCCAACCTACGGCCAACCTTGTCCCCAGTTTTCCCCTTCCCGGTCCTCTCGTGTATGTGTGTTCATCTCACGGATGGGTATTGCAAGGTTAAGAACTACAATGGTGGTGGTTCGCGAACCATCTCTCTTCCCCGCGAATGTTGGTCAAGCCAGCGTTAGAGGACACCGGTGGAGAATGTGGGGTTACTTCTGACTTACCCGTGCCTCGCCCAAGGCTGTGGAGAGGGAGGGAGCTGGAGCTCACCCCGCCTGAGGCCGGGGACTCCCTGGGCCCCCGGAGCAGTGAGGCTGGCTGACTCCTGAAGTTCCGGGAACCCCCTGTCCCTGGCAGTGAATCCAGGGAACGGGTTTGGCCGCTAGAGCTGAGACAGCCGGTGCCCAGGTCCCTGTTCTTCCCTACAGTCAAGAGGCGCTGGAGGAAACTGCAGAGTCTTTCCTCATGGAAGGTGTTCTATGCAGGGGTGATTTAGAAGCCTCCTATATTCTTAACTGGTGCCCATGACCTCTTTGAGTCCACACTACCCCAGGAGGTTAGGTACTGTTAAATCGGCATTTTACAGTTGTGATTCCAGGGGGGTGAAGTGTTCTCCCAAGTCATGCAGCTGGGGTGGTTGGGGGCAGACCCGACATTCACCGCTGGGACTCAAACCCAAGAGCTTGATCTCTCACTTCCCGACTGGAGCATTCCTCTTTCCTACCCCAAAGTGCAGCATAAGCCTCTCTTCCCAGCAAAAGATAAGGGTCACTAAGAAGTGGCAAAAACAAACAAAAACCACGACAAAGCATAAAATGGCTCACACAACTGAGCCTGGCTGGCTCAGTTGGTAAAGCACGCAACTCTTGATCTTAGGGTCAGACGCTTACTTAAAAATTAAAAAAATAAACCATAACAAATCAGATGCTTTCTCCTCTGACATGCCCAATTCTACGGGGAAGTAGGGAGAGGGCAAAGGGCAGGCAGATGTCCTGCACACCTTGATATCACCCACCAGGGGAAAGGATGGGCACTAACACTTACCCATTTGGAATATTAACCTTTATCTATAGGTTTTAATCCCTTCTCTCCCCCACCCTGCTTTAAAGCATTTCAGCCAAGTCACTCCCGATTTCCACATAAGATGTCCCTAAAAATCCTTCCATCTCTCTCATCAAATGACAACAGAAAATCGAGGGACACACAGCCTGAGAAAGCATGTTCAGCTTTAGGGCTTTTTCTTTTTCTTTTTTTTTTTAATTTTTTTATTTAAATAAGGAGAATTCTTTCATATGGAAAGAGCTAGTACAATCACATATTTGAAAGGAGAAACAATAGGTAGTGATCCGGAGGGAAGGGCAAAGGGTGAGTGTGCCACCATGGCCTGCTGAATCCATGATTCCATTTCCTATCCAAGGCAAAAGCTTACCAAAAAATATATAAACAAGCTGCACATTACACCTTTAGCCATCGTCTGCCCTTTCAAATATCTGGTCTACATGAAAAGACAAAGAGGAAAGGCCAAACTAAAAGCAAAAGGGAACAAAAACAAAACAACCCTCAAGAACAAAAACCCAAACCCTTTTTACTATGCAAGGCATGAGGTCAAAAGCTTAGAGTACAGAATCCCCTTCAAACAATGGAAGAAAGTCACCCACACAGAGCCTTCATAGAAATTTCCACTCTAAGGCTTTATAACATGCTGAAGACAGGGTCCTGGGGACACTGCCACGCAGCCAGGGTGGGGAAATGGTGAACAGCAAGGTCAGATGCGCCTGGAAGATCACTAGCCAAGTATGCACTGGTGGTCCTGACAGAGGGCATGGCTAGGGGACAGTGCCTGGCCCCAACATTGAAACACCCTGTCCCAGGTGATCTCTTGGGTCCATCTCACATTTTCAAGCAGGAAGAGCTGGCTTTCTGGAAGTCTGCATTTCCCATTCAGCACAGAACATGACACAGCACACTCTGGTGTCCTTGGTTGTCAAAGGCCATTTCCCACAGACCTTCTAACCTAGGCTTGCTCTGCAAGCAGTGAAAAGGGACAAATACAGACTGGAGAGGCAACATGCAGCTACTTGGTGGAAAGGAACTGAACAGCTGGGAGGGAGGGGCTGTACCAGTCTGCCACACACTGCCTCAGTGGACCATTTCTGAACACGGCTGTGCACCCATGTGCACACCCTCAGCCTCCTTGGCTCTGAGCATCAGTCACAAACCTCATCACCCATCCAGAGGGCAGATCCAGAAGACAGGAGGGCACGAGCATAGCTGGGGGGACCCGAGGTCAGTATTTCACAAGATTCCCCAATATCCCTAGAGGTGGCTGGAACGACCACAGCTTTGGAACTCAACCGGTTTCTGAATGTCTAAGTCATCCTCTGGTTTCCCTCATAAGGAACCCAGAGCCAGAAGTGTATGAATTCCAAGTCTGAAAATAGTAATAATGTGGATTAAAAAGGGGGAAGCAATAGTAAAGAAAACGAGACCAAATATAACTGGCAGAGAAGTTTCTGGCGGTGGGGGTGTGTGTGTGGTGGGGGGTGGGTAATGCCTCTTGGACACTTGACCCCACACTCCAGGATTTCACCCACTGAGTAGTTGACACTGCACGGACACTACTGCAGGGTCACTGGTTGCCAAGCAATGGGCTGCACCATCAATGGCCAGGGCCGAGCTGCCAGCATCAGGAGGTGGCAAAGGTGCAGTGAGGGGTCTCTGACTGCCCCCAGCCCCCATCTCAGAAGCCCCAGAAAGCAAAGTGCTGGTCTTCACCTGTTCCCACCTAAGGCCCCGTGGCATCCCGGCAGAAGCCTCTGCATGGGTATGCGCTGAGGATGGGGCTCTGAAACCAAAGTAAGACCCTAAGCCCTATTACCTTGAGCTTCGTTCTAAAACCAAATGAAAAGAAGAGATATTGCACCTTAAAACCTGTCTGCACTAAAAACTGCATTTAATCAGACCGAGGAAGGGACTAGGGTGGGGTGGGGTGGGGTTGGGAGGTCAGGCAGGCCTCAGCCCTGCCCTCTGCCCCAAGCCCAATTTAAAATCTGTATCTTAGTGGGAAAGAGGCCGCGGCTTGGGCACACGGAGGTGGTGAACGCACTGACCTTCACATGCAATTTCCTGGCCTTTCCTGCACGGAATAACTCAGACATTATATATAAATAGAGCAGTGAAACATTTACTTTTTTCACCTAGACCTACAACATCAATACATATAAATAAATTCTAGTGTTTTCTGTTTTTATTGGGAAGGGGGAGGAGAGAAAATACAAGGGTAGAGGAAAGGGCTGGCGAACAGGTGACCTTTTGTTTTTATTTTTTTCTCAAACAGGAAGCACGGTCTTGCTGAGGGCAGGTCCACCTGAAGGGTACACCTTGCGTTTCCAACAGCATCCGGGGCTGCTCTGCCGGAATGCAAAGTGAGAAAACCTTTGCCTTCCTTCTGACATACAACATGCACCGCTACTAGCTGTGCGGGCCTGGCCGTATTTCTGAGTGTGCGGGCAGCGGGGAATGTGTGTGGCTCCCACAGGGGCAGCCGGGCAGGGGAGGCAGGTGGCAGCAGAGGGGAGCGGCGGGCAGGGCGGCCAGTCACAGGGACAGCGGTCGCACACTGGCAGGGAAGAGAAAGCAGATGAGCACACGGGGCAGGCGAGAGCAGGCAACTCGTCAAGCGAGCAGCCCTCGGAGAAGGGACCCCAGAATCGAGATTCAGGCGTGGAGATGGCCAGCTGGCGGAAGCCCAGTCTGAGGGCAGAGGCAGGAAGGGCAACACAAAGCTGTCAGGAAGCGCGAGAGCGTCTTCCAACAACACCGGCCCTGTCCAGAGGAGCCTCACGTCAACCCGGCACTCTCGCTGGCGGGACGCACCCCGAGTCCTTAAAGCAGCAAAGGGCCCCGAGGCGCTGCTCCCTACCGGGTTCTAGGCTGGACACAGCGCTCAGGGCCATGGGGCGTCACACAGCAGCGGTGACCCGAGGCTGGACTCTGTGGGGCTCATCGCCGCTCACCTCCTGCTCGTCCTGAGCTAGGTCCTCCCTGTCGTGGAGGAACATGGCTGGCCAGTTAGTCACCCTGAAGAGCACGCACAAAACTTGACATTTCCCTTCCCCTCTCCTTGGAATGGCAAAAATCGGGGATGATTTCCTTCTAGGTCTTATTTTAAAAAAGAAAGAACAAAAACCCAGCATGAGATGGCTCACACACACATCCTGCTGGCAGCGTCCCTACACGCTTTTTCCCGAGGCTGCCCACGGCTGCGGTGGAACAAGGGTCAGACCCGCAACCCACCCTCCCCTCGGAGCCCGCCCCAGCTGTCCGGGAGGACGGCTGCCCACAGCCCAGCTCAGGCCACTGTGCCCCCACCACCCGGGTGTGTGGGTGGGAGCCGGGCCAAGGAGAAAAAGCTCGCGCAGCAGCCTTGCGGGCCACAGACCCCAGCAGGTGGCCGGCCGCGCGGCCCTGACCCCACGTGAGGGAGCCTCGCGGCTTCCAGGGACCAGCTGTGTGAAAGGTGGTGGTGGGACAGGAGGACCCAGACAAGAAAGAGGCTCAGGAGGAAAGGAGGAGGGCATGTTATGGAAGGCTTCCAGGAAGGGCATGTGGGTCTGATGACAGCCCCGGGAAACACCAGTGACTCTACATCTCTGTGATTTACCTCAGCTGCCCCGTGCTCGCATGTCCACTGGCTTTAGAAGAGTCCAGGACAGAAACCGCGTGTCACGATTACGCTAAAAAAGCGATCGGCTTCACTGGGCTGCCCCGAAGCTCCAGCGGCCGACCATCAGGCCAGGCGCTAGAACCCACCGCCCCAAAACACCAGCCTAACCTGCCCCTCTCCCTCGCTGCCCCTGAACACGGAGCCGCGGGCCGGCGTGCCACCCACGGTTTCTGCGAGCACCGGTACCGGTTAACCCGCTGAGGGAGTGCAGGGGGCGGGGGCACGTCTGCCCGAAAGTCCTGCGTTAAGGAATCACAGGGACAGCCCGGCAGCAGCCCCAGAGAGAGGGGGAAGTGTGGTACTGGGACGGAGAAGGGGGAGGAGAGGATGGCGAGTGTATAAAAGTTCAGCTATGCACACATAGCTTCTGTTTGTTTTCTTTTCCTTTCTCCTTTGTAAAAACTTAGCTGCTTTTTAAAACAAAAAGCCTCGAACTGAAACGGCCCTGCTGTCAAACCACTACGCCTGGGGCCTGGGGTGCGGGGTAGGGGGCAGGGAGGGAGAGGGAGGGACGGGGTCATCTGTACTGCACAAAGGCTCGAGTCACTCCACGGTCACTGTGGACAGGAGGCGGGGACGACATGGGGACGGGGTCGTTTGCTTGCTTGTTTGCTTCGTAGTAAAGCGAGCAGGTCAATGCCACATCCACGGGGGCAAGCTGGCTGGACACAGAGCTTTCGGGAGTGGAGAAGGGAAGGGAGGTCTCTCAGTCTGGGCCAGGTGGTTGGACGGTGGATCTGGTGAGGTGTCCGAGATGTCCGCGAGTCTGGCTGTGTCCAGGCCGAGCAGCGGCCCTGTCCTCAAGGTGGGGGGCGAGGCGTGGCCAAGCACCTTCAGGCCTTGCTCTCCTCCACTTTGACCGCCCGAGGCTTGATTGCTCCAGTTCGCTTCATCTGGGAGGCAGCGGAGGGGGCCTCCTGCAGTTTCACGCTTCCCAGGCTGGGTTTTTCATCCACTCGTTGTTTGGCCTTTGGACAGATGAACGGGGACAAAGACAGTGACCCTTATGCAGAAACATCTGGCTGGATACATAACTCCCACGGGCCCCTGTCTGCTTCTGAGTCACAGAAAAGGGCTACCCTAAGAAGCCCATTCCTTTGGTGGAAGGATCAGACTCAGAAGGACACGGACGGACACTGCTCTCTCCCCTCCCAAGAGTGCTGAGGGCAGTGATTCAGGGAGGCAAGAAGGTGCCGGGCCCTCTGGGAACCATTCTGCAGTGGCCATGGGCCCGTGCAGCAGGCGCACATCCAAGGCTAACTTGGAAGGACCTCCTCAAATCAGTGCATCCCGTGCCCCAAGGGTAAAAAGCCCTTGAGCAGATCCAAGTGCACCGCAGGAGTCGGAACTCCCAAATGCCTGCAGAGGGGCACGGGGCCAGCACGTGGACTTGGTCCTCCCTGGTCTTCAACACCCAGCCCCCCAACTCCTGCTCTCCGGAAACGTCTCCCCTGGACCCTCGTTTGGCCTCGAGATTCCCATCAGGGTCCCATGAACCTGCAGCTCTGTGGCCAGCCTCGACTCTGCCCCCCACGAGGGTGTGACCTCTGCAAGAAAGCTTTAGCAGCTCAGTCCAAGCAATTCAAGGAGCGACCCTCCAGGGAACCAAGTTAGGAGGAGTGACATGAGTGATCAAACTTCCGCCTCCATCAGCCAGGAATGTGGTTTTATTAAAAAGCCACGCCTGACGGGTGTGAGCTCTGGACCCCATCGCATTTTAGAGCAGCGGCTGAGAACAGTGCCTGAAGGCAAAGACACTGAGAAACCCCTTTTGTTACAAAATGGGAAAGCCTCATTCCACTGGTACTCCCACCCAGCCAAGACAGAGACGAGACACAGCACTTACTAGAGCTAACACACGCACGCACACACGCGCGGCTTCTAGAGCTGACCCACAGACCTAACCGAGTCCCCGCGCCTTCACAGCCCAAATCGCTACGGAGGGAGGTCCACCTTCTGGCGCCACCTCCTCAGAGGAATCCGCATCCTCCCTTCTCTGCAGGACAAGGAAGGATCCAGACGCCCATCAAGAGGAGAAATGCCTTCGCCAGGAGGGACTCGGGCTGCCGGCTCCCGGCGCCACGCTCTAAGCGCTAGGGCTCGTCTCTCTTTTTAAGAGGAGCACTCAAATGGTTGGACAGTCCCTTCTCTTTTGGCGCTTGGAGACGGGCCTAAGCGTCCAGGGCTGGAGGGTCTGCAAAGCCATCTTCTACCTGTTGAACGTAGTGTCCCTGCACAGAGCCCATGTTAACTGCTGATCCAGAGGGCTTCCCACTGGGGCTAGCAGAGCTAGGCCTGAAAAAACCAAAGGCAGGGGGTGAGAACACACGCGTCGCCAGAGAAACCGAGTCAAGCCTAGCATGTGGCACGGCCCTGGCTCGGGCAGCGCCCTCTCAGACGGAGGAAAGCCAAGACCTCAGCCAGCCAGAGGGCAGAGGGTACCAGAGCAGCTCGCAGAGACGCACCCGAGGGTGCGGGCGCTGAGGGCACGGGGGCCGAGGCCCCAGCTGCGGACAGCACTGACCGGACAGGTAGATGGCCACTGACGGTCTCTCAGGGTCTGGACCAACAGGATTCTGTGACCCAAATGGTCTCTGAAGCTGATTTCAGAATGGGGCCAAGTTTACTCCTGCTTTCCACTCTTTAGGCAGTGTGTATGTGTGTATGTGTGGGTGTGGCTGTGGGGGTGCGGTGAGTGGAAAGAGAAACCAAAAGCAACAAAAATCTTTTGGAACATCTCTCTGAATGTGTTCCGTTGACCGGACAACCCGTTCTCCTGGATGCTGACTAGGGCTCTGAGTCCCAACAAGTGCTGTGCACAGCAGAGTTCATCAGGACCCTTGACAGCGGGGGCGCCCAGACCCTGTGCCGAGGGCCACGAGCCCCAGGTGTCTGACCAGGGAACCCTTTTTTGGCAGGGCATGCCTTAGAAGCCCCGTTTCCAGAAAACGTGGAAAACACCAGTTTATAAAACACCAATTTTCCCTATCCTGCTACAGCACCGACAAAACAAAGGCCATTTGTGAGAGCTTCTACCTTCTACATGTTCTCCAAAGGGCCTGATGCTGTTCTCCTACGCTAAGCAGACGCGGGCAGGTGCTGCTCTGTGAGCCTGGGTTTGCCTCTGGGACCCGACGCTGCTCAGTGCCACCCACGGCGGCAGGGGGGTGGGGGGGAGAGCATCTGCATATCCACGGAGCTGCCTTCCTCCCTCGAGATTATACTCATCGTTCTGTGTTGCTGTCTGTCTGTGGTTTTCCGAAATGCTATTGTTTTGGTTTATGTCAAAAAGATGGAACACTAAACAAACCAATAAACAAAAATAAAGGAAGCCAAGAGGGTGACGTAAGAACAGAAAAGATGATGGAATGGGGCAAAGGTCCCACGGACGCCTCTCTCTGGAAATGCAGGTGGAGCGTGGAATGACGGGACAGATGGAGGGACAAGGATGCGGCCTCAACTCTCCAAGAGCAAAGCGGCACAGCGTCCGCGGCAGGAAGACGAGATGGTGCTCTGATCTGCGTTGTGCTCCCCAATGGAGGGCGGCTGTGCACCAACAGACGGACCTCGGGGCGCCCTGGCACCCTGCTGCGAACCTCCCACGGAGCGCTGCAAGTCACGCACGTCTGTTGCACCCGCTCGCAAGCAGGAGGGCGTGCAGGCATCCCCCGCATACAACAGAGCCGACCGCACCCACCTGCGAGCCCCCGGCCGAGCGTGCGGCCTCCCTCTCCCGGCACACTCCTCCTCGGGGCCCAACAGCTCAGCGGAACCAGAGGTTCTTTGACTTTCTAGCATGATCAGTAATTCAACACCAGGCTCACCCAAAGCCACCCCCGGCTGAAGGCCAGGGGCAGTTACTGGAGGCAGAGACCGAGACCGAGGACGCAGAGAAAAGGGGCCAGTCTGCACCATGAGAGGCACGGACGGCCCTGCAAGGCCAGCAGCCACAGGCCCTGGCAGGGCCAGGGGGCCAGTGCAGGGAACACGCAGCCCCGGGAAAGGAAAGTCTCCTTGCCTTCCAGGGAGTGCACTTTCCTAGCCAGTGAATCCTTTGGAAAACCTCGTGAGAAAGCTGTGATAGTCAGGCCAGGCTTTACACTATTAAAACGTCAGACGTTCCTTTTCCTACCTTTCCAGAAAGCTCCCCAAACCAGAGCATTTTATCATGATGACTAAAAGCAAAACCACTCCGCCAGTTCCTGACGTCCCTGTGGCCGGCTAAGACATGCGTGTACCCCAGCGCTGAACTTCAAGGTGACATGGGGCCTCAAAGGGGAACCAGCCTCCACGCCCTTCCACAGCTCTCCCCCAGCGCCTAGGACTCTTCTGAACCACTCAGTCCCATCGGGACCAAGGACTCCGCGACGCAGCATCCGACCCCCAGGGCATTTCTTTACCTGTAAGTCTGCGGTGATGCCACGGAGCCTCCGGAAGGAACATTCTGTTTACTGTCGGCAAAGTGGAAGCCCTTCATCTCCATCTGAGAGGACTGAAGGCATCAAGAAGGAATGAGCGATCATTTGAGGGCCCAGAGATGCCCGGCCCTCCCCCATGCACAGCCGATAAGAATTCCCAGGGAAGAGAGGGATTGTCTAAAGGAACCCGTACTCCCCACCACCCCCCAGTCTGGGTTCAAGAGGCTTTTTCTTAGAACTAAGAACTGTCCCGTTTTTGTCTTCTTACAGGAGGGTGGCGAGAAAGGACTGTGCACCAGCAGGATGCCCCTCAACAAGAGCCTGGAGCCCAATCCTAGACACGGTCGGTGGGGACGTCTGGGACCAGTCTCTGAGACGCCCCAGCGCAACTCCCCTGGCCCGTCAGCCCCACACATCCTTCTGCTCTGAGTCTTGGCTCATGTCACCTGCTTACACAGGAACCAAGGGGGCCCCGCCATGGGGTTCCTAGAGGACTTTACCATGAGCAGGATACCAGTGGTCTGGTGAGGCCAAGAGCTCACACCCCGACCTCTGGCACTGCCTGCCCCCAGAGTGCTTCCTGACTAGCTAGCAACGATTCTCCCCAGGACAGAGTGGGATGGAGTCCTCCTTACCTCTCTGCTGGTGTTAAGGACCGAAGGCTGGGAGCCGGGTGGAAGGATTCTTCGGGGGGCCCCGACCGAGAGGCTCTGCCCCTGCGGCAGCTGGATGGACTGTGGCAGAATCAGGGGCTGCTGCCCAGAGCCATACCGTGGCAGGGGGAGCTGGGAGCCCGGCAGCGGCATCGTCAGCTGCTAGAGAACAGGGATAATCAAGACGAAGAATGGATGTTGGGGAGGAAGCCACAAACTACTGTTTACATGTGACCCCGAGAGCAAACACGTGTTATACATCAGGTTCTCATTTCCACAGAATTAAAGCACGGCCTCTACATGGTAAGACAGGTTCAGGATTTCTGCTAGGGAGCAGCCTCGAAGGCAAGTGTGACCGCTGGAACCAGGCAGGTAGAGAAGACAAGCTCAGGACCGTGCCAGCCACAGACAGCAGATGCCACGCTGTGAGGTGTTTCTGGGGGAGCATGGGATGTGAAGGGCTCCTCTCCGGGACTGCACAGGGCCATGTGCACCCCAGACTTTCTTGCTTCCAACCAGCAAAGGGTTACCGAGTGCACGTTATGTCCATCAGAGGCAAGCACGAGGACACGGTCAGACCCAGGGCACAGCGAGGACAGGGCCACACCGTATGCGGACCCAGCGTGGGGACTGCAAGCAGCAAAGCCCTGTGCCTGGGGGCAGGAGGGCTTCTTAGGAAGGAATGGTTAACAAACCCCTGAAAGCAAATGTGTCCGGCGTCCCGGCTGCTGTGTTGAGAACAGACACTGTACGGATGTGTATCTATGTACCCCTTTGGAAGGCATAAAAAGGCAAAACCCCTTTAACTGATTTGCCTCTAAAGGTGATGGAAAACTCAGCTGGGTTCTGGGGTTCAGGGTTCCTGGAACTGGAGACTCTTGGAGGCTCCTGAAGGCTATTATGACAGCAGAAGGTGTGTGGGGCAGGGGTGGGGGGGCGTGGTGACAACGAGCTCTGTGTGACTCCTTGTCAAGTCCAGCACCGCGTGGTGACAAGAAGGGGAGCCTGGAGACTCCGGACTGGGGCAGGGAGGCCACTTGTTGTCTCTCAGTCACTTTCCTCTTCATCCCCCTGCATTGAGTCCACGGTGGGGATCAGAAGGATCTATTGGAACTGCATCACGGAGACAGTGGCCGCCGGAGTCTCCAGAACCCCGCTCCTCCTTGCACACGATAGGCTGCAGGACGAACAGGAGGCCGGCGCCACGCTGCTGGAGCGCCAGCTAAGGGTGGTGTGGCTACACTTGTGTTTCACAGGGCCCCCTGGCCGCTGTGTTGAGAACAAACGTTTGGGCCCAAGGAATGGGTGGATTCTGGTAATTTCCAAAGGTAGAGCCAAGAGCACCTGAGGGATCAGAGAGGGCGGAAGGGCAAGCGGGACCTACACGGACAAGATGGCCATAACGACTGGGCGAAAATCAGGCTTTGGATTTGATGCCTTTGCTATTATGTCTGAGACGCCATAGGACGCCAGAGCAAAAGCGACAGGCAGCCCGTGGGCTGGAAAACATACACCCGGTGGGACTGGGAAGACCCATGTCACTGGGACTTAGAGCCACCGGGCAGAACAGAGACTGGAGGGCAGAGCCCAGGGTACACGGGGAACCTGCAGAGCACAGAGGTGAGGAAGAGGGTTCCAGCAGGAACGCTGCCTGCGAACACGTGCCAGGGCGGGGAGGGAGGTGTTGAGAGGAAAAAACCACCATCAGGAACTGACCAATGTCCTTAGAAAAAGTTTTATGGGGTTTTGTCTCTTTAATGAGGGGATAGGGGAATAATAGGGTCGGCTGCGTGTAAACAGGGGCGAGGCCCCACAGCACCTGAGGGAAGGAGCAGGGGGCACTCTGTACAAGATCTCGTTTTGTCACTGCTTGTATTTCTCTAGTGACACAGGAGGCAAGATGCCACAGGGCGGCAGGTGGAAGGCGGGGAGGAGAAGTCGCAAGTCTGAAACCCGCAGTGGGGGCAGGGGACCGACGGGCCAAGTGCAGGGACACGGACGCTCCCGAAGGTGGCTGTCGGTGCGTGGCGTGCGTAGCCCAAGCAGGTCTGGTTTTCCGCGGGCGCAGACGGCTGTGCAGACACAGGATGGACTTTACCAAGATGAGAACACTGGAGGAGGGCCGAGAGCAAACGCAATGGCACAGCTCTGCTAAGCTGGGGAGGGAAGGATGTGAGCCCACTGGGGCACATGGTAAACAGGTGGCCAGAGCCTGGGTCGCTGGACGGGGAGAGCTAGAAGAGCAGAGCTGGTGACTGGCAGGACCCTTAAGCCCGAGATGACGGAAGAGGGACAGCTTCCGGCACTGACCAGCCCAGATGGACAGTGAACACAGCGGAGCACTGCTGGCAAGGGGACCGTGGAACAGAGACCAGGCAATCACCTATGCAGACATCAAAACCACGAGCGGCTAGATTAGGGGCCGTGCTGGGGAGACTCAAAGCCACCCCATACTGCTGATGGTCACGGGACAGGAAGATGAGAAGCCAAACCCTGGATTCATCATGTGGACCCACAGGCCCCCGGAGGCTAGTGGAGCAGTGCACAGTACAGGCTCCAGAGCTGGGGTTTTGGGGAGGAGGAGGGAGAGCAGCCTAGATGCATCACTGGGTATGCAAGGACAGCACCCCATCTCTAAGCCCCAGAGGAGGAGGGTGGAGAGAGGCCGTGGGAGCAGCAGCACTCTGGGGGACAGATAGGAGACTGGACCATTCCCACCAGCCAGAGGACCTGCCCCCAGTTCTAGCGGCCCAGGGACTAGTCACAAGGGTCACAAGCAGCAGACCACACCTCAAGAGGCAGACAAAAAGGAAAAAAAGTCATGAAAGAAAGCGGCCTAGCGTTCTGAGCAGGAGGGACTGAATTCCTAACCTGTGGGAGCTGGGAGTCCAACAACTGGGAGGCGCCCAGGCCAGCAGCCTGACCCAGCTGGCCCTCGTACACCAGGGCTTGGTTTCCACTCATGGGCTGGTAGGGGGAGCCGGACTGGGGCTTCACCATCTCTAAGGGCTGCATGCCGGGGAATGCCGAGTACGGAGGCTTCAAGGCTGTGCCTCCAGAGAGAATCATGGTGCTGGGCGGCGACAGGCTGGGATGCATGTACACCTGAGACCTGCAAAACCAGACACGTGCTGGGTCAGAGGCGGGAGCACGCCAGCGGACCTCAAGTAAGAGCACACATCACGCTCCCCACACCATGTGTGCTGAGACCCACACTGTTGGCCTCACTGCCCCCCCACCCCGAATTTCTGACTTAGGAGATCTGGGACAGAGCCTGAGAACCTGCGTTTGTAACAGGCTCCTAGACGGGGATGTGCTGGTCTAGAAACCACAGTTTGAGCGTCTACACTGGAGTACACATCCAGGCTGTATAAGGCACGGGAAAACCTGGGTGACGCCAAAGGCCCGGACTTCGGACACATGGGAAGAGCAGACCCAGGGTGGTGGCCGGCGGGAAGAAGGGAGGACAGGGAGAGGCTGGGAAGGGGTAGGATGACGTGGAAAGAAAAAATAAAGCCTGGGGAGGACCATCAAGCCCATGTAGCTTGTGCAGCAGTCAGGAGTGATTCCAAAGTGACTATGGTCAGCCCCCCATCCACCCCAAAAGCAGAGAGGCGTGGATCAGCTGCACAACGAAGGGGGCGAGCCCACAGGCCGCGGGTGCAGACCTCCCAGGCTGCATCTCACCTGAAGGGCTGCAAGGAGCTGAAGATCTCCTGAGCCTGGGAGGCGGGCAGCCCACCCCTCAGTCCCAGCTGGGCTGGAGCCTGCAGAGACGTGTGAAGGGAAAGTGGGATCTGCGGGGCAGCGGCAGCCTGCGGAGGGGAAGCCGGGCAGTAACCGCGGGGCCCTCTGGGCTGCTGCTCCAGTCCCCCCACCATGCCCCACACCCCCACCACGCGGCAGCCGGAACCCTGCCCCAAATGCACACTGGGCCGTGTTCCTCCGGTGCTTTCCTTGCTCTTGGGAAAAAGCAAACAATGGGTCGTAATCCCAAATGCTGTTATGTTCCTACGCTGGATTCTGTACAACAGCGAGAACAAATCCTAGCTACAGGTACTGACAGCCGTGCATTTCGGAACCAACGGTGAGCAGGACACGCACACAAAGAGTGCGTGCAGTACGATCAGGTCACGCAAAGATCAACATCTTATAAATCTAAACAGCGTGATATTTTAAAATGTTTTATCAAGAGGCTGGGATGGGCCACGTCCTCTTTCCTCGGTCCCCAAATCTGCTTCTGCCCAAGGGAGCCACCATCCTGACACCTAGGTCCAGAGGGTGCTGGACCCTAAGAAGGCTCCGCAGCTTCAGGAGGGAGGATTCCAGAAATCCGCCCCTTGCGGCACAGAAAATACGCCCATCCTGCATGAAAACAAACGCCTGCACGTTTCTAAAACTACCTCTTTCTAACGAATCCATGCCTGGGACTCTAGGCCTTTCTTCTCTTCATCAGAAGGATACCTGATACCAAAGGATACCAAAGAGAATTCCATTTCAGCTAATTCCCCAGCTAGGACACAGGAAGAAGTCTGAAAGAGGGAAACGGAGAGTCTGGAGTGCAGAGCTCCATTCCTCTTCCCTGTCTCTCCTGTGTCCGTTCACTGACCATTTCCTGGCTGCTAGGACGGACGGGGAGCTGGGCATTACACGGGAGGGACGAGGAAGTAAGACAATGCACGAGTCAACGCAGGAGGTCACTCCTCTGTGCACTGCTCCCCCGTCCCCCACGGAGCCACCTGGCTGGCCGCCCTCACCTGCTGGTAACTCTGCTGCTGAGGTATGGTCTGGGGAACCAGCCGGGGCTGACTTGCGAACATGTGGCCGTCCAGGTAGAGAGGCGGCAGGTGGCTGCCTGCGAACAGAAGCCCAGAGGAGACAGAACGGAGTCAAGCCTCACTGTTCCCGAATGTTCACGCGTGCCTGCCTTCCCAGGAAGGCGGCGGGAGGGAGTGTGTGCAGAGCCTGCTCAGCCCCGTGCCGCTGGCCCCGTGCTCCAACAGCCCCACTCTGACTCACCTGCTGGGGAACACGGGCAGGTGGCGGCATCAGGGCCCAGTGTGGCAACGGGCTCCATCCCACCCTCACACCCAACCCTTGGCCAGCACTGTTGGGAATGGCCCCACTGCAGCAGAGATGGCCCGGGTCTCGGACCCTGGCTCTTCTCTCCCCCCACACCAAGCCCACAGTGGAGGGTCAGAAATGGGCTATAGGAACAGCATCACTGGGCCTCTGGCAGCTGGGCCCTCAAAACCCCGCCCTGGCCCTCTGAACGCCAGCACCGTGGGGAAGCAGACTCCCACTCATTGAGGGCTTGACTGACACGGAGCACTTTCCAGCTATGACCCTGTCTCATCGGCTAACCCGCGGACAGCCAGTCTTCTCTCACAGACGAAGGGGCTGCAGTGCAGGGGGCTGAGCCCCTCACCGGCGGTGAGCCCCATCTCCGCATGCTCCCAGTCGGCTTCCCAAGGGAGTGGAGCAGGGAGGCGGGACAAGCAAGTTATCTGCAGCGCCTGGGAAGCTATGACCTCCCGACTGCACACCAGCTCCTACTTCTGCACACTCCTTAATGCAAGCAATCCAAGCTTCTCTGGAGAATGAGGGGGACGACCGACCGAGCTGGTTCGGGCAGGGGCGGGTATGTGTGTGTGTGTCAGGTGGGCATACCTGGAAGAGAAGCTGAAGGCGCGACAGAGGCCACAGGCATAGGCGGCATGGAAACCCCACCAAAGGAGCTGTAGCTGACCCCGTTGGAGGCTCCCACAGACGATGCGGGTTGGATGCCTGAGCCCGTCCCGCTGGGAGAGCTCTGCTCCGGCAAACTGGGTGAGTTTTCCCAAGCCTTGCGTGCAGACTCCATCTGAAAAGCAAGATGAGCGGAAGCATTACCACCAGGAAGGCAGTGGCTGGCACAGACGGAGGACGCGGGACGGCGGGCGGGGCTGCTTGCTCTGGCCTCTTCCCCAGCTAAGGGACCCAGGAGGTCCCCCCGTCACTCTGTGCTGGTGTTACCTTCAGGGTGAGGTCCGCAGTGGGGAAGGACATCTGGGAGAGGCCGATGGCCCTCTGGATGTGATGGTCACGCCGGAGAATGGGAATACTCGGCGCCAAGCCCGCCTGGAGGGGAGGAGACCATGGGGTACGACAGGCACAGAGGCAGAATGACAGCACAGCAAAGTGCCCCTTCAGTTCGGGCCTCGTGTGCTCATGACCCTGAAACGAGGCTGCGAGCAACAGAGACCACGGCTGTCTCCTCCAGATAGCTGCCTTCACGGACTCCCGCAGCAGAATCCACGGAGAGCCACGTCCACGCCCTCACCCCATGGCGCACGGAGGCACTGGAACCCAGCTTGGAGATCCGAGGTCCAGTCTTGGCCCCCCCACCCGAAAACTAAAGAGGTCCTTGTAACATTTCTTCATATATGTGCTCAACAGACCTGCCCGCACATGCCCAGTGCCCGTAAACCTATTACAGGGGTTGTGAGAAACTGCTCAGAATAGAAATACCCCGGCACCATCACACATACGTAAGCACGGAACTTGGAAGATCAGAGAATTGCAAAGTGCCAAATAAACCAGACCCTGGGAATTACATTTTCTCATTTTAAGATCCACAAAACCAGGGTGAGGAACATTTACACAACTTGCCCAAGGTCGTGCAACCAGCTAGAAAATGGGGCACACCTCATACTCCGGTCAGGTGGCTGACCCCCAAACCTGATACTGGTCCCCTCCTCTGCTTCACGCTGCCCTCCAGCCCCCCAAGAGGCTTGCTCCCTTCGTTCCAGGCCTGCCAGCACAGAGAACAACAGAGCTTGGGGGCAAAGCACACTCACGTTACTGGCCAAGGCATCCTGAAGTTTGACGACCGGATTCCCCGCAGGACCGGAGGCAGAGCCAGGCGGCAAGCTGAAATCAGAGTCCTGAGGAGGATGAAGAGCCCACTGAAATCATCCGGCCTGCCTTTCAGCAGAGGCACACATCAACTTGACCCACAGTCTCAGTGACTCGAAAAATCGACTGAGCAGCATTCACCAGACAGCACCCAAGAAAAGATGCCACCCCCTGCCTGTGCCCACTGGCCAACCCAACGGAGACAGTGAAGATAACCCGTCCACTCAGCCTGAGAACCTGGCTGGTGCCAGAAGAATGATCTAGAAGGCAGCTCAGTAGTGCCTGTCACGTCCAGCACGCTGACAAGCTCCCCTAGAATACTGCTGAGCTCCCACCCCCCTGCTCGTTCTCACTGACAATCCCATCTCAGCACCCTCCTCTCTCTCCAAGCATAAAAAGAAGGATGGGGGGCGGGAAAGAAACACAGCCTGGACTTACTTTTGGATTGACTCCAAATTCAATGGGCGGCACCGGCAACACAGAGTCCACGTGAATCTCCACCCCGTTAACAGGTGGGACGACGGCCCCCTGCAGCCGGTCGGCCCCCTCTGAGCCCTTTCTGTTTTTCAGAGACCGCTCATTGCCGATGGGTCCCGGTCTGTGCTCCTTGCTCTGTCCTGACCCTTGTTCTGCATCCTTGATGGAAAACCAGGGACACTGAGAAACACAGACTGGAAGGACCCCAACCCTCAGCCCCTGAGCCCCAGGAAGAGGGGAGGAAGACAAAGGGTGACAGCCCCACCTGCCTTGGCCCAGGCCACTGTAAATGGACGTCCAGCTTACCTTCGGCTCGGACTGCTTCTGAGCCTGCTCCTTGTGGCCGTCAGCCTTGGGCTCCAGGCCAGACCCGCTCATGTCCTCTGGTTTCAGGGTGCCGTACGGGGAGCTGCGCTGGGAGGAGGTTGCAGACGACTCCCGAGACTCAGCGCTCAGGTCAACGCCGCTGTCCCCCTGGCTGCTCTTAAAACCCTGCTGTGCGAGGGACGAAATGGGTCAGGAGTCCTGACCCCCAAACTCCAGCGTGGGACCAGGAAGCAAGACCAAGCCAGTGGCTGAGACACACCCCCTGAGTACGCCTGTCCCGACCTCCACCCTGACCCACCGATGGTGGCCAACACCTGAAGACACGGCTGGAAGCACAAGCCGCACAGTGGGTGCCAGGGACACAGCTGCCAAACTCATCCCCTTGTGACCCAGGTCAGATAGACCAGCCGCCGCCACCAGCTCGCGGGAGAGGCCCCGGTTGCCCACCCTCTCGGGTTAATCCCCGCCCTCCCCTTCACACCGGGCCCTCACACAGATGAGAAGTCAAGACAGAAGTTGAGCGCCAAGCTGGGGCCTGTGGAAATGGCCCTGGTGCCAGGCTCCGTGGCTGCGGTGAGCACGCAGGGGGCCCGAACAGCGAGGCGGCCACTCACCTCGGCGGAGCCAGGCTCGGCGCTGCTGAAGGCAGTGGCGGCTTTTGTCCAGGAGTCGTTGGTCGGGGCCTGAACGGGGAGGGCTGCCCGAGGGAGCAAGACAGAGCATCAGGGCATCGCAGAGGAAGCCTGAGGCCGGAGCCACGAGCCTGGGTGCCGTCGACACACACCTGCGCCGCCACCCACCCTCCCTGCCCTGTCAGCGGCGTCCGCAGAGACAGGACCCCCGGGACCTGGTGGCGGGCTTTATGCAACTTCCCAGCAAGCTCAGACTCTCATAAACATGCTTCTCGTCCTCCATCAACGAGGTGCTCCGGCAGGCCGGCCAGCAGGTCTCACCCCATCTGGGAGGATTCTGCACCGCCGTCCCTGCGAAGCGCAGCTTTCTCTCGCTTAAGCCAAGGACTCATTTCTACAAGCCGGCAGCCCTCACAAAGACTCAAGCCGGGATCACCCAACTCCCGCCAGCTCAAGGACCACTCCGAGAGTCCCACAGAAGCCACAGACCACAGAACCTGACACGCTGCTTTCAGATCCAGCACCCACACACCCCGCCCGCGAGTGGCCGGGGACGTGCTGGAGAGTCCTAGCAGTGAAGCCCCGAGAGCAGGGGCAGGGAGAGTCCAGCCCGCTCCGAGGGATGAGCTGGCGGGCATCTGCGGACATCCGGAGTGTGATAACCAACACTCATTTGGACGTGCAACCAAATCATCGGACAGCGACAGCTTAGAGATCGTTATACCTCCAATCAGAGCTTGGGTCTCTACCAATGGTGTGTGTGTGTTTAAGATTTGATTTATTTGAGAGAGGGAGCGACAAAGGGGGCGTGCGAGAGAGCACAAAGCGGGGGTGAGGGGCAGAGGGAAAAGCAGGCTCCCTGCTGGCAGGGAGCCCGGGGCAGGGCCCAATCCTGAACTTCGGGATCATGACCTAAGCCGAAGGCAGAAGCCTAATCCGCTCAGCCAGGCAGGCGCCTCTCTCTCCCAGTGTTGTTTTTCCAATATGTTGGAAACAAGGTCACATGGTCAAATTCAAAGAATACCCAGAACCCAGAACTGCGGCTCTGGGGTCACATCACTGCGCTCTGGAGACCTCGGCTACTCCGCAGAACACACCGGAAACGAACAAGTTCCCTAAGCTCCCCTGCAAGGCACCACGTGTCCCCTTCTCTCCTTCGCCTGTGTACTCTGTAAGGCTCTGCCCAGAGAAGGCATTCAAGAAAAACCTGCTTGATTGAAATGGTTTTGTATTTTAAAATGAAAAGACCAGAAAAGGAGCACTGAATTAGAAATTTGTTTTTTAAAGTTCGGGGAAATAAATTTTCCAAGAAATCAGGTGCTCTCACTCTGTCTTACTGAGAGGGCATCAGGAGAAATGGACAGAAACCCCCGGAGTCGGGGTCCGGGCCGGCTTGCAGCACAGACAGGCAAGCTTCGGACCCTCTCCGCCTCCCTAGCAGTCACCTGCAGCTCTTCCACGGGGGAGAAGGAAAGGTTAGGGTTAGGGTTAGCAGACAGAGACGGGGCTCTCGTCGTCCAGACCACTGGACACACGGAGGGGTGTGCTCCTGTCCCAAATTTCAGGCAGGGAGCAGCTACTTTTGTCTAAGGGTTGCACCAGCGGGTGGGGCTGCGATGGCATGGGACACTGGGGCTCTGGAGAGGAGGCAGGGAACCCGGAAAGCCGCGTGGGCATTCACAGCCCCAAAGCAAGACGCTCCCGAGAAAGGACCCTGGGCCCAGAGGACAGCCCTGAGCCAAGCCACTGAGCCCAAGCACCCAACTCTTACCCTGGCTGCTGCTCTCCCAAATCTCGGTGCCCAGGCTACTGCTGGGCACGGTCACGTCACTCTGCTCCAGGCACAAGTTGTTTTGCTTTTTAGCAAACCGGGGAGGAATACGGGAGGAAAGACCTCGCCCCTTGACGGGCATCTGAGGAGAAAAAGGATGTGTCCAGCCTTGACGTGAAGCATAAAGAGCGACAATTTCTTCCCAGGGACAGCACCCTGGGCCCCCAACTGCCCCCACCAGAAACTGTTCCGGAGGTGCTAGAATAGTCGCCTCCTGACGTTTCAACCACAGGTGAACGGCACTGCCGACCGAGCCACCCCAGAAGGGGCCGCAGAGGCCGTGTGCGCAGCGGACAGCCCTGACTGCGTCTGAGGACAGGGTCCCCGAGCCTCGTGATGCCCCAGATGACAAATCTCATCCCACACAAGCCAGAGCAGCGGGAGGAGGGTGGCCTCAGAGGGACTGATGGAGGCCGGCGCCCTGCCGTTGTCACCAGGGACAGATCACCCTCTTGGAGAACCGGATACTACCACCTCCTCCCACAGGACAATGGGGGCCACGGAAGTACTCCCCCTTCCCCTCTATCTTGGGCTTCATTCAGAACTCTCCTCCTCTGGCTCTGGGTTTCTCCGTCCCGGCCCACCAGCCCCCTGGCCCCCTTCACCTGCACGGCCTGCTCCTTCCTCCTCCTCTCTTCTTCCAGCAGGCGGCGCTGCTTCTTGGTGAGGACCTCGATGAAGCCTTCACCCGCCATGGGGCCCACTTCACTCTCCTCCCCAGGGCTGGACCCGCAGTTTTCAATGATGGAATCTGAACCCAGATTTCACAAGAAGGGACGGTTGTGTCCGTTCATCAGCAGAAAGGATAACCCAGCCCTACCAGCTGCTGGACTCCAAGGACGGCTCGGCTCAGGAGGCCGGCAGAAGCCAGCTCCACGCCTCCGAGGACGAGCGGACGAGCATGCTCGCGGGGTCTACGGAAATCCCGCTGGGATCGCTCCACCCTCCCCGCGACCCCTCGGCACGCGGTTATCCCAAACCAGAGACCTGAGGAGCACTACAGTTACGGAGACAATCTCTGGAAACAGAAACGCCAAACTCCCAGTTCTGCTCCCGGACAAACCCCTCAACCTCTCTGGGCCGCGGTGCCCCCTCTTTGAAACTGGGACACCGCGGGGCGGCTCTGGGCATCAGCAAGGCTGTGAGCAACGAGAGGGAGGAATCCTATCTGCTCTGCTCGCCACCGCAGCCTTGGAACTTAGCCCGCCACCTGCCCGGAGACCACGGTGCTCAGAGGACGGGCAGCCCCCGCAGCCCCACGGAGGCCGCTGCTCTTCTTCCCCCTGAAGACGCGAGAGGACACTCACTTCCGTAGTTCAGGTCAAACTGTTTCATGGTCTCTCCCTGTTCACCCGCCCTCTGAACAGCCAGCTTGGCCTCCTTCTCTGCCTTCTCACAGGGGGCGTCGGGGGCGTCAGAAGTGGCATGGGCTGGTCGCTCCAGCGCGTAGTGGCCGCTCCCACCACCGCCACCACCAAGACCTCCAGGCAAGGCCTCGTCTGGGGACCTGTAAAGGAAGGAGGAGCTCGTCATTTCGGACGTGGTTGAAGGCTGGGAAGGAGGGAAAAGGAAACCCTGCACGTGCACACAGCACGCACATGGACACAGCGCCCTGACCTACAACATCCCGTCGTTCGGCCGAAGGTGCTCTCCGGCAGCCGCGTGTGGTGCGCAAGGCCCCGTGGCATCCCCTCCCCCCCACACCGCTTCAGCAGCTCTGCCCACTCATGGAGAGCACCCCTCCGCCCCCGCCCCTTCCGGGGCTCAGCACCTCTGTTCCTTCCCACTGTGTGCCACACTCAGTGGGCCTGTGCAGAGGAGACAACGAAGGGCTTGCCCTGAGCAGAGCCACAGAACTTTCTGCCCCGGGCACACAAGACTGGCCAGCAAGGAGCCAGACCTGGCCCTAGTACAAGGCTCTTGGCAGAAGTCAGAAGCAAAGCCAAGTCTTGGCATCTGGGGCGGGGACAGCGAGGCTGGGCAGACACCTGGAAGGACCAGCATTCTCAGAGGGCCCCTTCTCTGGGGCTCTGAGACAGCTCAACCCCAGGTTTCTGACTCTGGATTCTAAGGAGAACAGGAGGCAGGAAGCAGCCTTCCTCAGCCTGAGCTGTGGCCTGCGTGTGGTCAGGAAATCAGGCTACCCAAGTGACTCCCTGCATGTGCTCTCTCCCTTTCCCAGATTCCAGGCAGCCTGTGGGCAATAAGCAGCCCCAGAGCACAGATCAACCCCTGAAACACCCAGGTCCCATGAGAGATGCTCACAGGGCCTCGGACGCCTCACTCCCTGCTGCTATGGCCTGGCTCTTTCGACAAGGAGGCAGTTAAACCCAAAAGCGGGGCTGCATTTCCTCACTGTCGAGAAGCAGACTCAGGGCCAGAAGGCCAGAGGCCCCTGAGGCCACTGGGTGACAGCAGCCACAAAGCGGAGGGATCTGGGGGGCTGGCACCATCCACAGGCAGCACCTCCTCAGTGGGGCAGCCACCACACAAGTACCACTGGGGCGGGGACTCTAAGTTCTGGTGTCCAAGCCACAACAACAATGACAACCACACACGAGAGAAGCAGACAAGCAGTGCAAGAGTGAGTGATGGAGACGCTCATACACAATGGTCTTGGCAGGCAGCCCCCCCACCCCGCCCCAGGGCACAACAGAGGGACAGAGTCGGCTCCCGACACACGGCGGGACACGCATGCATGGAGTGCTGCTTAAAAAAACAGGCTTAGTAACAGAACAACAGCAACAGAAAAGAGCCTGGGGTTGGGTTTGTGTTTTACCTTTTGGCTTTCAAAGGCGTCCCATTCTGTTGGCTCTCATAACGGGGAGAAGTGTCACCACCACCTGGCCTAACCGACTTCTCCCCAAACCCCCCCGGCTCCAGCTTTCGGCTCTGCCTGTCGGCCAGGGGCCTCTGGCTGGAGAAGCTCCTCTTGGCCAGCTCCTTCTTCTCGCCCACAGCAGCCCCGGGCAGGCTGCCGTCCGCCTGGGGGTCGGGTTCAGCCCCTGGGCCCTCGCGCCGCTCCCGCCTCTCGCTGAAGTCGCTGCTCTCAGAGGCCGTCTCCCACTCCTCATTGGCGTGATCAGACGAGTTCTGGTACGAGAGCTCGGGAGACCCACTCTTGTCCCCGGGGCAGAGCTTGGGCCGGCCTGGCCATGGCCCTGCCGGCAGGCGGGGCTCCTCCTCGGGCCCCCAGAGGCCCAGGGATTCCCGCTCCTGCCGGAGGCGCCGAAAGCGTGGTGGCTTGTCCTGGCGAGGAGGGCGCCTTCTCCGGAACGGCCGGTTCTCTGTGCCTTCTGGGTCGGCCGTGTGGTCGTCAGGGAAGAAGGGCCTCTTGTCCTCCAGGCGGCTGTCCTCGAAGGCCCTGGCACCAAAAGAGTCAGAATGTCTGTAGGCATCAGGGACACAGTCCCTGTCTGCAGGTCGCCGGGACCCGCACGCGTCTGGGGAGCTGTACTCCTGCCAGGAGGCGCCCGGGCTCTTGCTCTGCCAGTGGGCGGCCTCTTTGGACACGAAGGTTCTCCGCCCGTAGCCGCAGCTGCTCAGCCGGGGAGGGAGCGCCCGGCCAAAGGCGCGAGGGCCTCGGCTCTTAGCCTCCAGGCTGCTGTGGTCCTCGGAGCACACCTTGCTGGAGCGCCAGGAGTCCCTGAAGTCCCCCTTCCTCAGGGCACCGCCCTCCCGCTCCAGGAGGGCGGCTTCGTTCCCGTTCTCCGAGCCTCGCTGTCGCCGCCGCTTGGGAAGCTCTTCGTACTCGGAGCCCTCGCTGTGGGTCTCGCTGGCGATGCGCCGCCGCGGCTTGGCCCTGGGGAAGTCTTCCGGCTGGCCGAGGTCCCGCAGCCCCCGGCCGCGGCCGCTCCTCGGGCCGCCGCCGTACATGCCCCGCGCCCCGAGTACCCCCCCGCTGCAGAGGCCGGGACCGCCGCCCACAGGCCGCCCTCGGAACGTGAACTCTCGGAAGCCGCGGCCGCGGCCCCGGGTCTGCCCTCGGCCCCCAAAGGCTTGCTCCTCGTCAATAAAGATCCAGTTATTCCTCTTTGTCGGGGGGGTGTCGCTGCACTCCCGGGGGGGTCTGCTCTCCCAGGCCCCGTCGGGCTTCTCGTCCCCTGCACACCTGCTGGCCTCACGGCCCAAGCCAGCGCGGGCGGAGCCCTGGTCCTCCAACAGGGAGGGGGAGGAATTGGCCAGCGCAGGGTCGTTCTCTTGGTCCTCATCCTTGTCCGCCGCGCAAACCGGCCCCTTCTCCTTGGCCACGCGGGCACCCTCCTCCCCCAGCTCCTGCTTCACCTTCTCGAGTTCCTTCTCCTTGTCCTCTACCTTGAGGGCTTTCAGCACGGGCTTCTTGATGGGCCCAGACCTCCGCGTCCTGCCGGTCTGCTCCGGGTGCTGGCCACTGGGGCCCCGGGGCTCAGGCGTCCACTCGGGCTGCAGGGACGGCTGATCGTTGGGGCTCCCTTCCTTCTCCCAGGAGGAGACGTTAAACGATGGCTCCTCCCGTGGCGCCCCCTTCTCGATGCTGTTGGCTGTGTCGGTGGCCTCTGGCGGGTGGCTAACGTCCCAATTGCTATACTCTGGCTTTTTCTCGGCTGGGGCAAAGTCGGGCTCCAGCGGGGAACACCTGAGGTCTGGGGTGTGACCCCCAGGAGCACCTGCTTCCTGAACATGGTCTTGGGGTGGAAACAAAAGCTCCTGGCCTATTCTTTGAGAAGAGACACAGCTGTCAAAGTCTGCTTGGGCCTTCTTGTCAAAAGCACTCAAGAACTCCTCCCCTCTCTCCTCAAGGAGATCGCGCTGGGCACCTACGCCCCCTGACCTTCCGGGTGAGGCAGAGTAAGAGCTTTCATTCCTGAAAAGGAACCAGAAAAATCAGTCAATGTGATTGGAGCCTGGTTCCTGGTTTCCATGCTGAACACAGAGTTTAGTTTTAAAAAGAAAAAAATTTTTAAAAAAAGAAAACGAAAAAGAAAAAAAAAAAACAGCAAAAAAAAAAAAAAAAAACCACAAGCACCAACATTTGCTCTATCTTTAAACACGTCTTAGAGCTGCTGGGCCATGGATTGCTGGGTGGCCCCCGGCGTCCAGACTGAAGAGTGCGGTGGCTGCTGGTGGACTCAGCATGCCACAGGGAGGCAGAGCAGCTGGGGATCCTCTGGTCCAAATGACAAGCTGGAGGCTGGGAGTCCGCGGAGAGTCTGGGGCACTGGGCCAGCAGGGCCCGCTTGCTTCACTTTCACAGGAAGGAGCCACGACCTGGGCACTCGACCCCGCCGAGCCCCACCCCTCGCCCTGACCCAAGGTTCCACAGATCTGCCTCTGACCCGGGACCTCTCCTTAGCCACTGCCAGTCTCACCGGCAGGTCATCGCCTCTCATACAAAAGCCTTCGAGCAAACCTCATCAATTCTCCATCCCCGGAGGGCACTGCCAGTCCCGGCAAAGTGCCCTTTCTCCAGGCAATGCCTCCAGGGACAGAGCTTCATCCCAGAGCCCCTTGCAAGCAGGACATGGAGATTCTGCCTTCAAATGCAGGACCACAGGGCCGTGTTTCATCTCACCTGACGTGCACGTCCATGGCCAAAGTGTCATTGGATTTCGGCGGGGGAAGCGAGTAGCCCTTGCTCTGCAATGCCATGTAACCCTCGGGGCTCCACACGGGGGCTGGGTCGAGGGCGGCCACTTTCCTCTCCTGCAGTGGTGGCGCGCAGCTCTGGTCCTCAGAGCGGCAGCCGGTCCCCCCGAGGGCATCCTGGGGTACCATGGGCTTCATCAGTCCTGGAGAAGGCAAAGGCAGAGAACTCCTCTGTACCAGCTCATTCAGGGAGCCACGCTCCCAACGTCAGGGGCAACCAGAGGCCCAAAGGAGACACCAGTTACCCTGTCACGTGGACCCAGCAGCCTCCCCCACTGCACCCCAGTCCATCATCACCGGGCTCTCCGTGCTCTCTGACCACAGAACCTCTGAACGCACACCTGCGTGCAACACTAAGTGTCCCAAAGAGCTGTCCTGGGGGCCCGTGGCGTCCAGCCTGCGCTCCCGGGTCCAGAACCCCGTGTGGAGAAGTACATCAAAATGGCAGAGGGAAACCGGAAACAGTTCAGTGGAGAGCTGGTCCTGTCAGCAGAAGGCCCGAGGGGCCGATCGGTCAGCCACGAGGGTCTGCCTGCAACAGACGCCAAGGTCTCCTGCACACATGGAGGAAACCGAGCTGCGTGCCTGAGAGGCTTACAAGGACGGAGACCTGGGCTCTGCCTGCTACAAAACCTGAGCCAGAAGACTTGGGAGGGGATTTTGGTTTCAGGTATTTTTTTTTTTAAATGATTTAATTTAATTAATTAATTTATTTGACAGACCGAGATCACAAATAGGCAGAGAGGCAGGCAGAGAGAGAGGGGGAAGCAGGCTCCCTGCAGAGCAGAGAGCCCGATGTGGGCTTCAATCCCAGGACCCTGAGATCATGACCTGAGCCGAAGGCAGAGGCTTAACCCACTGAGCCACCCAGGCCCTAAGACTTTGTTTTTAAGTCCTCTCTACACCCCACATGAGGCTCAAACCCACAACCCCAGATGCCCCGGCAGATGTGCCAGACAAGCACCCCAGTTCCTTCTACTTCTAGCCCTGAAACTGACCGCAGCACTCCACATTTTTGTACAGTGAATGGGGGCAGGAGGACACACAGAGGACGACAAACTGTTAACTGGCCCGAGGTGATTAAGACACAGACGACAGGGCCCCCTGGGTGGCTCAGGTAGTTAAGTGTTTGACTTGGTTTCAGCTCAGATCATGATCTCAGGATCATGGGATCATGCCCTGAGGCGGGCTCCGAGCTCAGCAGGGAGTGTGCTTGAAGATTCTCTCTCTCCCCCAGCCACTGCCCTCGCCTCAAATAAATAAATCTTTAAAAAAAAAAAAAAAAAAAAAAAACAGAGAGAGAGAGAGGACGCCTCATCCCTGGACAGATGCTGGCTGGGGAAGGTGTGTGCCCCAAGGCCTCTCTGTCCGTGTGGATCGAGTGGGGGCAGAGGGGGGAGGGCGGCAATGCAGAAATTAAAGTTCTCATCAGGCCTAAGCCTGTGGAGAGAAAAAGATCCAATTTCTCAAATATTCTCTTCACGAAGCTTATCTGCAGCCACACTCTGTGTTGTGCCCATCTTTTACTGAGATGATCTGGCTGGAAAACGGTTCGACATTAAGCCAGCGGGTTTCAAGCTTTCCGGTAGCTGTGGAAGGTACTGATACAGGACTCCGATATAAAGTTAGTGCGGGGCAAGGAGAGGAGACCCTCTCTGGAAATTGGCAGTTACAGACCGCTCATTAAGGGCTGATTGAGAGGCACACGGAAGCGGTCGACACTGTACGTCAGCTTGGTTTTGCTTGGTTTTGGCAATGTGGCGGCTCTTACGACCCAAAAAACCCTGCTAGCACAGACATTCTCTGCCACAAAGATCCCATGCAGAGTGTGTCAAACGTCTCCCCACCCCGCCGCCCCCTACAGAGGTTCCCAAGAATACGGGAAACCCCAAGGGGCTGAAACCACAGCCCCAGGCCAAAGCCACAAGCTGGTGCTTCCTGGGCGGGAGCAGGGAAACACCCCAGTCAGTCGCAGCAGCTAGGGGCAATGGGGTTTTGCAGAGAGCCATAACTGGGACGCTGCTCAAGACAGAGACCCTCAAAGGGTGAGGCCCTCAACGCAAAGGTAGATTTTAAAACATATGCTCTTTAGTACAGCAAAACAGGAGGTTTATGTCTCAGTCTGGGCCAGCGGGGAAAAATCAGTTTGCTCCTAGGACTATGGGGCCATGCCGGCTTTCATGCAGCTTTGGGGAGGAGGATTCAGGGTTATACCCCCAGAGTGGCATAGAAAATTCCCCAAGTTAGGGGAACAGGTGGTTCTAGGCTGGCAGAAAACCAGCCCAGAGGGACAGACTCTCCACTTGAGCCATACTGGATTTCCACAATAAATAGAGCTCTGCTGAAGATGAACTCACAACCCGGAATCACCAGCGTATGTGGGAAGAATAAACACCAGAAATTATGTTTTAAGAATTAGGAAAAGCATAACAAAGTAATTAAGAACTTAAAAAAAAGTACGATGCGCACAAACAATAGATTTGATCTGACTTTGGCTCAGCTCGTGAGCTCAAGGTCCTGGGATCCAGCCCCATGCTGGGCTCCGTGCTCAGCAGGGAGTCTGCTTAGGGGGTCTATTTGGGGACGCTCGCTCTCGCGCTCTCTCTCTCTGCCCCTCTGCCCTTCCCCCACTCACGCACGCACACTCTGAAATAAACAAGTAAATCTTTAAAAAAACCACAAATTTGAGAAAAAAAATTCCAGTAATAAAGAGAAAGAGATCTTAAAAGCAGCAAGGGTGAACTGGGGCCCAGCAGAAAGGCCCCCACAAAGAAGGGGTGTTCTGTTACCAGCAATGTAGTGACCAGAGAAAATACCATCAACAGTCACAATCGCATCTATTAGGTGAGTTTCAAGAGGCGTGGCCCCCGGCACTCAAACAGTCCCAGAAACCTGCCACGAAGGAGATGGGAATTCCATGTGCGCGCTGACGCCAGGCTCGACAACGCTGTCTGGGCCAGAGGAATAAGGAATGCCCCGAACCACATCCAGAAAACGTGAGGAGGACAAAGAGTCACCAGATAAGCTCTCCATGTTGGTTACTATGGACCTGTCGCCACTTTCAAGAACCCACAGTTAACGTGGATGAAAACGAACTGCTAAATATCAAATAACAGTATAAAACTGGGGGACACCTGGGGGGCTCCGTCAGCTGAGCGTCTGCCTTCAGCTCAGCTCGTGACCCCAGGGTCCTGGGATTGAGCCCCATGGTGGGCTCCCTTCTTGGAGGGGGCCTGCTTGTCTCCCGCTCCCCCTGCTTGCGTGATCTCTGACAAATAAATACGTACACAAAATCTAAACAAAAAACAAAAAACAAAAACCCAAAACTATAAAACTGCAAAAAAAAGAAAAAAACAAAAAAGCCGTGGCCAGAGAGCAAACCGAGCAGGTTACACAGACATGAGTCACCCTCAGCAGCATCGGGAGCCAGAAGAAAAGGAAATACTATCTTCTGGGTCCTGAAAGAACGAACTGCCAACCTAGAATTTTACACACAGCGAGAGAAAGGGTGTCATAAAGACTTTTTCAGGCAAAGAAAACCTACTGCCAGAAAAATCTCTTGAAGAACTCAAGAGAACATACTTCGTGGAGAAACACCACACCCCCATGGAAGGAAAATGCGACAGAGAAGGCAGTGAGGAAACCAGTGTGCGGCCAGGCAAATGCAGCCAGGCACAGATTCCATGAGGCAACACAAACAGTAATGACTGATGTGGTGGCCGGAAACACACAGAACTAAAATCCTAGGGAACAAGAGGAAGACAGACTGACGAGGTCACGAGAGCTCAGGTCAGCGGTAAGGACGCTGACTGGCTGCTGCAAGTCAGAGGCGTGTGTGAGAGCGTCGTGTGACCACAGAGTAGAAACAAAACACAGAGTACAACCACCAAAACAACAGGGAAATTTGTTCCAAAATATGAAGAAAAAGAAAAGCAGAGAAAGGCGCGATTCACAGAAAGCACAGAAAGTAGGAAATCCGAATATAATAATCCCCAAGATCTAAAGTGAGGCACTTTGGCGCTTAAGTCGGATTTTTCTGAGTGTAAAACCACACACATCTTGTATGTACAAACTCCCCCGATAAAAGGGCTCAGAGAGGCTGACAGTAAAAAGATGGAAAAAAGATACCAAGTAAGCACTCGTGAAAAGAAAACCGGAATGATGACATTAATATCCGACAGAATGGACATCAGAGGGAGGAAGCAGCCAAGGACAGCAGGTGCCACGTGACGACAGGAAGAGCAGAACAAGACACATCGCTCCACGCCTATCTGCTTCTAAGACAACGGAAGTAAAACCCAACGGGCTCCGGGATCTGAGAGAGCCACGGTCAGAGCGGGAGACTTTCCCCGCACCTCTCGGTAAGTGGGCAAGCGGGGCTAGGAGCTCGGGGTGGGACAGGTACGTGCACACAGCACCGTCAGCAAGTTCCAGGTAACAGGCCGCGTCCAATTGGAGGATAACATTGTTTTCAAGCAAAGCTAGAATGTTCAAAAAAAAAAAAAAAGGATCATGTAAGAGCCTAGAAATAAAATCTCAACAAATGCCAAGCGGTCCAGACGGGACCGGGCTGGCGCACAAAAGCCCTGGGGTGGATCTGACCTGCCACCTGTTGTTAAAAATGCAGCTCTACTGCAAAGTGACCAGGCTCGCTCAATTACTATCATCTCTGGTCATTTTTGTTCTAAAACAATAAAATGGAATAGTGCTCAAAGCCTAAAATATTGACTATCTGGCATTTATAGGGAGGTTTCCTGATTCCTTTTCTCTATCGTCCAAGTAATATTGCCTAAACACAAAGCAACCACATTAGAAATTAACAACACAAGGGGCACCTGGGTGGCTCAGTGGGTTAAGCCTCTGCCTTCGGCTCCGGCCCTGATCTCAGGGTCCTCGGATCAAGCCCCGCATCGGGCTCTCTGTGTAGCAGGGAGCCTGCCTCCCCCTCTCTCTCTACCTGCCTCTCTGCCAAATAAATAAATAAAATCTTAAAAAAAGAAAAGAAAAAAAAGAAATTAACACCACAAGGATAATCTTAAAACTCAATGGAAAATTTACAACGTACCATTAAAAATCATCAACCAAAAAAGGGTGATGAACCAAAATCAGACTAACATTTGAAACTGTACAACAATAAAAATGCTGTATCTTAAAACTTCCATTCGTGGGAATTTATAACTGAAGTCTTATTTGAATACTTACAGCAAAAGATCAGAAATTAATGACCTAAGTATTCAACATAGTTAAAAAGAACAGAAAAATTTCAAAGGAATTAATGAGGAAAAGACAGAAATTAATGTAATACAAGCCAAATAAAATAAAGGAATTAAGAAATCCAAAAGCTGCTTTTTAAAAATGGCATTACGCAAACCTTGGGAAGGACAAATCAAGGACAAAAAGGAAGGGAGAAGGCACAAAGAACATTACAAATGGAAAGAGATAAACTTCAATTAAAAAAGAAAAAAAGAGCAGGACAAAACGACACAGCAAGATCACCAGAACTAATTAAAACGATGTATAACGCATGACCGGAAGGACGGTCCCCAGCGATTCCGTGTGACTAGTACCGTGACTGTATGCGAACAAGAGAAAGCTACAGCTCAGACGGGTTCCGTGAGCTGCAGGAGAGGCCAGACTGGAGTCCAGGTGGGTCTACCTCCTGAAGGAACGCCCTTCCCCCCACACCATCCCAGCCTCTCCCCGCGTGGCCCACTGGAGCTGCTTACCCGAGGGGTGGAGGGCAGACGGGTAGAAATCCACTGGGGTGCGAGTGGGTGGGATTCGTGGGTCCATGTAGGAAGGCATCATCATCCACCTGGGATCGAAGCCCAGCATCTGGGGATGGTGGGGGTAGAAGGTGCGCTGTGGGTGGGATGGCGGCGGGTACACCGGCTGCCAGTGCTGCATTTTGTACAGCTGCTCCTGACCGGGAAGAAAGACCGGGTCAGACACGTGCCCGGGGCAGAGCCTGCACCTGCGTGTGTACTCACTTGTGTATGTGTAAACACATACACTCACGTGCACACATGACACATACACACACTCACATACCCCCCCACACCCAGTCACACCAAGCCCGGGCTCGAGGAGTCTCTGACAGCTCCCCACAGCTCTCGGCGGAGCAGCCCAAATCCCACCAGGCCCCATGGGAGCCGCCCCACCTGCCTCGAGCTTCAGCGCCCACGACTGCCTGCCTCGTGGGGCCCTGGTGGCACACGGGGCCCTCCACCTAGAAGGCTCCTGTCCCCGCCATCCTGGCTCAGCCCTATTCTTCCTTCAGGTTTGCGCTAAGAGAACCCTTGCTCTGGGCAGCCCCACAGCAGTCCATGGCAGTCCCCGGCGGCCGGCCTCTGCCCTGCAGCACTGGGACTGCCCTCCGTGCCCTAAGGGCAGGTGAGGGTTTCACATCGCCCGTCTCCCCTCACAGCAGTGGCACCCTTGCCTCCGACCACCAGTCACAGCACACAGAAAAGTCGCTGCACGAACAGATGAGTATCAGCAAAACATTCTAGTCAAGGTCCGAGACCCTGTGAGGATTCAGTTCCAGCCCTGCCCCCTTGGCATCACTGACCCCTGGGGCCGCCCTCACAAGCACACCCAAAACTAGCCTTCCAGCAGGAGTCAGGTGCAGAGGCGGACAAGGGGAAGAGCTGACCGGCTGCGCCCTTCCCTTCTACAAACCGGAATGCCCGGGCCGGGCGCGCCAGACAGCTCGGCGACCCCCGACCAGCACTCCGGGCTGCCAGCCTCCACACAGAGCTCCCCGGAACGGCCCCCAGGCCCTCAGGGAAGCTAACCAGACGGTCTGTCTGGCCGGCTCCTTCAGCTGCCCTGGTGCGTGCGGACTCCTTTCTATTCTGGATGAAGGACTCGGCGGTCCCTGTCCCTGCCCCCGCCCCGCAGCGTTACCCTCACAGCTGTGTCTGGCTGGAGCTACCCCGGAGATCCTCCCGGTCGGTTAACTCCCCGCCAAGCCTGCGAATCACCGCATGGCGCTGGCTCACACTGTCACACCGCCACAGCACGAGGGATGTCACCTCCTGTTTGTAGCTCAGGAGCTGGGGGGCTTCCAAAATACCTCGCGGGGGCCCGTGGAAAAGAGGAGCTGAGGTGAAGGCTTTAAAAGCAACTAAAAGAGATTCTGGAAAAGGCTGAAGACCCTGATGTGTGTCCCCAGGGCACACATGTTCTGACCCACACTAAGTGACGGCTAACCACGACGGACACCACATCTGGCTGCCGGGCGACGTGATGTCCACATGCCACCTGTCTCCCACTAAGTGCGTCGCTTGTCTGTAGAACCTGTTCCTCCACGCGTCCTCCTTGAAGACACAGATGCCAGGGAGTGCTCCAACGGGGCCACGAGAGTTGGTGTGATGACAACAATGACCCAGGTCATCCTCCCCAGGGCAGACAAGGTCCCTTTTGAGGTTTAGGGACCACTAATAAAGAGGATACTGATGACACTGATAAGCCAGTCCGCAGGTGCCCTAAGGGCCCGGCTGCTGTGCCGAGGCATGAGTTCATTCCTCCCCGCCCACCCAAGGCCACGCCCAACTAGAGAAGCTGCACAATCAGGATCAGAATCCGTTCAACTCAACACCTACAAACCTGCATCCTTAGCCCCAAGCTAACACACCTCTCCAACAGCTTTGCAAGTCCTCCCGGGCCTCCTCTCTCCCTGGGAGGGTCCCAGGGTGGACACCACTGGTCTAAGGAGAAGCCACAGTGCACTGCTCGGTGTTGAGTGCACACACCACCACCGCTTCCTTGCCAACATCGGACAACACCACCAGCTGCTACCAGCAGAGGTTCTATTCGTTCATAGGAGAAATCACTTGGAAAAATGAAAAATGGCCAGGGCTGCTCTCCTAAGGCTCTAAGTTTTCAGGCGCAGCCCCTGCCCCCCTGCCAATGATGGGGGTATGCGAGGAGAGATTCCAGACAGCTGTTTTCCCCTAAGGGGGAGGGGACATCCACGGAGCCCTCCGACCTGTTTACCTGCTGCTGCTGGCGCTGGAATCTGGGAGGAAGTGACTTCTGGTACTTGCTGAACTCCTGCGCCGGGGACCCAGCCTCCCTGGCCCCCTCCTCACTGCCGCCGCTCTGGGCCACGGCTGGAGGAGCCGTGGGGGCTTCTTCTGAAAACGTGCTGGGGGCTCCCTGGGCAGAGAACTCAGGAGAGCCTGGAGGACAAATAATGAGAAAAATGTCTGCAGTGAGCTCACAAAAGCTGGGCTGTCTGAACGTTTACGGCAAACACTCGTTCTTGTTGGCGCAGACATTCCATGGCCGGCCGACCCCCAGCCCCAAGCCCAGGCACGTGCTAAGGCCTGCCTGCACGCGTGAGCTCACAGACGCCCCCGGGGACGCCATCCCTCTGGAGGTGAGAAAGCGAAGGGTTAAGAGGTCAGGTGACCTGCCAGGGTCACACAGTGTGCGGTGAGGCTGGGGTTCTGTTCCAGGCGAGAGGGTTTTACTGAAAAGGGCTCCAGCAAAGCAGACAGCAGCCACCCGCTCAGGACAGCCCACACCCATCATCCGAGCAGCCGGCGTCAACCCCACGTCAAGTCACCGCGCCTCTCCTTGCCCGCCTCCTCATTGGTAAAGGGAAGAGAAGGGAAGAGAACAGTTTCCCTCTTTCTTGCCCCCATCCCAACTTTCTAGCTTCACACTGGGATGGAGGTGGGTCCCTCAGCTTTACTGAAGTATAATTAATGCCTGCATTCTTAATTCTACTGCAGGGGACAATCAAACCCCCAGGCAAACCCCAGAGACCTGGCGGTACGTCCCAGAGGAAGGCCACAGAAGCACAGGGCAGGGGCACACACAACACCCAGGTCTGCCCCAAGGACCTGTCTCAACGGAGCGGCGCTCACACCAAAGCACCGGCTTCCCAGACTCTCCAGTTCAGTGAGTACTGGGGCTGGGCACAGGCTACACCCAGACTTCCAGGCAAGGAAATGGACAGAACAGTTGTCGGTTTCTCAGAGCTCACCGGCCAGAGCACCCACCTGAGCAGCCTTCAGGGACTGAACCCAGCATCAGGCTCTTCTCTCCTAAAAAGAGGGGCTTTTAGTTCATTTAAGGATATCACAAAGAAGAGTGCCTGGGTGGCTCTGTCAGTTAAGTGTCTGCCTTTACCTCAGGTCATGATCCCAGAGTCCCAGGATCGAGCCCCGCATTGGGCTCCCTGCTCAGCGGGAAGCCTGCTTCTCCGTCTCCCTCTCTCCCTGCTCATTCTCTCTCCCTCCCTCTCTCGCAAATAAAATCTTTAAAAAAAAAAAGAAGAAGAAGAAGAAATCACAAAGAACAAAGCTGGCCGTACTCTTTCAAACCGCTGCAGGAGCGGTGTTCAAGGTCCCTTACGGAGCCACGTGATCCACTCCCTGCAGAATTAATGCCAGGAAGAACGCACTCGAATGAGCAGAGCAGGTGGGCTTCACTCAATGCCATAAAGGTACGTTCTTTGTGATTTTCTTAAATGAGCTAAAAGGACCCTGTGCTAGCGCCTGCATCTTTGGCTGGGCGGGGGCAGGAACGAGAACAGCGACTAAGACAACGAGGACAAAATGGGTAACACACACGCTTTCCGTATCTGGAAGCTGCGCCCAGTGCTCTTTGTACGTGCTCTCCCGTGCCCTCGGCGTGCGGGCAGGAACACACTACTCCATCCTGTCTTACAGACAAGGAAACAAGCGCCAGGGAGGCAAAGTGTGTAGCTACAACAGGATGTGAACTCAGGCCAGAACTCAACGACCCATGCTTCCCGCATCCCCTTGCTGGCCGCTGCCAGCTGCACCGGGAGGCCAGGGAGAAGCAAACAGAGCACAGCCAACAGCCCAGGGTGGCCGGTTCACGGGACCAGGCCCAGCGCCTACCTTTGCGCACAGCGGGGCCATTCTCCTGTGGGGGCGGCTTCTCAGTGCCTGGAGATCGGGGCACCTCCTTCTCTGCCTGCTTCTGGGCCTCGCCCGCCTTCTGAGCCTGCTTGCACTTCTGGTCCAGCTGCTTAAGCTTGGCGGCACAGGCAGCCAGCCTCTCTTCCCGGGCTCGGCGCTCCTCTTCCTCCCGGCGCTTCCGGGCTCGCTCCACAGCCTCAGACATCTCCGACTGCAGAAACTTCTGCCGTGGGGCTGGCTTGTCCTCTTTGTCCTCAAGAGACTGTTGTCGGAACATGCTGCCCAGCGAGGACTTCTGCCCAGAGAATAAAGTTGGATGAAACAACAGGCCCGAGCCCAGGAAACGGGCCACTCCACCATGCGATCAGCTCTCCTTCCCAAGACCCCTGAGCACCTTTAAGAGGCAGCAGTAGTCATGCGCCGAGTGGACCCGGGTTTCAATCCTGCTTGGCCCTTTACTAATCTGCAGTGAGGTCTGGACAAGTGCCAGTGTCCTCTACCCTAGCTCCCCCTGTGTAAGCCGGGGACAAAGGAGGCCCGAGGGACAGTGCACGTGCAACGAAGGCCATGCAAAGCGCTCTGCACCGTGACTGACACGGGGAACAGTACTGGAAGCTCTCGCCACAGCTAACGCGCACACAAGAACATCAGGGCCCCCCCCGGCTAGTGGAAAGGAGCAGACACCCCCACATTCATCATCTCAGTTGCAAAACGGCTCTCCTCTTTCTCCCATGAAAATATAGAAACCTCCGGGTGTAAAGAGGCACAAGAAATTAAAATTCACCGTCACACATACGGTTTCAAAGTGACTCTTCATATAAAAACATCTCTTTGGGGCCATTTCATCTGCTTCTGAGTCTCCCACTGGTTTCCAATCACTGGACAACCAGTGGGACGCCCTCCCAGCCCCGGGAAGGGGGCTCCCCGACGTGCAGGGAGTGGAGCTGCAGGCAGAGAGCATCGCAGCACAGACGCCAGGCAGGTGTAATTCAGCACCGGTCACCGAAATTCCAGTGGGGGATGACCCTCCAAAACAGAGCCTCCTGTGCTAGGTGCTCGTAGCAGACGCATACAAGGGTCCCCAGCCCTCCAAAATCAATAAACAAGATTTGTGCCTTTCCTCGCGTGCTCGTGGGCCCTCCACAAAAGCGCCATGCAACACATTCACTGCAGTCAAGGACTTTCCTCCTGAAAGTTAACTACTCATGATCAAGAGACAATAACGACAACCAGAGAGGATTAGGAACTTGGAACCTGGAAGCAGAGAAACACTTTCAGAAGATGGGACTGGGGTGCGAGAGCACTGTCCTTTCACGTTGCCCAGGACCAGGCCTGCCCCCGTGTTCTGAACGCTGCGCACAGGGGCACCCCAGGGCCTACATCGTCATTTACCTTATACCCCAGGGCTCCCAGAAATGAAAGGGCACATGTCGAACTCCACAAGATACCTGGAGCGCCCTAACAGTAGCTGCCGTTTCATGGACCTCATGCTCTGCAAAGCGTCAGAACTTTTCAGAAGCCTGAATGCATGAAATTATAGAGATTTTTTTTCTTTGTTGACTCAGTTACCTCACGTTGTCGTTTATGAGCAGATCAAAGTGAGACCTTCTTGGAATACTGAGTAACCCCCAGATAGGAATGAAATCTGGATTAACTGCACGGTAACTTCCAAGAAAAGCTCGGTGTCAATTCTGTTTCACTTTTGTGGTTCCCTAACCCTAGCACAGTGCCTGGCACACAACAGGTACTTGACAGAAAAGACTGAAGATAAAAGCATTTTCATTTTATAAGATGTGGAACCAGAGTCCCTTAAGTGCTGAAGTGCCTTAAAAATGGCAGTTTCATTATTGTTGGCATTATTTTCCCAAATATATCTGAATTAATGCCTTTCTCAGACCTAACTCTGTGCTTCCTGACAATCAGTCCCGAAGTCCTGAAGCACGGCCCGGCAAGGCAGGCATGTGGTGCCAGGCAGCCCTGGTGGCTAAGAGCAGGTGGTCAGAGCCCAGGCAGGGAGAGGATGGTATCCATGTGGAGGTGCAGCTGGTGTGGGAGTTAGAGCCCAACCAAGCTGGGTGAGGAGGCAATTCACAAGGAGAAGTGGCCCAGCAGGAAGATTCAGGGCATCCATGTGGGGTGGGGGGATGGGGCACTGATGACTGAGAGGGCAAGGAGGGCATCGGTGCAAGGGAGAGAGGGAGGGGGCAGAAATGGGAGACTGGTCACACACAGGGGGACTAATCAAGTCAGTGTGAACACTAGGGATGACGGGAACAGATATCTCACTGTTGGAAAGAGGAGTTACAGATACACGGTGGGAAAGAACCAAGCTGGGTTGTGTAGAACCGGAGCTAACACTGTGAAGTCACGGTTCTCTACACAGAAACACAAATAATGAAGACACGAACATGCGTCTGTGTGTACACATGCATCTGCATATACACACACACCTGTCCCCACCCTGTCCACCAAGCAGGCCCAGGAGGAGTGAGCACTCCTGATACCCATATATTGGTTTCTAAGTATCTTAAGGGCTGATTCCAGAGCAAGACAAGGTAAGCACAAAATGACCTTAGAAAAGCTATCCCGGGGTGCCTGCCTGAGACCAACCATGCAACTCTTGATCTCAGGGTCGTGAGTTCAAGACCCATGATGGGTGTAGAGCTTACTTGGGGGGTAAAGAAGATTGAAAGAAAAAGAAAAAGAGAAAAGAAAAGAAAAAAGCTTCCCGTATCAGAAAGCAAAGAAACTGCTTAATAATGGATGGGACACATAAGGACAGACACCAGCCTGAAGAGGCTCCTGAGAGCTAAATCAAAGACAGCCGGAGCTTCAGAACAATGAGAACAGACTATAACCCACTGATACGAATAAAGAAACCGGAAGTTTAATGAGAAACAGAATACTTATATTTTCAAAGTATCTCCCCACAAATTTCTTATCAGTTACAAATGTGGATGAGAGAAACTCCATGGTGTGAAATTTTGTGAGCATTAAAACCTTAGTTAAGAGATCAGAGTGATGATGGGGCTCCTGCGTGGCTCAGTGGGTTAAAGCCTCTGCCTTCAGCTCAGGTCATGATCCCGGGGTCCTGGGATAGAGCCCTGCATCGGGCTCTCTGCTCAGCGGGGAGCCTGCTTCCTCCTCTCTCTCTGCCTGCTTCTCTGCCTACTTGTGATCTCTCTCTCTGTCAAATAAATAAATAAAATCATTTAAAAAAAAGAGAGCCATCAGAGTGATGGCTGTCAGAGCGTGGACAGAGTGGGATCAGTCACATGGGGCGATACAAGGAGAAGAGTTAGTGTCCTCTCTGAGACATTCTAGCCAAAAATGGAAACCTTGGAAACTGGAGGTGAATTCCACAAAATAAATGACTTGCAATCTCGGTAAGGGTCAGAGTCATGAGCGTGAAGGAGGCTGAAGGCTCCTCCAGACTGGAGGCAGCCCATGATCCGGAAGTGGACTCTTCTGCAGCAAGGACACTGACGGAGCAAACAGTACAGGCTGGACGGGGCTGAGACCCTGATGCCGGTGAGGCACCAACGCGGACTCCCTGGTTTTAACCGTGGTTACCTACGAGGCAGAAAATAAATACCAAAGCGTTCTGCGGGCACAGGGCCTGACCAGGCTGGCAACTTACTCTAAAAATGGTTTAGAGGAAAATATTCTTTGTGTTGTGCTTCCAACTTTTTGGCAAGTTTGTGACTGTTTCAAAATTTTAAAAATAAACTTTGTCAATGAAAAATCAAGAGAGAAAAATGGCCACCTAGGACTTCTCAGAAACCACGAACTCAGTGAAGTGCAATCGTAGAGAGCAAACAAGCAGATGACCGTTGTGCGGCGGTCCTGGAGCTCGGTGAGAGGAGTCTGAGGAGAGTGGGTGCGCACGTGCCCATGTGTCTCCCGAGCTAGCCACAGGCACAGAACCCCTCCAGTGACCACGGTACCTGGTAGTCAGGGCCGGACGCCCAGCTGTGAAGTTTCCTGGAAGGTGGCTGAGGTTCTGGCACTTTCCGGATGACACGGGTCACTGCTTCACCCCAGTCTTTTCCTTCCTCCTGGGGACGCTTGGCGTCAGCACTGTCCGCGGAGCTCATTGACACCTGCCGCTGCCGTCTGGGGTCCCAACTGCTCCTGGGACAGACCGCAGTGAGTGTGAGTTTTCCCAGTCAGCCCAAGTGCGCTTTGGTCTTACCCGTCAGAGGGCCTCGGGAATCCCCAAGCCAGCTGTCCACACACCAATGTCGTTCCCTGGAACAGACCTAGCCTGCGTGGGTGAGAGGACACGCCGGGAACACCAAAATCCAGCACCAACATTCACCAAGTCACTCTTATGCAAAAAAACTTCCACATCCACTACTTGGTTTACAGGAAGTTAAGTCCTTTCTCCCCCATTTTAAAGAATTGGTAACAGAGTCTCGAGACGCTGGGGAGCTATCTTCCCAGGAAGAGCAAACAGATCTGAACCTGAGACCCCCAGACGACGGTCCTTCCCCTTAGACTATGGCTCCCTCCCTCTGCTTTGCATAAAGGAGGAGCTCAATCAATTCTCCTCAGAGCAGCAAACGAGGACTCACTGGACGATGCCAGAGCAGAGCAAGAGGAGGAAGCAGAGCAGACACGGCAAGGAGCAGAAGAGGGGTTCCGAACTGAGGCTGGGGGGAATGGAGGTCTGCACGGGGCCCACCTTTACATGCTGCAGGGGAAACAAAGGCACCAGGATAAAAAAATGCGGGCATTTACCAAGCACTGTTTTCGTGCAAAGCAGCGCCCGGCATACGTCAAGGAGTTCAGCGAAAAGCAGCGGGTCAGGTCAGCTGTGGCTAGTGTGTGTGTGTCCACGCGTGTCCGTGCACACGGGCATGGGGAGGGCAGAGGGAGGATGAGGCCAGGAAGCTGCCTTGGGTCCAGAGGGCCGGCGACTGCCAGGACTCCCGACGTCACCGTGAGAGGCGGCGACACCACACAAGGCTCCTGACGCACCAGGAAAGACGACCAAGGCACCGTGTGGAGGAAGGACCTGAGCTTCTAACCTCTGAAAGGTCCGGAGAAGAAAGGATGTGGTCCCAGGGTCCCAGAGACAATAAGCAGGAAGGATGGAGTCCAGGGAAGTGTCAGGAGCCCATCACGGATGGGGAACAAAGAAGATTTAAGGAAGACCAGGGAGCTTGGAGGAGGAGACTCACAACCAACTCAGAAAACACCGAAAAGAGTGCAGGTTCAGGGAGGGGATGGTCTGGGGAATCTCAATGTGAGATGTCCTTGGTTACAGCCAGCAGCGAAGCTGGGTCCAAACCCATGCTTAACTCTTTTAGTTGAACATTCCATTCACGTCAGCTGAAAGAGACGAGGAGCAGTGTCCGATGGCTCCGTAAGTCTGTAAAATTGTATGGTTTTGCCTTTAATTTAAATTCTTGCTCACAATTCCTTCTGGGTTTAGTGTTCCAAGAACTGACCCATAGATATTTCCCAAGTGCATTCAAAGCTTCAGTTAAAATCAAGCGGCATTGAAATAAGTTAGAGAAGCCTCAATTAGTTAATTGTTTGTGTATCAGAGAAAAAGTGGCAGAAGATCCCTACCCACTCCCTCTAGAAGGACTTTGAAGTAAATAACACGGAATAACAAAGAAAAAGACTTGCAGACTCAACTATGTAAACATTCAGTTATTGACAATAAAACTGACAAAACGAAAAACATCAAAGCATTAATAGCGAAACAATATAAAACACTAATCACATTTTAAAGAAGATACAGTAAGTCTAATAAATATATGGACAAAGGAAATAGGCAATCCCACACAAAGGAAAGCATTCATACTTGCTGGTATCAAAAATAAAATAAAATTAAAAAGCAAATTAAAGCAGCCATAGGTACTATTTTAAAAGTACTAGCTGGGATACAAGGGTGGCTCAGTCTGTTAAGCATCTGCCTTCAGCTCAGGTCATGATCCCAGTGTCCTGGGATCGAGCCCTGAGTCAGGCTCCCTGCTCGGCCAAGAGCCTGCTTCTCCTTCTCCCTCGGCCCCTCTCCTGCTTGTGCTCTCTCTCCTCCTCTCTCAAATAAACAAACTCTTTAAAAAAAAAAAAAAAAAAAAGGTACGAGCCAGAGAGTCCGGCTGGCTTAGTTGGCAGAGCAGGAGACTCTTGATCTCAGGGTCTTGAGTTTGAGTCCCACATTGGGAGTGGAATTTACTTTAAAAATAAAAGTACTGGGGCGCCTGGGTGGCTCAGTGGATTAAAGCCTCTGCCTTCAGCTCGGGTCATGGTCCCAGGGTCCTGGGATCGAGCCCCGCATCGGGCTCTCTGCTCAGCGGGGAGCCTGCTTCCTCCTCTCTCTCTGCCTGCCTCTCTGCCTCCTTGTGATTTCTGTCTGTCAAATAAATAAATAATAAATAAATAAATAAATAAATAAATAAAAGTACTATCCAATCAATCTACTGGTATTATGACAAAAACTAGAGGGACCAAACTACAATGAAGTATTTTCTATAGGGCATTACCGGTAAAATGAGTCCAATGAAATGATTCAGAAAAGAGAAAAGGAATGAAATGGTCACTAGGTTCAGGAAAGGCGGCACGTGCCCCACTTGCGCTTCTCCCAGCTTCCCAAAGATCCCTGACATGCTCTAGCACGCCAGCCGGAGGCTCTGGGCAACAATGGAGTAAAGAAGCTAGGTGAAGCCTGCTGGTTTCCCAAACTTTCCTGGCAGAGAGACCTTTCTGGGCCCCATATCCATAGGTCATGTGCGGAGCAAGTGGTGTACACACTCACTCGGGAAAACACCGGCACACAGTAGTTAAAACCAGCAGCGCTCAGCCAGCCAGCCATGCCGGGATGCACGCCCCGGCTCCAGGCCCACACGGCTGTCCCATCCGCAGAGGAGAAACCGTATTGGCCCGTGTGAGGCTGCCCGTGACCAGGAAATGCACTCGGCAGGATGACCAGCCCACGGCTGCACCAATAAGCAGTGACACGTGTACACCCGCGCTCGTCAAGCCCCAGGGAGTGGCACTAGGAGCAGGGACGGGGGCGTCCTTACCACTTGGGCCTGCCGTCCTTCCCAACGTCCTCCTCCTCTTCGTCATCACTGAACTTCAGCTTCTCGGAGTAGTCCACTTCCTCGTGCAGGCCTACAACAGGAGCAGGGCCGGGGAGACCGAGAAGCCAAGGCTGAGCGCCACACTGGGGGTTTCCTCCAGTCAGGACTCATACTGGCCCAGAGGAGAAGGAGGGCAACCCGGCCAGCTGCCACCGCGACAAACACCGCAGGTAAAGTGAGGGACCGCTCTGGGTTCGGGTGATGGCAAAGCAGCCCTGGTCGGAAGAGCCCTTCCACAGACAACAGTTCTTAAATCTGGACAAAATATTTTACGAATGTCTTAGAAGATACGGAAGAGTGAACAAAAGAGCAGACGAAACTAGATGGGAGTCCAACCGGGCAACACAGAGCCATGGTCAGTGGGATCTGTGAGCCGCTGCTGTGTCCTAGGGCACTCCCCAGCCTGAGGGGCTCAGAGCGCAGAAAGTACCCATCAGCTGACAAGTGGGCACACAAAATGTGGGAGATCCATACAGGGAAAGAGTATTTTGGCCATAAAAATGAATATGAACACACAGCTCAACAAAATGAATCTTGAAAACAGGCTCAGTGAGAGAAGCCAGACAGAAAAGGCTACACACTATACTGTGTGCTTCCATTTATATGAAATGTCCAGAATAGGCAAAACCACAGAGACAGAAAGTAAATTAGTGGTTGCCAGAGGATGTGTGCGGGGGTGGGGGGGTAGCTGGGAGTGGCTGCTGATGAATGGTACAGTGTGCTGCTTCTGTGGGCAATGGAAATGTTCTGGAACTGGACACTGGAAATGGCTGCACAAGCTTGTGAATGTACTAAAACCCACTGAAATGCGGACTTTAAAAGGATGGATTTAATGGTATGTGAAATTTGTTACATGAACTATACCTTTTAAAAAAGGAAACAAAAAGTCCAATACAATTACGAAGCCAATTTGATGAAAAAGCGAATACTATATGCTGTCTAGATCTTCAGTTCAAACAAACACAAATGGGTCAAAAGGAAAAGGATTCGAGAAAAATGACACACCATGAAAACATAACACTACAGCAATGATCTCAAATGGGACAAAAGGGACCCCCCAAGACAAGAAGAAGCATTTCTAGTGATAAAGGACATCTGAAAACAATACAAAAGGTCAATACGTCAGTTATGAAAATTATAAAATGTGCATAGGCTTAATAACAGCTTCGAAATCAACAAAGCAGAAACCTGATAAAATTCAAGGGAGAAACATAAATCCATGGTCCCAGCAGAGAACTCCACACCTCATTTTCAGTAACTGAGAGAATTAGACAAAAGTATAAGTAGGCAAGATCTGAAGGACACTTATCAACCACCTTGAGAGTGACAAAACTGATATTTACAGACACCTAACTGTACAATACACATTCTTTTCAAATGCACTTGAACAGTCACCAAGACAGACTATGTCCTAGTCATAAAATAAGTCTCAGTAAGTTGACAAGAACTGAAGCCATACAGTACATGCTCTTGAACTATGATGGAATTAAATTAGAAATCCAGAAAGCCCTAATAATGAAAATGAACAGATAAATAAAATAGAAAACAATCCAACAATGGAGAAAAGTATAGGTCAAAACTGCCTCTTAAGAGATGGAGATTAATAAAAAGAATACCTCCTTGGATGAAGTGAGTAAGAAAAAGAGGAAAGAGAAAATTACCCAGTTACTGGGGATGAAAGAGGGTCTAGCACTACAGAGCCTACAGACATCAAAAGGAAAAGGAATGAGATCAACAACTTTATACCAATAAATTCAATTCAAAAGAAATGAACAAATCCCTTGGAAAATACAACTTATTAAATAGACAAAAACAACAAAGGATATCTGAGTAACCCTGCAACTAACCAAAGAAATTAAATTTATTATCAAAAATGTCACCATCAAGAAAACTCCAGGGTCAAATTATTTCACTGGTGGATTTTACCAGGTATTTATGAGAGAAATAATACCAAACTTACAGAAACTCTTTCAAAAAGTAAAGAAGGAATGTTTTCCAAGTCCTCTTTTGAGCCCAGCATAACCCAAGATCAAAACCCAACGTAGATATTAGAAGAAACGAAGATCAGAGACCAATATCTGCCACGGACACAGACACCAAGAACCTTAATCAAATATCAGCACACTGAATCTAGGCATACAAAAAGGTGGAGCTTATTCTACGAATGCAAGGTTGGTTTAAATAGATAAATAAAATAAATAAAATAAAATAGTAAATAAATAGGGACGCCTGGATGGCTCAGTCAGTTAAGCATCTATCTGCCTTTGGCTGGGGTCATGGTCGGTCCTGGGATAGAGCCCTTAGTTGGGCTCCCTGCTTTGCAGAAAGCCTGCTTCTCCTCCCTCTGCCTGCTACTCTGCCTACTTGTGTCTATCAAGTAAATAAATTTTTTAAAAATATTTTATAAATAAACAAATATCAACCAATCAATTAATGCAGTCCTCTAGATTACCAAAATAAAGGACAAAAATCTTATGACGACAGACATAGGAAAAGTTATTTTATAAAATTCAATACCCATTTATGATTTAGAAAACAAAACACTCAGCAAACTAGAAATAGAAGGAAATCCCTCGATCTGATAAAGAACACCCAGAATCCTATAGCTGACATCAGATTTAACGGTGAAACACTATAAACACTTTCTCCCCAAGGCCAGGAACAAAGAACCTGAATACAGCGCTGAACTAGAAGTAGCACACTGCATTTAGGCAAGAAAAAGAAATAAAAGGCATATCCTCTGAAAAGAAGATACAAAACTTTCCCTATCTGTAGGCAAAATTCTAAGAAATCAACAAAACCTAGTAAAACTGACCCAGTGTAAATTCAGCAAAGTGCTTGGTACAGGACCATAAACAAAAATCAACTGTTTATATAAAACACCAAATAGAAAATAAAATTACATTTTAAAAAATCAATGCCATTTACAGCAGCATCAAAAAACATACACTACTTAGGAATAAACTTATCAAAAGCGGTTCAAGACCTCCACACTGAAAACTGAAACACAGCTGAGAAAAGTCAGAATCACCCCGTACCCAGGTGGAAGGTATCACTGGGTATCAATGGAAGATACCATTTTATCCAGAAATAAATTCAACACAGTCCTAACCAAAATGCCTGTGGGCCTTTTGCAAATATGACAGGCTGATTCTAAATTTATATGGGAATGAAAAGATCTTACAGTCGAATAATCTTGAAAAAACGGTCAATCTTGAAAAGGAACAAGGCTGGAAAACTTACACAGCCTGAATTTAAGACTTACTATAAACCTACAGGATGACCAAGTACATCAATGAAACAAACAGGGTCCAGAAATAGACCCACACTTATCTAGTCAATGGATTTCTGGCAAAGGTGCCAGAGCAAAATTCAACAGGGAGAGGAAAGTCCTAACAAGTAGTACAGAACCACTAGACAGCCTTATAGATCAGAACAAGCCTGGACTCTTGGCTGTCGCACAAAAATTAATTCAACATAGACCACAGACCCAAAAACGAGAGCTGAAACTATAGACAGTAAGGGGGTATATTTGTTGTCAAGGGGAGACAAAGATTTTTAGACAGGACACAAAGGAAATAACTCTAAAAAACACTAATAAATTAAGCTTCTTCAAAATAAAGAAACTTGGGCTCATCAAAACCCAATGCAAAAAAAAAAAGTGAACAGACAAGGGGGCGCCTGGGTGGCTCAGTTGGTTGTGTCCGACTCTTGCTTTCGCTCAGGTTGTGACCTCGTGGGTCCTAGGATTGAGCCCCGTATCGGGCTCCACACTCAGCTCGGAGTCTGCTTGGGACTCTCCCTCTCTCTCCCCTTCTGCCTCTTCCCCCACTTGTATGCACGTGCGCATGCTCTCTTTCTCAAGTAGATAAATAAATCTTAAAAAAAACAAGGTAGGCGAACAATAGGAAAAAATATTTGTAAAACATGAAGTTGCAAAGGACTCGTATCTGTGACTTGTATCCTACCGCTCAAAAAAACAAACCACCAGTAGCCAAATAACACATGAAAACTTGTTCATCATCATTAGTCATCAGCAAGATGCAAATTAAAAGCACAATGAGCCACCACTACACACCCACTAGAATGGCTAAAATTAAAAAGACTAATCACGTGGAAGTGTTGTGAGGGCGCAGAGAAACCCCGTTCTCAACCCGTGCTGCTGGGAATGTCACCTGGCCTGGCCGCCACGGGGAAAGGTGTGGGTGGGTCTCACAGGCCCAACCACTCATCTTCCCTTTGACCTAACAATTCCACTCCTGGGTATTTGCCAAAGACAAATGAAAATATTATTCATAAGGGAACCTCCCTCACAAAAGGGGAGGCCCTGGGCAGAGTCGGGGGAGGAAGGTTGGCCTGCTGGCAGGGGAAAGTTCTGGAAAGTCTTCTCAATGGGAAATGTGCTACACACATGTGTCCCTCTGTCAAAACTGCACAGTGAAGATGAGCACCTTTCCATGTAATTAAAATGTATTTGAAAGCAAATAAACAAAAAGAATTTTAAGAGAAAACAAGCAGGCTGGCAGACAGGGCATGGTACTTGCTGAAGCCAGGTGATGGGAAGCTGGGGCTCACTGCCCCACTGATGGTTTTGTTTAATTTTTCCATTCTAAAATGTCTTCTTCGGAACTTAGCAAAACCTTCCCTAAAGCTAAGCGCGAGACCAAAGACCAACAGAGGACATGGCTCTGTGAGGAAGGGACCGCCAGTGAGCACCCACGGGGGTGCAACCCGAGGCTGCCGCCCGCCCCGCAGCCCACTCCCGCATGCTGACGGACACACGCCCAGTCGGCTGCCCAGCGAGCGGCTCTGGCCCGGAAAGCCCCATGACCCACCTGCCCAGCCGTCGTCAGCGTCTGCATCCAGGTCATCCAGGCCCTTCAGGTTTTCAGCATTGATGATGGTGGGCCGCGGTGCCCGGCCCACCAGCTGCCTCAGCGGGCGGATGGGACGAGTCGTGCCCAGCCTGCTCTCCTTCCTGATGAGGGCGAGAAGAGTAAAGATCTGACCTCATGTCCAGCATACAGATGGAAGTAAAACCTCATACTTTTCCCAGAAGTAAGTCCCACACTGCAAGGATTCATAGCTGCATTTAATACTTAAATCGTCTCCTCTTAAAAGAAGCCTATAACAAGCATACACCAGAGAGGAGCTCTGCCTCAGTTTTACATACTCGGCACTAACGCCTAGGGCAGCAGCCACAAACACGTTCCAGAACTTCAACTCTGTCCCAAACGCACAAGCCCAGCCCGACCTCGTCCACCCCACACACCCTGCAGCTCCAGGCTGGTTTCCAGGCCCACTGCGGTCTGCAGAAGACAGAGCACCTCGGTATATCAGCCCATTACCTCGCGCAACGCCCCCTAACAGGGGCGCGCTCTCCACGCGGGATGTAACACAGAAGCCTTACCCATCTTGGTCGTTCATCTGGAACTGTCTAAAAGGAACACGGGGTTCAAGACGGAGCTGGGGAAGGGGAAAAGATCCTCGTTCCACTGTACCCTGGTTCTCTGATGACTGTGGTGAACACATCTGAAACATAACATCAATGAATAGGATTTTCTGGTAACGGCTCAAATGCCAAAGTCACTTGCATTCGGATTTGTTTTGGAAAATGGAAACTGGGAAGAAGAGACAGGCAAGTCTTGGAACTGCCCAGTTAATCCTACCCCCGTCTCCCCCATCTCTTTCCTGCCGTCAGGAAGTACACCAGGGGACTTGTGGTGTCATAGGCAATGCCTGCCTCTCCTTTTTCTAAAGAACCAAGGCTAAGATAATGTCCACATCACCAGGGAAAGAACGCCGAAGACCCTTAAGGTTTGAAAACGGGAGAGAAAGATGCAGAAGTAATGCGGACTTCTGAGGTAGGGCACGTCAGGGCAAAGACACTGGGAGGAGAACCGAGGTGGACATTCAACCACTTAGAGGAGGTTCTGCTGCACGCGAGCAACCCAACTTCGTGGGGGAAAAAAATGCATACTCTGAAAACTTACAAAAGCAGGAAGCATGTCATGGTATGTAGGTGGGTGGTATACATTTCCCACGAACTGTGAAGCCCCTTTGCGGACAGGCTGAGCCGGGCGGAGACAGGGGTCCTTAGAATCGCTGGTGCATGCCGAGGAGGGGGCTCCGTCTCCCGCAATCGAGTTCCTGCTGCCCAGCTCAGTTGGGGAGGCGCTCAGAGACGTGGCAGAAATTATGTTTCGCCCACCGCCCTCCCTCCAGCTTGTCACATCTGGAAATTGAAAGGGGGCAAAAGGGGGGGGGAGGACAGAGGAAGGGGGAGGAGGGATCGTGTGAGGTTCTGAAGGTCAAGGGACCCCCTCATTCACCAAAAACAAAAAACCCAAAAGTGGAGAGTCGAGTCAAGTGGTTGAATCTGTCAGGGAAGGTGGAGGCAGGCGCCGGGCCGATGACTATGAACTTGCTGTGGGAAGTCTGATTGTAAGAGAAACACAAAACAAGGTCCACTCACAGAGAAGGCAAGCGTAAACAAGACACGGTCTTCCGTGAATTAACAAAGCACACATACCCACAGATCTAACACACAAAGAAATCAGGACAGCCTTGATGAAAATAGCCTTGGGCTAATTTTTCCCACAAACACGGACCATCAGAATCAGCACTAGGCTCAGCACTGGGCTTTAAGTTAAAACTGGAGTAAGTCCTGGGACACGTGGCTGGCTCAGTCGGTAGAGCGTGTGACTCTCGATCTTGGGGCTGTGAGTTCGAACCCCATGTTAGGTAGGTGTAGAGATTACTTAGAAATAAAACCTTGAAAATTGGTGTAAGTCCTGACATGTTTCAACAGTTTCATTGTGATAGCTCTGCTCAGAGATTCACAGTTCATAAGGTAAAGCAAAGCCCCTCTCCCTGCGAGCTGGGGTGTGGAAGGGTCTGCGGCGCTACCCACCAGGCCTTCACCCCCACTTGTTCCTGCTCTGGCTCAGAGGTCTCTCCTGCAGGTCACAGACAGCAACCTGCCAACCCATCTGTCTGTCCCAGATGAGGGTTCCCACCGTCAAGTTTAACAAGCTCTGGGGGAATCATAGGCCAACAAGAAACGAGATGAGCCTGACCCTTCTCAGTCAAGCACAAGGTCCCCGAGTACTTGACCCCTAAGAGAAAGAGACACAGCATAGGAGCCACAAAACCAGGGTCGGCTCCCAGCAACTGTACCACCTTGAACGCAGTCTTGGGTGAGGGCTTTGGTCACTACTCTGGCCACACCTGCTTCAGATGGAACTGATCCCAGAAACTTCTTCTAGGTCTAAATTTTTTTATAGTCCTACAAAGCAGCTTATTTTAATCCCAGAAAGCTACAATGCTTGGCTTGAGGAATTTGGTGACATTCTTTGGAGCAGACAAAATAACCCAGCACAGGCAACTGAGAAGGCAGTACGCGCCATTAAAGCGTCACCTCGTGAGGACGTCGTCTACAGGGCATCAGTTCTGACGCTGGGTGCCTTGCGGATGAATGAAGACAAGCAGACAGAAGTCCCTCGTGTTTCAAGACCTAATCAAGCCCTGCCTTCCGCCCTCCCACACTCAAACAAGAACCATTTCACAATCCCTGGTCGGAACAGATGAAAAATCTCATTCCCGAAGAAAATCTTAAATCTCTGACCACTAAAGACCTTTAAAATATACATATATTACCCACAAGTACTGCTCTATAATCCAGCAACTCCCTGGCCAGACCCCAGATGAGGGGACTGTGGAGACAAGTCCTAGGCTGGGTACAAACAATCCCCAGCGGGGCACATTGAAATACAGGCGCTAATCTGGCTGGAGATGGAGCAGGGCTGGAAATCAGACTTTTTAACAAACTCTGCAAAGGCTCCTAATAGGATTTGGCTCGGTTTAGGAACCAATGGCTTAGAAAACAGGCTCCGGGGGCACCTGGGTGGCTCAGTCAGTTGAGTATCTGCCTTAAGCTCAGGTCAGATACTGGGGTTCTGGGATGGAGGCCCATGTCAGACTCCCTGCTCTGCCCCCTCTCCCTCTGCCTACTCATGCTCTCTGTCAAATAAACAAAATCTTTAAAAAAAGAAAAAGAAAAACAGCCTTCTGAATCAGGGACAAAGTGAACGGGCCGTGGTCTGTCTTTGCCATGAGCACCTGAGCAGAGCAGAACAAATGTCTAATGATGGGTGGAGGGTGGGTGGAGGGTGTGCTCAACCCGCAGACCAGCCTAGGGAGTAACTCGCAGAGGCAGGGAACAGGTACAGGGTCAGTAAGCACGCCTGCCCAGAAGAGCACGCATGCTTCTAAGCAGCAGAATGGCAGAAGGAGGCAGGCAGTCCGCTGTTCCCACACGTGCCCAGACAGGTAGCGCAGTGTACTTACTCTGAGGGCGGAGGCTTGGTCCTGGCCCATACGACAGATCGAAGACGCCCCTTTCCTTGCCAGCCTTGTCCTGCCCTCCAGCTGCTTTCAGCGTCGGAAACTCCTCGGGAGAGAAGGATAACAGTCGGCTTGAGCCCCTTAAACCTGCCGAGAAAAGCAGAGGACTTGGTGAGGGGTACTGAGAGGGACAAGAACGCTGCTGGCCTTAGCGGCTCCGAAGATCGGAAGCCACACAGCCTGCGCGGGCGCCGTGTACTCCCCTAGGGACAAGGAGAGCCGGACACAGATGGCCTGCAGGGGCTGCTGACACGGCGCAAGGGAGAGCAGATCACAGCCACTCCAGCCCAGACCCTCCCCCGCTCCTAGAAAAGGGCGGTCTTCGGGGAAATCAGCCAAAGGAGGTCAATGGCTCTCATGCAGAGGTAAATCCACCGGAAGGTGCCCACAACCTCCCACAACCCCTGCGCCTCCCCAAGGCCTCCACCCCAGATCTACTCTCATGAACAATAAACATTTCACTCCTGTGATTCTGGGGTCTGCTCCTTCCTTGGCTCTCCCATCCACTCCCCGGTACTACAGGCTCCTCGGAAGAAACCCTTCTTTAACTTTCTGGGAGACCTTCCCCGCACTGAGCATCAGGACCTGAAATCATCTTTCGGATGAATGGCTAATAACAAATGGTGCATTTCAAGGTCCAGTGGGATCTGATGCTTTTATCTAAACCAAATGCCCAGCACCCTGTAAACATAACACAACAGTCATGGCACGCCACGTCCGACTGTGATGTGCCTGGCTCCCTAGACGACCAAGTCCAGTTCCCCCCTAAAGTACTCTTCCAGCAGCACTGGTGGACCCACGGACCCACGCACTATGGCAGACTGGGCCGGAAACATGCAGCTGGGATTGGCGTGAACGCACAAGCAACAACTCACTCACGACCCACTCAGTGAAAAGGTCTAGGGCCACATAAACCTGCCGGGGTGACAAGGCGACACATTCTTCACTGAAGATTAACCTGAGAGACAATCTCCAAGTGTCACGAAGGAGCTCTGCTGCTCTGTGAAGGGGGACCTCGACTCACAGAGTCGCTCTGGCATGTTAAAAGACCACTGGCAAGGATGAAACATGAATATCTTACTTTAAAAATACAGATTCGAACCTTAAAAACAGTCCATACTTTTTCTGCCCCAGCAGTCCTGAAGTTCTCACTCCATGCATGAATTAAACTTACCCTTCACAGATTAAAAAAAAAAACAAAAAACAAAATCTCAATGAGAGCAGCAGCGTTCCGTAAGGTGTCCGTGCTCGAGGGGTCCACCACCAACCCCAGGGCTACGTGTTCCCTGCGTGCGAACCCGAGGAGGGGATATTGGGGGCTTCTCCGAAGGTCCCAGGCGGGGCCCTCAGTGGTGGTGCGGGAGCCCTCGAGCCTCCACCCTTGGCCTGCACCCGTCAGGCCCCGGGGGGCTGGTGCAGGTGGAAAAGGCCTGACCAGCACCTTCTACACGGGAGGGTCTGCCGCCACCAAGAAGAATGATCCAACATTCACAAGTGATTTTGTCATGTTTTGGAATTACTTTCTGAACCACGTCTTATTTTTTATAGGAAACAGAATCACAGGTTCAAAAGAAGCCTGAGAAAGGCACAAACGGATGACTCCCCCAACACTCCCACCACCTACTTCCGACACCCCCAGAAAACAGGCCGCTTCTAGTTCCACTCCCTCCCCTCCTCTGAGGCTCCTTTCCAGACTCTTCTCTATTGCACATACGTTTTTCTGAAGTGTATTTTCCCTCATCTCCAATCTCTGCATGAACAGTAGTAAGGCACTGTCCGTGCTACTCTGCTCTTTCCATCATTTCAGAATGTACCATTGCCAGATCCGTGTAAAAGGTTTTTCCTGTTGGAAAGTAGTATTTCATTAAAGCACCAAAACCTGGTGGACATTTCAGGTTACTGTTTCCAGTCTTCTGCTCTTACAGTGTTGCAAGAAGCATCCTGTCCGTGTGTCATTTCTCACACAGGAAGCGTCACTGGAGGCGGACTTCCACAGAGCAGCACCGCTAAGTCCAAGGGTGTGAGTATCAGTGCCTGGATCGCGGCCACGCGGCCCTCCGCAGCTTGTGCCAACTTCACTAGGATTTTTTAACCTCTGTAGTTCTTTTTTTTAAAGATTTTATTTATTTATTTGATAGAGAGATACAGGAGAGGGCACAGGCAGAGGGAGAGGGAGGAGCAGGCTCCCTGTTGAGCAGGGAATCCAATGCTGGGGTCCTAGGGGGCTCCATCCCAGGACCCCGGGATCATGGCCTGAGCCAAAGGCACCCCTGTAGTTCTTTTTATATACAAATTAACACATCTGATCTACTTTTTAAAAAGTTCTAGCCTCTCAGGGCACCTGGGTGGCTCAGTCGTGAAGCCTCTGCCTTTGGCTCAGGTCATGATCCCAGGATCCCAGGATTGAGCCCCGCATCGTGCTCCCTGCTCGAGGGGAGCCTGTTTCTCCCTCTCCTCCCTGCTTGTGCTCCTCTCTATCTCTCTCTCTCTCAAATAAATAAATAAAATCTCTTTTTTTAAATTTCAAGCCTTACAGATAAAAAGACCACTGTGAAGACAATCTAGCAAGTGCCCTTTATAAAGCCTCTTTAAAGACCTAATTGTAGGGGACTGAGATACTTGCTGCTGCCCTCCCCCTGCCGTCCCCCACTCATCGGCACCTTCTACCTCATCCAGAGATTGGAATTCTTAAAACGCCCTCGCAGATGGGAACCACGCAGGCCGAGCTCTCTGGCCCCAAGCTCCTCTGGAGGAGCTGGAACTTGACAGCACACGGCACGCTGCTGACTAATGTGTCACTCTGCACCGGAGACTGAGGACAGAGCCTCCAAACACTGGCGATTCCCTCCCAGAAGGGGCATATGTGCACCAGTAAGCAGGGAAGGGCGCGGGGCAGGCGGGGGTCAGCTGCGCTTCTACACGAGCTACAGAAGGCAGCTGGCCAAGCCCTGGCTGTTGGGCACGCGGGAGGCCCGGGGTGCCGCCAGGACCGGGGGCAGAGGGTGCACGGGGCAGCCCATGTTCTCATGGGAGGAAGAGCGCTCATGGCCACCCACGCCCCCCGGCAGCCCCTCCCTGCAGCGCGGAGGCATCACGCAGCTGGATGGGTGCAGTGTGCTGGAAACAGTCACGCCAACAGGGACAAATTAGGAGGGCTCATGCGGAAAAATCTGGATTTTTGGCTTCTCTCAAAAGTACCCACGGAGCCAGGGCCTGCATTCTCTGAGGGCTCTGGTCACCGGTGGTGGGAGGAGTCCGGCTGTCCCCTCTGCAGTCACTGGGAGCTGAGCTCCTCCTCCTCCCCGTCTCCCTCTGTGGGGCCGCTTCGGCTGCGGCTCTGCTGGCCCAAGTGCTTCCCGGGTCGGACAGGCCATGAACGGTAGCAAGTATGGTGTCACCATCCAAAACGCAAGCCGCCCGATTCCCAGGGCCCAGGCCCACAGCTCACGCCCCACAAGCCACACTGCCTCCCCGCAGGCCCGGGCAAGAGGAAGCAGACGCCTGTCGGCCTCACTGCCAAGCAGCTCTCGGTTCCACCAGTGGCTCTGCCAGGTCAGAGCGCGGCAGGCCGGCCTCCAGCCTCCCCACGCACCTCAGGAGGGATGCCCTGACTCACAACACTCCGGAAACCAGAGCTGACAAGCATGGCGGAATTACGCTCCCACCCCTGGGGCAGAGGGAAAGGCTGCGCCGACCAGAAGCTCACTCACAAAGATCCCACAGAGCCCGAGGCCACGGGCTGCCAAGACCCAAGGGAACAGTCCAGAAAAGGCACCCGTCCCTCCCACACACCCATCCCGACACCCCTGCCCACACTTACCACCTTCGTGTCCTGCTGGCTTTCCATTCAGCTGTGCCCATGACTTTGGTCCACCTGGCACTGAATTTGTGTTCTGAAAGGAGGAAGGAAATGAGAGTAAAGCCAGTGCCATTGGCCTGCTTTCCACCCGGCTTCCCACCTGTGCGGCCGCCCGAGGGTCAGGAGCTGCCAGGCCCACAGCACAGGTGAGGAGCAGGACGGAGGGGATGGCCAGCTCACGTCCTGGCCCTGCAGCAGAGCCAGGACTCAAGCCCATGTACCCTTCAGACTGCACTCCAGAACATTCTGTCAGGTCACCTCTCATGCCTACATAGCGCTACTGTGCCTGGCTCCAGAGGTTAATGATCAGACCCCAATTCCAGCACGTGTCTCAAAACCTATGTACCATGGCCGGCAAGAGCCCAGAGCCTCATCTTTGTCCGGAGGGGCCACTACACCACCTTCTGTAATTACTGTCATCTTACGAGGCACAGCAACTCAAGGGAGGCCTTTCTCTGCTGATCTGGACTCGCTGGGCTCACAGGCAGGCGTGCTGAAAGCTCCCGGCAGGGGAGGCGTTATGCGAGGCACACCTCACTGAGCAAACCCACCCGTACCTTGGGAAGGTTCTAGTCCTCTCCTCGCTGAGGCTCAGAAACCAGTCACTAGTCCCAGTGAGGAGGGCAGGACCAGGACCTGTCCCCGCTCAGCCTGTGTCCCAAGCCCAGCTGAGTCCCCAGCCAATGAGCCCACCTGCCTTTCCCAGAGAGCATTCAACCTAGCAGCCTCCCTCACCCCCAACAGAAGGTTAAAAATGCACAAAACAAAGCTGCCGCAGCAGAACATCTCAGCACTTGCAGGGTCTGACCTCACATTCAGTATCGATCCCTTCTGCCCAGCCCTGCCCCCAGCACCACCACAGTCTCTCTCACTTTCCGAGCAGAGCTGACTAGGTCTCATGATCCATTCAGGTATCAGGAGTGGCCGGGTGCCTGGGATGGCCACAGGCCCCTGCGCACAGACCACGGAAGGCATGTACCAGTGACAAAACAGGGCAGGGCTGCTGGGATGGGGCAGTCTGGCATCCCACAGCCTCCCACGTCGTGTCTGAGCCCACACCATGGTGCCCCTGCCTTTGCCCACCAAAGGCACCGAGCGGGAAGAGAATGGCTCCAGGGCCGAGAAGCGGCACTAATGCTGCCGTCAGAGCTCCTGGCACGCCTCTAACAAGTGCCGTCATGTCTCTCCGGGCGAGGCTTCAGTTGCTGGAAATACCGGGACTCCCTTTTCACCGCCATCCCATGGGAAGAGCTGAGCCCGGGGCAGAGTGACCAGCACGCTGGTCACCATGGTCAGCAGCTCTTCTTAGCAGATACCAGGCCCACACCAGGCCCAGCCGAGACTCTGCAGTCCTGGGGGACGGGCACAGATCCACTCCTAGCAGCTCCCAAGGCGAGTCTGGCAAACAGCAAGGGTGGCAAACCAAGGCTGCCCTAGTCTCTTAGCTTCCCAGTCCAGGAGACAGAGCCGAGCGCAACTCTGGACTCTGGCTGGGCGCCAGGCACTCGTGGATTCAGGCCAGTGAACAGGAGAGCTTCGCGTGAATGTGGACTTCTCTCACCTTTTCCTTTAATATCGAAAGCACAGCTCGGTGTCAGGTGGGGGAGGGTGCCTTTCTGGCGAGGCCATACACTCTCCCCAGTGGTTGGGGATGGCATCTCAGGCCTTCTGTTGCCCAGGGAGCAGTACTAAACGAAAACACAGCAGTGCAGGTCGTTTTCCAGACAGCTGCGCAATGTTAGGTGTCTGTCTACATGTCTTGTGGTCTAAAAGATCTGCAGGCGTCTCATCTGGGTTTCTAGCCAACAGCCAAGTGTATTGGCCTACTGACCCACGAGATCCACAGACTCCAATGGCCTGAGTACATTATGAGCCCTTGCCTGATTAAATCCTGGTTTTCTGTTGAGGAAAACATTCTTTATTTATTTTTAAGATTTTCTTTTTTAAGTAATCTCTATGTGACTTCAAACCCCAAGATCAAGAGTCACATGTGCCACCAACTAAGCCAGCCAGGCACCCCCAGAAGACTTTAAATGCATCAACAAGCAAAGGGTCACATACCAGTATCTCCCAAAGTGTGTTCCTAGAGACACCTGTCTCTAAAGATGTTAAGTTAGACAGGTTTCCTAGGACAGATGGGATCAGGGAGTGCCACTCACTGTCTTTGCAGAGTCACAGCACACACGAGCACACGAAAGACACTGACGAGAGGTCTGACAGTAAAGGAGCTTGCTTAATTTTGTTTCTCAGCTGACCCCCAAACCTTCCTGTGACCTAACCGGTCCCCATGGAGCATGACCAGGGGCCCCTGATCTGGCCTGGAGCTCACCCCAGTGACCTCCCCTCAAGGTAAGACACCAGAAAGCAAGTTAGGTGTCTGTACTCTGTTTTGGATCTGGGGCCTCTCTCCAAAAGCTGCAGACTCAAGTCACCTCAGGGGACCCGTGACAATATCCCGTGCGCCTTTCCCACGGCCTCCTGCCAGGCTCGCCTCCAGAACGAGCAGGTCACACGGCACCTACCTCCTGGCTGCTCGACTGTGTCGGCTTCTGTAAGCTGGAGACAGGCCTCTGCAAACCCGGCTGCGGCAGCGACTCCGGCGGCGGAGAGCCCGTCGCACTGGAACTGGACAAGGTGGGGGGCATGGCGGTCAGACAGGTGCGGGCGAGCACAGGCCCCTCTGAGCCTCCCAGAGCCTGGGCAGCAGCACATCAGCTCTCCCCAGCAGACTCTCCCACTGCAGAGCCCACAAGAAGCTGGGCCCCCTCCAAGGCCTAGCCACGGCCATCTGCTGGGCAGGACGGTCCTCGGCCTCCAGGCAGAGCTGCCCCTGCAGCTTATGGTAGCTCACCATAAGCAAGGGCTGGAGGAGCCGCCAACAGGGAAACTGAGTCACACAGGGAAGGGGCTCCGAGGCCCAGACTCCTGACCAAGTGCTCACAGCAATGCAGGGGGCTGATGCCTTTGAGAGATGTGATTTTGCTCATTGGCTTATAAAAGAAATATGTGCCCAGAGTAAAAATAAATGTATAAATATATCTAACACAGAATTTGTCACGATCTCATCCTCCAGAGTGAAACACTGAGCAGATTTTGCTATATATATTAACATAGTATTTTTTTAACATGAGTGGGATGACACCACACATACAATTCGTAACTTGTTTTTACTTAACGTATCTAATGTGCTCTGGGAAGGCACACGGCTCTACTCTTGGTTTCAGAGATACAGTACAACTGGATAGGCCCCATCCCCAATTTTTCCCCCATTACTGGCAAAACTTCAATGAGAACTTCTTAACACAAATCTTTCACATACTTCTGTGTCATTCAGTAGTCTAGGTTCTTAGACGTGGAACTGCTGGGTTAAAAGGGATTTTGAAGTTTACAAGGTATGGCCCGAGTGCCCTGCAAAGACGACTGTGTCGGCTGATACACACTCCACAAGCAACCAGGGGCTGTGAGGACGACGTCTGCTCACCCAGAGCCTTCTGGTCACTTGTTCTGCTCCATGAGACCCAATGGGGGCCGCCGTCCGCACAGCCAGTCTCCCCCGATGCTGGAGGCTCACCAGTAAGCGGAGGCCAAACGCTACACACATATACGCTGTGGGGGCCGACATGACCCAAGGAGCCCCGTGGGCAGCATCACCACAAAGTTAAGGCCACCAGTCTCCTCTCAAGTCATCTTCTACCTACAACAGAAGCTTCTGCATAGCATCGCTTTTGTGTTCTCCAAACCTAAGCACAGAGTCCCAGTGGTGGTGGCCCTTAGCCTGTCCCCTCCCTGCGACCCCGAGGGAGGACATGGCCCAGGGGAGCAGAGGACCAGCGCCTGGGGTCCACTGCCTCGTCTCTACCTTCCCCCTGGCTGACGTGCTTCTGCAAGACCGGCCTCATTCAGGTCCCCTGGCCCTTTCTGTGCCAACGACGGCAGGGGCCACATAAGCAGGGAGTGGGGCCCTGTCCTCACTCTCTGGAACTGGGGTTGACATGCGTCAACTCTTGGGCTGAATGTACCATATCCGCGTCGGTACAGGGTCTGTGGCGTCAACCGTCTGAACAAGACGACGGCAGCAGCGGACCCCCGCCCCCACACTCTCCGTGCCGGCTGCCCGACCTGCATCAGCCCCTCCATGTCCTACAACCGCCTGGATGTCCCCGTATCTCCCAGGACACCGGAGCGCACCAAGCAGATCACTATCCGGGCTCCAGAGAGCGCGGAGGAAGTGGCCCGCTGATCCTCAAAGCCAGGACTCACCATCAACCTGTATGGCCCCTAAAAAAACTATTGGAAAAATGTAAAAACAGCTTTTCAGACCCTATTTCTACTGTTCCTTCATGCTCACCCGACTGAACTGTGTGCTTACTCTCTACATCTTGTCTGAAGTAAGTACAGGAAGTTTTACAGAAGCTGCCACGACCAGGGCGTCTGCGGGGCTCAGCCGGTTAAGCACCCGACTCTTGGTTTCAGCTCAGGTCATGATCTCAGGGTCATGAGATCGAGCCCCACATCCAGCTCCACACTAAGCCTGGAGCCTGCTTAAGAGTCTCTCTCTGCCTCTGCCTCTCCTCCTCCCCCTCCTCCCACCCCTGTGCTCACACACACGCTCCCTCCCTCTAAAAAAAAAAAAAAGCCACCATGGCCATTTCCAGTAAGAGAAAAGGACACGGGTTGGCAGGCTGCACTCTAGGTCACTTTTACTCTCTGGATCCCGAGCACTGGCAGCCAGAGCACAAGAGGAGATCGAGGGCAGGAAGACACAGGAGACCAGACTGTGCTATTCTCACTCCCCGGCAGGCAAACCCTAGCAGCAGGTCCTGCGGGCCGGCCTTAGCAAGGTCCTGTCCCTCCCTAGTCCCCTCCCAGTACAAATCCCAAATCCCCTCTCCTGCACACTGTTCTGGCTCGCTGGCGCCCAGCAGCAGAGACCCAGAGTGGAAAGCGGGAGGGAAGGGCCCAGGTCACGTGCCCGGGGCCGAGCTGGAACACCCCTGCCCCCAACACCCCGTCTCTTGCCCAACAGCAGCCCCTACAGTTGCTGTTGCTCTAATGATTTCGGTGCCAGACCCGGGGCCGCCGACAGCTCCGGTAAGTGCCGTGCTGGCAGTGGTGCGAGCTTACAGGGAGGCTGCATACCAACCCTGAATAAGGAGGATTCTGGATTATTCTCCTTCCTAACTGGGTCTGTTTGGAGCAACTAACTGCAGCAGTCTTTACGGAGAGCTGCTATCCCCGAAGCTGGGAAGACGGCCTCCTCCTCACCCCAGAACCAGCGCAAAGGGATGACCACCAGAGCGGAGTACCCTTGAGCACCTGCCCTGTCCGCAGCGGCCCGCACTGGCTCAGGAACCAGCACCGAGGCATTGCATAAGCTCCTCTGGGGTGATAAGGCCCTTCCTAATAAGGCACAGGGGACACTGGTCACCGGGGACGAGGCAGCCCACAGAAGCCCTGCTGCTGCAGCTCCCGAAGCCAGGAAAACGAAGGCAAAGAGCAAGAAACAACCAAGCAGCAGGAGTCAGGGCGAAAGACGCTTCCTCTGGGATCTCCCCGGCTCTCCAGCTCGGCTGCTGCCCTCTGCAGAAGCAAAGGGGGCCGCGGCGCTCCATGAGGCTCTGGCTACACCGCCCCCACCTGCCCCCTCTGCTCTCACCTCTTTGGGTCTTGCTGATCCTGCTTGTTTGCCCATCCCGTCCCGTCCTTGGGAACTATCACGATGTTGGGGTCGTTTCCTCTGTTTTCAGACTTCAAGCTTGGCAGGTTTGCAGGTGGTGGCATGCGCCGGGCTGTGGCCACTTTCCCGAGACTCTGTAAGCCATGTCTAGGAATAACTGTGGAACAGAGGGGTGGAGACAGGCAAGTTTCAGAAGAAAGAGGCCGGGAGGCCACTGGTCTTTCACGCTCTAAGCGATGCTGACAAAGACAGCCAGACAGACACAAGGGGCAGCCTGCGTGCAAGCAGACGAAACGGTCAGGGAGCTGCTCAGCCGCTTCACAAGGCCGCGGCCGAGGCCTCAGAGCCACGGAGAGGCTGACATCTGCGCCGAGGCTTCCATTTTACTAGAGCAGGAGCAGGCACAGGGAGTTTACGCCACCGGCAGGGAGCCAGGCCCAGAAGCCTCCACCCCACACGGTAACCACCTTGCACAGCTGAGGTGCCTCACAGCAGGACAGAAGGGACAGCCTCCGCCTAGCCACAGGCCGGGCCTGAGCAGGGCCTGAGCAGGGCCCTCGTCAGTCCCCAAATCCTCCCAGGGTGTGGACAATGTCAACAGGACCTTCCCCCCATGCTCCAGAATGTCAGAACCACGAAGCCTAAAACAGGGTAACTAACACAAATGAAGTTCCAATCTACCCACGGAGGGGAACCTGTCCCCAGCTTCCAGGAGAAGACATAGGAGGACACAATCCATGGAGGCAGAGTCAAGATATCCTGTCCGCAGCGGCCCTCTCTGCCTCAGGAACTGGCACCGAAATCAGACACCAAACAGGAGCAGGGGGCCAAGGGGAGGGGAGAGTGGGGTTCTGCGTCCCCAGATCTGCCAGGTGACCACTCCATGCCCAGAAGGCAGTGTGACTGGGGGACTCTGGGTCTTCACCATTCCTAACCGGGGTTTCTCACGTAAGGAAAAGCGTAGAGAACTGGCCTCACCCCGGTTCTTACCTGAGGATCTGACCGCATCTACTGATTTTCCTTTATACTTATCAAACAGGCTGAGAGTCGAATACTTGCTTTTCCCATCCTTGCCCTTGGTTATTTGCCCCAAACGATCGGACATTGCGATGAAATGTCATCTAGTAAGGAAATTTTTCTCGGCACCACTCCCGATCTGCCTTTGAAATGTTTAAAAAAAAAAAAAAGAAAGAAAGAAAAGAAAGGGGAAAAAAAAGAGCGTTAATCCACCAGAACACCCAAGGCAATGGACTGAATTCTTCAGGGATCCCGGATCTCCTTGAAGACCTGAAGAAAGCCTTGGATTCTGTCCCTAGAGAATCGCCCTTACCACACACAGGCCGTTCTGCTCACACTTAAAGAATATTTTGTTGGAGGTCCCTCCCCTACCCCCAACATTAATAAGTCCTATTCTGTCTGAATTGGCCAGAGTCTACCGCTCACCAGCGACACTGAAATGTAAACCTTTCCGCACTGAGTCCTCGCGCCAAGTCAAGGACAGCTCTTCAAGACGGAAAAGAAATACTCATCACTGCAGCACACCCACGTTAACACCAGAACTCGGGCAGAGCAGGGGACGTACACAACCTGCTTATGAAGGCCGTTCATTTCAAGGATGAGCAAAACCAAATCAAAGGGAAGCAATGCAAATCAGGATGGTCCGCAGGACCCGCCAGGTGTGTGCATTTCTCAAACCAAAGAATCTGCAGCCAGAGAAAAAGCACGGGCTCAGGCAACAGAAGAAGCAGGGCTTCCTGGGGCGCACGCGGGTGCGGACACAGACGCACCCCCAGGAGAGACTGCGCGGGGGAGGGTGCGCTGTTTGGGTTCCGCTGCCCCCTCCACTTGGAAAACTTTGACAAGACGACCAAGAAGGCAGCTCCTTCCCTCTGCCACTTTCTCATTTCCTACAGGCTGTTGTAAGTCTACTAGCATGTTACTCACTCATTCATTCAGACACTGAGTGTGTGCCCGCCAAGGGTGAGTGGGCGCCCCATGGTAGGCGACTCACCTGGAGACCAAGAGCTTCCATGTCTTCTATCCTATACCCAAGAGGTTCTTGGCTATAGTTTCTAAAACTGGATCACGAAAAATAAACTTGTAAGAGCGATCACTACTTACTTCCCTCTGGAATTCACGCGGAAGAAAGCTAAAGCAGTCACTCAGACGCATTGTCAGAGGTGAGAGCGAACAGTTCGCGGACGATGAAGGACGCCTGGTGGCAGCGGCCGCAGTATGGTTTGCTGTCTTACCCTATTCTGAAACCATACAGGCCAGAAGGAACACCTTCAGTGTGCTGGCAAAGCATTCCGCCAAACCAGGGAGGACGATAAAATCCTATATATTATGATGCAAGACTTTTATATAAAGCACAGGGAGCAAAGATCAGTTACAAACTGGGGCCAAAAAAAAATGTAAGAGGAGATAGTGGCATCAGCTACATCCAGGCTCACGGAGCCTTCCTGAAGACGAACCAAGCTGGTTCTTACACAAAACTGGGTACATCCAGCCTTTCATTCATTTGATAAATCTTGAAAATGAATGAAAACTGTAGGAGAGTCAGCCTCAATGAAGACAGAAACCACAAATGCTCCAAAGTGCTCAGAGCTCCCAAGCAACCGTGTCAGAGCCTCCCCGAGTGTGTCTGCCTCACGGGCCAGGAGCAAAGAATGACCAGACACGGAAACTCGCCCAAAGTGTCCAAATCCTGAATCTGGTGCCGCGGGGTTCCATAACACATCCCATCCCTTTATCTTTAAATCTCCCTCCCCAGAGCTGGCTCCGTGAGTTTCTGCTCCCCGCCCAACAGTCGTAACTAACAACAGCATTCTTCCCTCAGCTGGGCGGTAAGCCCCTCAGGGCAGGAACTGGATTTGATTTTCGTCAGAATAACTGGTATTTAACAGGATCTCAAATGTAAATCAACCTGAAATTCTCCATTAGGATTGGATGAGATCTAACTTTCAGGCACTTCTATCAAATCAAAAGATCATTCAGATAGGAACATGAAACACACACAGACACACACCCTCCCCCCCTCTTCCTCCCTTCTATTAGCAGAAGCCCTTGAGATTGTCACCATGGTGATGGGGACATGGGGCCCCTGCCTCACAGAGCTTACAGTCTAGAACAGGGGCTGGCAAACACTGGTCAGCATCCTAGCTGTTTTTTATAAGCCCTCAAACTAAGAATGATTTTTTAAAATCACTTTTCAGGGGCGCCTGGGTGGCTCAGTGGGTTAAAGCCTCTGCTTTAGGCTCAGGTCATGATCCCAGGGTCCTGCTCAGCGGGGAGCCTGCTTCCCTCTCTCTCTCTGCCTGCCTCTCTGCCTACTTGTGATCTCTGTCAAATAAATAAAGGCTTTTTTAAAAAAAATCACTTTTCACATTTGTTTTAAAAAACAAAGAATCCGTGACATCCTATGTGGTTTGCTCACCCTGGATTTAAAAGGAAGTCTTGAGCAAGCACCTTCCAAGGCCTCCAGGTGGCCAGTAACTGGGTGGCCCAGGAGAGGCCCTACAGCTTAAGCAGGAGGGGGGCAGGGCCCCCAAAATGAGATTACCCTGTGGACTGTGTCTAGACACTTCCAGACTTTTCTACTTAGTACTCTTTTCACAAACTCTGTGGCAGGCCGTATAACCAAGAAGCTCATATCCAAATTTCCAGAACCTGTGACTTCCTTCCCTTACACAGCAAAAGGGATTCTGGAGATGTGATTAACAGAAGGCTAGCAAGATAGGGAGATGATCCTGGATTATGTGGGCAGGCCCACAGTGATCACAAGGTCCCTAGAAGGGAGCGCAGGAAGGCCAGAGTCAGAAAGCAGTGGCACCTCAGAAGAGAGGCTGGAGAGCTCTTTGAGCATGGGAGGGGCCCTGGCAAGGGCTGCAGAAGCTGGTCGGAGCTGGAGAAAATCTAAGAAAGAATTCCCTCCCTCCCACCCAACCGAGTCTCCAGAAGGATCAGCCCCACCCACACCTTGACTGTATGTAGCCCAGAAAGACTCACATCAGACTTCTGACCTCCAAAACTGTAGGAGGACGCATTTGCACTGTTGTTTTTTTAGGATTTTATTTGAGAGAGAGTGTGTGTGAGCAGTGAGGTGGGTAGGAGAAGGAGAGGGAGAAGCAGGCTCCTCATTGAGCAGGGAGTCCGACCTGGGGCTGGATCCCAGGACCCTGAGAGCAGGGCCTGAGCCAAAGGCAGACACTTAACCCACTGAGCCACCCGGACACCCCTACGGCTGCATTGTTTTAAGCCACTGGAGTTATGGTAATTGGTTACAAGAATAGAAAAACACTCATTCATTTAAGAGGCTTTTATTAGGCACCACTGTGTGCCCAGCACTGAGCGGAGCGTAGGATGTAGCAGAGGGCCAGCTGCGCCCACCCCTCCGTCTGTCCAGCCAGAAGAGATGACGTGACCACCCATGGTCACAGAGCTAATTAATAAGAAACCGGTTTCAGAAAATGATGAAAAATGATACATGGCAGCTACCTCTCTGCTGCCCCTGACCACAGCTCTCACCAGACCAGTGACCCTACAAACATTTCTGGATAAAATCTGAGGTGTCTCCTTCCCGGCCCCATACCTGGCAGAACTACAGCTTTAGCACTGTTAATTTAAATTCATCTAACTACAGAGTTCTTTACTAAACTAAAAACCAAACTGACTAAGTCCAGGGAAGGAAAAATTATTTACCAGCCATTCTGGGCTGGTATTTCCACACGAAATCCTTATGTGCTTAACTTCTACACATCAAATGTCTTTTAATTCTGAGACTTGACCAGAAAATACCTGTTTCCACAAATAGGGCTAGAAAGTATTCTTAAAATCTGTTGCTCCAAACTTCTGCCAGTTCACGGAAACAAACAGACCTTTCCTTGATTCTGCGCCTCCTGGTCCTGTGGGCAGAGGTTACAGTGGACACAGCTCTCCGGGGCCTTCCAGGTGACAACACCCTCCTGAGAACGAACCGGTCCCCACCCCCACCCCCAGAACGCACTAGGAGACCAGAGCCTGACCACACCCCCAGTCCTGGCACTCCTGGAAAAAAAAATGAAGAAAAACCCAGGGCAAACAGGATCCGTTCTCCTGGGAACTTAGAATTGCGTCTAGGATTGTTAGTTGGTCTACGGCTGTTGCTTGAAACCCTCCGGAGAAAACGAAGCATTCAGCAAATACTATCTGAGCACCTACTATGTGCGGGGGAAATGCTTTCCCCTCCCCCGGCAACCAGCGCACCTTGGGGAAGCCAGAGCACGGCACACACTGGACAAATGGCCTGCATTAAACCCGTACATGCAATTTTTTGCAGCGCCTCCTCCTCCCACTTTTTAACCAAGTTTTGCACCTGTTGACACATCGTGGGCCTCCCTGGCTCTCAGTTTCCCCGTCTACAGAATTGAGGGGCCAAGACAAGATTTCCCAAGTCCCAGATGGTTCTAAAGCTCAAACACACCAGTGTTAATAGCCCCCACTGCCACAGGATGTACAAATGATTTACTGCCAAAGTAGCCATCTCTTATCACACATCCCGCACCGGGTCCTCCATTCCTACCTAAAGCTGTGAGGCTAACAGGCAAAGCGAGAGAGTCCCCGTCGCTATGGAAACAGCATCTGTGGGGGAGGGGCCGCACACTTTTCCAGGAAGACCGCAAAGAGGGAGGTTCTTCCAGGCCCTTTTCCTTTGTAACAGGAGTCCCCAAGTTACTGTCAGCCCAAGAAGGACATGTAGCAGAGCCCTGGAGGCCCACAAAGTATAAACTATTTACTGCCTGATCCTTTACAAAATAAGGTTACAGACACTGGCCTTGGAGCATACGGTGTTTCTTTCATTAAGCCAGATTTCCCTGGACACAGATACAGTCATCCGGGTATCCCTGCCCGCAGGCCTCTCCAGGACAGCGGGGCCGCTCTGCTCGCCCCGTGGTCTTCACAAACACCAGGCCAGGAGCACCACCGGTCCGTAGGAGTGTGAACACCTCACAGGCGTCTGCTGAGTTTCTACCCGTCGAGAGACACACACACACACACACACACACACACACAGCCTGACTGGTCTCACCAGATGGCAGAAAAGTACAGGCAAATACCTGGGTGTGAATCTCGAAGCCGGCGGAGACCAGAGAATGTGCTTCTTAGCGGGTCTGAGGCGTGT